AAATTCTTGATCTATGGAGTAGATCAAGTACAGGAACTCGAGTGATATTCTAATGACATGCACTTACAAAGCTATGAAATAGCCCTGCCCTGCAGTCTGTTGACACTGAATTTACCCTAATGACACCAAGATCTTTTTAAAAAACAGAAGAAATCAGGATGAGAGCTGGTTGGTGCATCATAAAAAGTGAGATAGTAAGGGAAAGAAAAAGTGGTGGGGAAATGTTAACAAGATGAGAAATTTATTAGCCTAGGACTTTATATATTAGCTCACATACTTTGTAGCATATCACCTACCTCAGCACAGCTAAATGTGTGTTCACACTCTTTTGCCATATTTTCTAGAGTGCTCTTTGAAACCTAACAGGCTTCCAAAGAGTAGTCCAAAAACTTTGATAGACAGTGTCAACTATTGAAGTGGTCTTTGAAGGACTACTGCTTTTATGTCGTTAGAATTTAAATAATTCAGCTTACTGAAAACAAAATCAGAAGTCATACTGTATTTTAATGTGTACAAATATCCTTTCAGTTCAGGAGTGTGGCAAGTACACACAAATGCACATATTTGAAGAATAGTCTGACATAGTCTTTATTTTTTATTTTTGTAAGTGTATTTTGTATTGCATTGTTTCCAAAAAAGGTTGTATCCACTTTAGGCTCCACATTAAATTAATAATTATATCTTTTAAAAAATATCCAACAGCTTTTAAATGTTATTTACCATTAACTGTTTAAAGGGGAATTGCAGTCCCAAATTCTCAGACTGGTTATTAATTGTCTGTAACAAAATTAATTGGTGGTATTGCACAATTTTACAAATCCTGAATTAAGCACAAAATTGTGATCTTTGTGAAAGTATAGTTGGCACAAACTGCTGGTCTCATCAAGGAAGATTTGTGACTTGAAGCGGCCCTTCCTGCTCACTAGTCACTATAATATATAATGCAATGCAATGTACGAGTGAATAAATACAGGTTGTGCGGCAGGCATTTCACAGCAGAAATTATACAATGTGATCTGTATGCAAAGTAAAAAAGTAGTTTTTGTTGGCAAAATCGTCTCGAAGTCCAGAGTAATGTTTCTATTGGATTAAAAGAGATGTATTCACAAGCCTGCTTGTTTGCAATGTAATAGGGCCACTTTGTGTCACCAGAAGTTTTGGTATGTTGTTCTCAATCATAGACGATGATGGCAATATGGAGCTGCCAATTCTCTATTTTGTTATGTAAATTGGAGGTACATTTCACTTTTTAAATTGAAATGCACTCATCAATGCCGATTGTTTCTAACCCCAAAATATAAAAATAGTGTTGCAGTTCCCCTTTGACGTATAACTAAATTATACCATATTATTCGACGATGGCTGCTTTCTTATCATTGCTGAATCCTTCTGTTTACAGGTCTGTCATGGTGGAAAGTTAAATACTGGGCGGTATTGAAGCCAGATAAAGTATGTTTAGCCTTTTCAAAGACACAGCAGCAACGTGTCATATTCACTTTGTGACAGTTTTTCTGGAAACGAAATGCTAATATGACTATGAGGCTCTTGAACTTCTTAGCACTTTTATGGTTCAAAAGATCAATCCATATCTTGCCAGTAATAGAACCAGTTACCAGATTGTTTGCTCAGGAATGCTGAATTCTGCACTGGAAGCTAGTGTTCTCACATATACAGTAAATGGTGATGTACTGAGAATTCCTGAGGCATTATTCATGGACCTTCTGTCTGTGTTTTTTAAGATCAGATTTGGTTTCAGCTGTCGCTCTTATAAATGGTTCCCATGTGTTGTGTGTTCCTGATAAAGTAGCTGACCATAGGACAGATGCACAAAATGAGTGGTCTGATGGCTTTCTTCTTAATTAAAGAGGTCATTTTATTTATGTAATATTTTTTATACATGCACCCATGTGTAAAATGGTAGTTTATTTGATGGCTAAAATTTGTTTAAATGCTTTTGATACTACTTGGATCGCAAACTGTGAGCAAGTAGATTTAATGAGTCAAAGAACATTTCAATTATAGAGTCAATATACAGTATATTATATAATTATGCTATATGGTATTGCATATAATTATATCCTATATGATAGAGTACAGTCAATGATCTGTTCTCATTACATTTTTACATGTTTGTATGAAAAAAGCCTTAATTTACAGTAAAGTTAATTTACTTAACTAGGTTTCCTGTCAAACGAGGCCTGTGTGTCCATTAGATGTCAGTGTAGGTTATTACATAAATATTCTTTATAAGTAGGTGTTATTGAAACTTATTGGTAAGTGGAAAGTGAGCTAGATGAGACCAATGGTCTCTTCTTATTTGCAAACCATTACTGGTATAACAGTTATGGCAAGAGATAAAGTACAGATGATGCACTGTTGAATGGGAAGAGCCTTGTAATTAAATGTGTTTTTGACTTCCTGTGTATATAATAGTTCTGTAAAATATTTTTTTTCTTTTTCTAGACATTCGAGACAATTTCTCCAGGAGAAATTTAGATTGCACACAATGTTGCTCTGTACATGTTTTGGTATTGTTTTTTCCAGGACAATGCTGAGTTTATTTCACTCTATATGCATTTCAAAACCTTTATGTGTCTTTATTTCCTAGGTATTGCAATACCTCAATTTGAGCATTAATGAAGATTTTAAATAGTTTAATTCTTTTTAAAGGAAAATCTTCTTAATTAAAGTTTTTAGTGTGCTTTCTAAAGAAAGAAAAGGATCCAGCTCTTTCTTTCCATGTGCGATTCTGTCAGTTTCCAACACCATGCTGTGTGTAGGCTGCAGCAAATTTAAATCTTCCCAAAAAACTAGAACAGTCTGTGTAATGGCTGCAAGTGTGACAGTTCATGAATGCATTTTCATTAATTAGATTGCTGGTTAGAAATGTTACACTTAGGTGAGGCCCAAATTGTAGCTGACCATAAATAAAAAGACAACAGTGTAGGAATGCCTGATATTTGCCTGGTTTCTGCAACCTGTCTCTCATTTGATTTGTGGATGTATTTTTGTTTAACCAGCAGCTCAAATGTGCATTTTATCCCTATGAACTCATTTTTTCATGTTATCAACTTAGTGTTATATTAAATTGTCTCCATAAACTTTCAACTTGAAGGCAATATTAAGATATACTGTATGTACGTCATTGTATATAGTTGTCTTTGAAATGAGCTTACATTTCTCAAAATGGGATTTGTATCCTCAAAAGATGAACTTTATCCCCAACATGGGTGCTCTTTTACAAGTTAATTTCCTGTCCAAGAATTTGTTTTTTTAAGAAAGGCAGACAAAAATTTTCTGCACTCTGAGCCTTGGGGGAAAAAGCACCATCATTGATAATGACTTTTTCCACACCTTCCAAAACTAAATCAAATGAGCTTATGAACTGTTGATCCGTTTATATGAGATGCAGATGCATTTTTACACCTCACTACATAACCCATAGCTAGCACAAATCTCTGCACAGGAATAAACTCATTCCAGAATTTCTTTTTAGATAAAAATGTAGAAGATACCTTGCTACCCACAGCCACTGTCTTCAACAACACCAAAAAAAAACATTAAACAAAACGGTGCATCCTGAACATAAAGTGAATTTCTAAAAAAAATAAAGAAGAATGAGAAAATGCCCCAAGCATTGACACACTGCAGCAGGCTGTGTCAATAAGTAGATAGAAATTGGACAGCATATTTATTTAGAATTATTTAAAAATACTAATAAGAAATCATTGATGAAATTTAGTAGCTTATTAACGTTATTTTTTTAAGTTGCCCATTGACATTAAGAATAGCTGAAAGTAGACTAAAAAAACTGCTTAAAACATTTGTTTGGTCGAGGAGGGCACTAAATTAGTACAAGTTCTTATTTACTTGTCGCATATGAGCCAGGGTAATATTAAGCATTTGGAGATTCACCATGTTTCCATGGATACTTTTTCTACATGCCTCAGGCTCTCAGTGAAGGAAGGAAATAATTGTATCAGTGATAGTGCTGTGGCTATATTGACAATTCAAATGCTGTATACTGTTTCTATTTAAAGTACAAGATACTGCTGCAAATCTGAAATAAAGAAGCAAGGCAGGTGTCTAGGAGGCACTTGTAAAACTATCTGGTGTTTTGTCATGTCTTACACTATTTTTTGTAATTTCAAGCATTTACGAAGTCTATTCGAACAATTCAAAAAGTTAATTTCATTCTTTAAGAATGTATTTGAATATTTCATGTTTGTGTATCAAGATGTGCATTAAATTAATTAAATTAAATTAATATTTTGTCAAAGTGACAATAAATGTCATAGACATGTATGCTACTCATAATAAAAAAATGCTATGGAAAAAATAGATTTGCATAAATAATTCTATTAATGTTATTTTTAAAAGAGTTTCCAAAAAGAATTATGATTAAGTTTGATATACTACATCATGAATTAATCCTGTACTGTATTCCTAGAGCAGTCAATCTTTCACTATGCAGTTACTGTACTGTGCAGTATGCGGGTCTGCACAAGAACACAATAATGTAATATGATATACAATATCAATGTGCGTTTATAAACACAAATTTAGGCAAAGAACCTGTAAACCTATCAATTATTTTACAGTTATTGTATTGGCAATATAAACAAATTTTATTTTTACATAAACATTTCTACATTTTTAGAAACTATTAGGATATTATGCACTATGTACATACATCCTCAATATGTATTTTCCGTTAAATTTGAAGGCTTCACATTTTTATTCATCAAAGGTTTTAAAGTTAGTTGCTTCACCTACTGTACAGTACCTTAGCAATGTAAAATTATTGAAACATTATGATTAGGATTGCTATAATAATAGCATTGGGTAGAAACTCATTGAAATTAAATCCAGTATCTACTTGCCAACTAAATTAATTGGAGTTTAGGAAATCAAACAGCTTGACGTAATGGCAAAGCCTTTGAAGCTAATTTGGGAGAAAAGTAATTCCCTAATTGTGTGTCGGTGTCTAAGCCTGTGCGTGTCAGTTAGCAGGAGACAGCTGTGTAGACACCAGGAAGAGGCAGCCAAGTAACAACTTTCTACATTGAAACTGAAGCATTGTTTTGCGCTGAGATGTTAACTCACAGACTGCTGAAACGCACAGCCCTGATGGCCAGATGAGATGTTGAAGGGCTGTTCTTCAAGAAACTCACCCTTTTTCATTGGTGAGAGGGCAGTCTGCCAAGCATTGGTAACCCCATCTCAACTCTCAGCCTACCTGAACTCTCAGCCTGGTATTCAGAGCAAAGCTATGCACGACGCCACACAGACCACAAGGCAGTGAGCTCAGATTACAGTGGTCACCAAAGAAGTCTCCACTGATTTACACAGACAGGTAAGGGATTTCTCTTCTGTGTACAGTTTTGCAATTGTGGCATATTTTTTGCTGCAAGAATTTGTACATTGGTCTTTTGTTTGATCGGTATGTTTTACATTAAGTGATAATGTTTCTCAGTTATCTGTGACAGTGTGCATTCATTTCTGTAGAGCACTGCTTACAAACACTGCATTTTGTAGAGAATGCCAAGAATGGCTTTGAAATTAATCGTAAAATTGCATCTGTGTTCCGCTGTTGTGTGGTAAATTAAAACAAAAGAGAGCGATATTGTGGGGTCGATGATAATCTTTTAATCCTTCTAATCTTGTTGCTATTTCGGCCACTATGTCTGCCAGTTGGAGGTCTTTAAAACCTATTGTCAACAGATCCAAGGAGTCGAGGGCAACAATATTCAAAGGCTAGTGAGAAAAAATTTAAAAACTCTTTATTTTACTTACTGAAACTCTCCTGTTAATAATAACAAAGTTGTGAAAGCGGGACATAAATATCTATACATGTCTATAGTTCTAAAGAATAAGTATGTGATGCACCATTGTAGTATTATTTGTGCCATGAACCTTCTTTTATTGCTCTTAGAAATGAAAATAAGTGGCTTTCTTTCTAAGCGAAACAATATAATGAGCATTCATTATGCAAATGACTGCTAAATCTAGCTGTAGCTAACAGATGGATCTTCGTTTAAAGAGCACCACACAGCCCTGTACACTTCACAAAAACTGATGCAGTCAAAATACCTGCTCAGTCCCACAGCCCCACACAGCCAAATCACACTCATTTTCTCTGTACTGAAATACTTTTTAAAAGCATTTGTATTTTTGTACAGCCTGCTGACAGATGCTCCTTCTCCGAGAAATAATTGTCAAGTGTGTCGCTTTTAAGTTAAAAACTTTTGAGCTTTATGACAGAAGACAATGATAATTATGTTCTAGAGTGTACATTTATAGCTGCACGTCTGATTACCATACTAAGAGGGCATGTGTGCCAGAACAGAAGAGTACACAAAAAACAATGTGAAAGTTTGTTCAGTTACTCTAGTTGAAGCAGATGATAAAAGAGATTTACTGCTTATGCTACTGGTGATTAGATTACAAAAGTCAGATTACTGTGAAACCCCCTTCCTAACTGAAACCTTTAAATGTATTTAGAGGTTTACCAGCACTTATCTTTCATACCTCGTGTTCTTTACTAGAGCAGCTTCTTAAGGAGTGTTCACAATAAAGGAAGTCAGAATTGTAAAACAAGAATGCAATGAACATTTCCAAAAGAAGAAAAAATAACTTGTCACAAAATGTCAAAATTCAGTGGAGTGTTTTTTTATGTTTATATTCATTTTAAACATTTATAAAGCTTTCTGTGGTTTTAAGTATCATCAAAGCAGCACTTAGAATATTATTTTCCTGATCCTACATGCTGTAATTCAGAGCACCTATAATGGAAAATAGCAGTTAATAATCAAAATGCATAATTGAAAATGTTGGGTTTTTTTCTGAACTGAAATTTGCAAAAGTGGATTCAAAATATTTTCAAAATAATTAAAGCTGAAAGAAAATGTTTTGGAAGAACTAAAAAATTTCCCACATTCCAAATATAGTAGTGTTTGTTTAAAATGCATATCAGGTCATTTTGGAGAGCAGTTGTTCAGTCCTCTGAACATTTCAAGCTACATACCATAGGAATGATGAATTTAGGTTTATTTTCAAAACTACAGTATCTTCAGATACTGTAAATGCACCTTCAAATAAGAATCCCTGCGAGTCGCAGATCCTGTATTCACATAATCAGACTGAAAGTATTTAGGGAGAGATTGTGAATCTTTATTAAAAATCCCACCATTCCTCCATAGCATTCAGTTTCCTTTTATTTAGGGTATTTCATAAAGGTGCAGAATGAGAATGAGGAAAAAAAGAAATTTTAAGGTTTATTTTCAGACTTATTTTGATCATTTCTGAGATATAGCATGTGGCAAAAGTAAGAGGTTCATTTCTTTTTAATTATTAGAATTTATCTTGCATAGATGTACTCCTGACAGCTCCATTTTCTGTGTAACAATGGCTGCTGCTTGTGGCCATTCAGGGAGACTAAGTCCCTGGAGAACTGCATGCCAGACTCATTTGGTTCTTGACCGAGATATCACCTGTTGAAAATCTTCAGTGATCATCCATCGTTGCAAAGACCTTCACACACATTCTGGGTCAGTAGCACTAGCCTGGTGACGGCTGAGCTGGGTGGCCAGTTATTTTTAGATGCAGTGTACATAGACATAAAAATGTAACTTTACAACAGGTGGAAAATAACTCATGCTAGAACCTTCTTTCATGTCATAGCCTTTCCTTGTAGTGATTGATTTTTCTAGGTATTGAAATCCGTAATGCCATGTTCTTCAACACACAAAATGTATTCCTTGCATTTATATATACTGTACATTACTTCAGCTTTAAATACTGCACATTATGAAAATGTGACAAATCTCATAGGTGTGGGATATACATCACATAATAGTGAGCCCCCCATCCTTTTTCATTTTTGTGTTTGTGATGGAATTTCTTATCCAAATAGTGACTCATACTTAATTATCATCTAAACACGATGCATAAACGTCAAATACTGAACGTTCTTTGCCAGATTTTGCCCTGTTATTTGCACTGGGAATGTGTTCATAATAGATATCCCAGCATAAACTGTATGTACTGTATATGGTTGCTAGCTTTGACTTTGTAGAAGTGAAATTGAATTACAGGTTTGTTGTTCAGACGGTTCAGCTTTCTAGTTCTTATGAATCAACCCATTAATATTTCCATTCCCATAATTCATAGAGACCGTGTGCCATGAGAAGATGCTTTAGGCCTGGAAGTTTCTCCTTGGAAGAGAGATATTGATGTTGTTAAATGAAGTTTGGGAGGGATGGTGACAACCTAGATACTTTTGCCTGACTGTTTTAAATAATAATTTCCACTGTTATTTATTGTTTGCAATGTACCATGTATCTTTCGCAAATCCTGCTGATTTCACATTTCGTCTCATGCATCTATCCTCCATCCCATGGCCCCTGTGCCACCTCCATATGTGCTGTACATCAAATGCATAATATATTCATATTTTAAATTATTTATATCTAGTAAAACCCACTATTGATTAAGAAGAAGAAGCTGATTCTCCCAATAATTTTGGTTAACTCCATATCCTGCCAGGAAGATCCTCAACCAAGTAAATAAAGAAAAATCGAACTTAAACTTTAAATGCTTTATCAACATCCTCAAATGCTTGGATGTCATTATTCCTCATGAAATCAATTTAATTTCAGCAATTAAAAAATATATTTCATGCCTTTGAGGCTTAAATGTTTCATTGAGGCTTCATTGCACATTTTGTCACAATATATACACATACTGTATGTACTACTTTATATACCCAGAGTACAGTTCCCCCATTTAATAAGCAAATGCTTTTATAATTTAGTGTAATTTTGTTGCAGCAGTAGGAGGGACAATTGTTTCATAAACTCCTTACCCTCCCCCTAAAATTAAAAAGTCTTGTCATGTTTTGGTGTATTTTCAAAGTGCTATTTTGCATGTAGAAGGACATGCAAGACTGTAAAGTTGGTCAAAACCATCTTATTAGTTCTAGTTCTTTTTTCCACTGGACAGTGAGTAAAATATAATAATTCTGACATCATGAGGTATTGTCAACATGTTTTACAGCCTTGACAATTTGACAAGTCAACAATATGATTTGCCTTTGTAGAAGACCAACCACTGTGACAGTAACAAATAGATCCATTCCCACGGGCATCAGTTATTGACCCAGTTCATAAGGTAATGCCAGGACACATATCATGAGATCTTTCAAGAGATGACCAAAAAATCTAAATGTACATTGTGTGATTTTATCATGAAAATGTCAATTGTTGTAAAATAACAGTCGATTTTCCCACTTACTTGCAAGTCAGTCAAATGTCAAATAGATATGGTAAACCACAACAAAAGATGTTGTGTTATTATATGTTATGATAAATGTTATTTGTGGTACGAGCAGTTCAGCAATTAGAAACCACTCAGTGTGTCCTGGGATATTGCCTGTGTTAATGTGAATTAGTGCTGAATTCCTCTTTGTTTAAAATGTCATCAGGTGTCCTTTCATTAATCATTTTTCTTATTTACTGATCTCCTTAAATATGGGATAAATCAAGCAGTAGCGATTTAAATTCTGCTGTTCACGACTTTAATGCTACCATTTAGAAATAATGCAGTAGTTGATTGGTGTTTAAATTAAGTTGTATCCTTCAGTACCAAGGATAGTAGGGAGTAACCAAGGAAGTAGAGAGCTCCGTTTAAGGTTGCACAGAATTGTGCCAAACACAGCAAAACACATCTTTACACCTAAGGTCTTATACTTGCACTTGAGATGCAAACATTTCCTTAGTGTGCTAACAACCTACACAGACACCTACAGAGTGTCTTAAGTGCCAGACCATCAAGAGTGGGAAGACTTTTGTTTCCAGGGGAAAAAGAGAAGGCAACCATGCTGACAAGCTCCTAGAAGAGTTTAGGTTATTTATATCCTTACCCTTTACTCTATTATTTGAATTACAGTCTGTTTTATAAAACCCTATGCTGTATAATTTCTATATTTGATATTGGTTTGATTTTTAAAAAAGTACAAAATTGGCCATTCCTTGCTTAAATATCTCCTGCGGGAATCAAATTTTATTTTCATTTATATGCCAAGTATGTGTACAGTATATACATACTGTATGCAGATATCTTAACTCTAACCAAAACATATGAAATATATTGTTCTTGGTTAAATACAGTGACGCATTGCATTAGAGCCTACTCCAGCAGAGAATGTCTATCCTGCACACACCCAGGATACAACACCAATATAAATTGATATGTCTTAGTACTGTGGGAGGAATTCAGAGCTCCTGGCAAAACTTCACAAGACTACAGAGGGATCATACAAACTCCACACAGAAAGCACCCCAGGCTGCAATGAAACCCAGGACGCTGAGAGGCAGCAATGATAACTGCCAAGCCCCTGTGCCACCTCCATATGTGCTGGACATCAAATGCATAATATATTCATATTTTAAATTATTTATATTTAGTAAAACCCACTATTGATTAAGAAGAAGAAGCTGATTCTCCCAATAACAGTTTCAGTACAAAACAGTTATTTTTCTGAATACAGTCACTCTAGAAGTGAGAGCATTGGCATCTAAATTGTTTTGCTCTGTTTAGAACACATGTTTTAGAAAGGACATGTATCAGATTTCCAAAGGTTCCTGAAATTATGCAGCCAAACTGTCTCTGATTGAAAAACAGCTGGTAACAGCCTATTTACTGAATTTTCAGTACTACGACAGCATATCTATTGCTGGAAGGAAGTCATTTGAGGCTGTCGTGTAGACAGCTGGTCACAGTCTCAGTCATCCACAGCGAGACTGAAACTAAGATTAACTGACTTGGGTCTGAAACTTCTGTTTAGAGGTTTGCCAGCTTCACTCCTTGGGGTCAAAAAACCCAGTTGTATGCCTCCTTAATTTCTAAATAGTTAGTCACTTGGGACTGTTAGTTGTTAAATCAACTATGATACTGGTCCAATATCATACTTGGACCAATGTATCCTTCAAAATGTGATTTAAAAAACAGACATAGAAAACCTTTTGGATTCTGTCTGACAAAGTCCTGGAGTAGAGATCCTCTAGTCTTATTGTCTAATCTTTTTGGAAATTCTACTTTTCTCCCAGAATCTGTTTTTTTTCCCCATGGCACTGAAACTTGATCTTGTTCAAAATGTGTTATGAATGATTACTTTCCAATTCATATAGGTCAGTCATATGGGTGTCCAAAAGAAGAGAGATCTCATCACAACTACCCTTTAAAGTTCTGCCTCCAGGGCATCAGTTTTTTGTACCCTAGCTTGCACTTCCTCATTGTAATCAATTGATTTTGACAAGTGTTTTAAGTGAATAAATGTAGCACTCGTCCTCAGGGCAGGGAGTTGAAACCTACTTCTAAAATATTTAAATGTGACATAAATGTAAAATATAATGTTCACATTTGTTACTAGAGCAACCATTTATTTATTTACAGCACCTGTTTGAAACCTTAGGGAATTTCTTTTTGCAAAGCTATGTCAGTTGTCCTGTCACCTGGTCTTTGATTTGAGTTCATCGCAGAAAGCAGACTCGATAGGATTGGTTGCACTGTTTATGGTTTCAAAGAATTCTCCAACAATGACCCTTACTGCTGCTTGAATCACCTCTTTAATTCTTGCTGTAGAGACAATGATAAAATGTTGCTTTAGTCTCAAGTAGTGCTGCCTCTCCATCCCTAAAAACTTTTCTAGGATAACTCTGACATGTGATGTGTCAGAGAAACATGCTGGCTATTCCAGCAATCCAAGCCTGCGTCCCCCACCCCTCCACTCCTGTCACATGTGCCTCTGCCCAGGGGAGACTCATCAGAACGTCTGTCCGGCTATCACAGATCCTCCACACGGCTCCAGCCCAGCATCCTCCTCTCTCTCTGCTCCTTGCCTAGGACTCCTCTTATTACAGCTTTCCCCATTTACTTTTGTTTCAGTGCGGAAATGGAAGAGGCAGAGCTGCTGAAGGAGAGACTCCAGGCCATTACAGTAAGTGGAGTTGGGCATTAGTGTTTGAACAATTTTAAGAGTCTAAAGGGAAGCATTCTTTTCTGCTTAACATTATGTTGCTCTGAAAAATGCACAGAGAATCTGCTTTTGCTTCTCTCTAGCAAGACCTTCAAACAGTCTTTCTCTTCAAATTAAACTCATTCTTCAAATTGTATTAGTAGCTATCAAGCTTTTTTCATTTAAATGCTGAAACGTTTGGCATATCAACCCGAGGTCATTTTAAAAGGCGTGGGTAGTGCTTATTAAACTATTTTTTTCTTTCACAACTCAAAAGAGTCAGGTTAAATGTATGAAAGTAAAAGAATGTTCCTGGTTACTCTGGGTTTGAAGGTCAAAAGTATTGTTCAATAATAGTTTATTATTTTTTTATTTTTACTTGAAAATGTAGAAAAATCAATTTATTAAAATATTTAACTTATTTCTGTTTGTTTTCTTAAAAGGGGTTTAATACACTATTCAATGCAGGATAATGTCAATTGATTTCCTGTGTAAGGGGCTATCTGTTTTCACTGTCTGCGCTTTACTAGGATCAAGTACAAACTATTAATAGAACACAATAAGACTTCATGTTTGCTTTGCTATGAATTGTGCCTGAAAACACAATTATTTTTTGTACTTTATACCAGCCTCGTATATATACTATTTGCAATGGACTTGTAGCTCAGAAGAGATATAAAATATAACTTTAATTTTAAATGTAATGTAAACAAGGAAAATGAAACTTTGGCAGTTTATGTATCTGGTCAATGATTTACCATGTAAATACATAATTGGGATATCTTCTAGCATGTTAAATTTCTTTAAAAATCCTTACCCTTATGGAAGTTATTTAACATTTCCACTTGAATGTTGGAACAGATTCTGAAGTGATTTCATTTTCTATTTTTGTAACAAAGAAAGCACGACCTGTGATTTATTTGTGATATTTGTTTTCTGCATTTGGGTCACGTACTTCTCTATCAAACTGTACATCTAAAAGAACAAAAGCAAAACACTGGACCAAAACAATATCTCAGAAGTGGTCTTCCTTATATCCTGCAATTTGATTAAATAAGTATTCGATCTGTACAACTGCAGCATCCATTATTTATGGATGTGTTGACATTAAGTTCCTGATATCCTCCTTGAAAACATTTGCTGAATAATTAGTAATTAACAACAATTGCTTACACTTATATACCGCTTTTATGGACACTCCACTCAAAGCGCTGTACAGGTAGTGGGAACTCCCCTCCACCACCAATGTGCAGCCCCACCTGGATGATGCGACGGCAGCCATAGTGCACCAGAACTCTCACCACACATCAGCTATCAGTGGGGAGGAGAGCAGAGTAATGAAACCAATTCATAGAATAGTTCTCTAAAATTCTCTTGTAATGGATATTTGGAACAAATGTTTACAACATACTAACAAAATTAATGTTTTATGAAAAAGACACCTTTGTACCTTCCAATATAGTTAAAGAAAGGGTTATACATGGAAGCACTTGATAAGGGCTGCCCCAAACAGTTCACTGCCAACAGGTTGCACGAAATGCACCACAATGTTTGTGAGAATGACATATGTAATTAACACTTTGTGTGAGTGGGGAAATGGGGCATTAAAAAGTGTCAATCTCATGAAGGGATGAAAATCACAACATTTATACTGTTTTGTTTTTAAAGGATAAGAGAAAAATACGAGAAGATATTGCACAGAAAAGAACAGAAATAGAAGAAGAAAAATTAAAGCTTCAATATCTGAAGGTATGGTTTTCCTCTTAAAAGATCAAAGTGATATTGTTAGTGTTTGATTAAAATATTAATGGATATAAAAAAGACATTTACCTTCCAGCTGTCATATTATTGTTAGTGATAGGAGTACTATAATTATTAAGTCTAGGAATAACAATAAATGTTTCTGTATTTTTACAAAGTAATTCTTATGAAGAACTTAGTAATCCTATTAAAATGTTTTTCTAACTTAGTTACTGATAACCTTGTATGCCAGATAACTAGGATCCAGCACTCATCTTAAAACCCAATTTCTATTGATTTTGAAGAAAAATCAAACTACTAAAAAAATACAGTTTACACAGGTTAAAATATGAGGTGAGGAGTCTAAAGAGATTTTTTTTTTATGTTGGGTATAATATTTTCACAGGACGACATTTCTGCTGTCCCTGATTTTTTCATTATGTTCAGTGAACAATTATTGACAGGCATGGTAAATGACTTTCTCTCTTCCACAAACAGAAAAAAGCCTTAAGGGAAAAATGGCTTATGGATGGATTAAGTTCCCCAAGTGTGCCGGAGGAAATGGCTCTGAAACTGCAGGCTCAGGATAATCAACAACAAACAAAGATTTTGGAGAGTAACATCAGCAGGTACCTGACATAATGTGTTCTGTGAAAGCATGTTATGCTCAAACTCTAAAATACATTACTCAGACCTCATTTATAACAATGTTAACTGTTAGTCGAAACTGATATTATAGCCTTAGCAAGAGTTCCAAGAAAAATAATTGCTTCCTGATCTTAACATACACAGACAGTTAAAGAAACTAAATCTATTCATTGTAATTAAATCTCCCTTTGTATATGCTATGTTCTAGAGTTTATATATAGAAAATCCTGAAGGATATAATGTCTGATAAAGTTGGTTTACAAACGATGGAGAAGTACGTATAGTAAGGGTCAACTTAGGGGATTGCTTTAGACAAGGACTAAAACAAGGTCCAGGGTTCACAACTGGAAATGAAAAGGGCATTCATGTAGCCTGATGACTAAGATATGTATGTGCTTTTCACAGTCATACTGTAGGTGTCTGTAAGAAGCTACATGGTGGAGGCCCAAGAGGTGACTGGATGAGGGTATAGATTTACCAGGCTGCTAAACTGATACATGAGCAAATTAAGCCAAACAGCCTCTCATTTGTAACATTTGTTAAACTCTTTTATAAACTCCTGAATCTTTATCAATGTGTGGGGTTTTAGTTTGTGATTGTCTGGCAACATCATTTATGATGCCTATAGGTAAAACCCATAGGCACCTGACAGCATGACAGCTATGCTATGTCAATAAAAGCACAATTTGGGGCTATAAAAAAGTGAAACTGGGGACTTTCAATGCCTGGTTAACCTAGCCCTAGCCTTGATTAACCATCAAGACCAGTTGTGTAAGATTATCTGTAAGAATCACATGCTTCAAAAAACAGCTTTCACACCATAACCAAACATGGAAATTCCAATAAAGTCTGCCAACCAGCTGGGCTAGAATTCTACTGTACTGTACGTGTTCAGCGGGAGAGGACTGCAGGAATGTTGCATTAGCTCTTTCTTCCCTGATAACAAGCAGAGCATGAACTGGGCTCCTCTAGTTCCACATGTAGCAGGTCTCACAGTGCATAGGAAGAAACTGTTATGCTGACATCACTCCATCGTCTCGGAATAGCATTATTGCAGATTTAACTATTGTTGGTGGGGGCTGTGTGGGTCAGGGCTGGGAGATGCCTGAGAGGTGACAATTGAATCCCAGCTGTGGATGAGCTACACACACCATGCATGTCCTAACCTTTATGCTTAGTTGAAAGTCAGGGGACTTCAGGCCATACATACGGGGTGAAAAAGTAAGTGTGAATATTCTTGTGATCGATGGCTATCTCAACCAGTTCCTAATTTATTGTATTGTAGGAACAGACACAAACACAATATAATCAGGGGGCTCTCTGTTTCCGAACTGCATGTACTTTCAAGGCTATTGAAAGTCTGGATATCAGATGAATTATTGAATAGGCCGTTGTGAAATCTTACAAAAGAAACAATATCAAACAATAACAAATATCATGCCAAGCAAACAAATAGGTGTCTCATCTCGGCGTTTGTTGCTTTTGAGCTATAGGTAGGGTAACTGAGTGCTTGCTGAAACTTTTCCAGGAAATAACAGGGCCAGGTTGGAATGTGAACTGTACGTTGGGATGAAAACTCATTTTTTCAAAAAATCTCTAGTTTCCATGCAGAATGCAAGTCTAAGTGTGCACATGAAAAGGACCTCGTCTCCTGTAGAGTTGCTTTCTGGGCTGGGAACACCTCTCTTGGGGTTTCTTCTCTCTAAAAACTGAAATGTACAGACAGGATGTGACAAGCTCAGAATGTAAATCATTCTCCCTGCAAGGCAGAACTGACTTCTTGAATTGTCTGGTGTCTTTAGCATTCAATCCTATTTTACAATTATAGATATTATTAACTGTATTACTACAGTGATAATATACTGTATAATAACATAGTAGTGAGTACATAAACTCACTTCAAATTAAACAAAAAGTAATGTTGACAGAAAAACTATTGCCTTTTCCATGAAACTATTAAGTGATTTTTAATAGTTTTTAAATGAGTTTAAAATGTAAGATATTCAGTTATTTTAAAATATAACTATAATTATTTTGTTTAAAATATGATCAAGACAGATTATTTTAATTTTCTTGATGGCATCTCCAGGCTTCTCTAACAGCAATGTACTGTACTAATGTTAATTATTTTAAGCACTGTGTGCTGTAGGTACTATATTAAAAAACATAAAAGCAATGCTCAGCATAGTATGTAATGGTTGTAATTTCAATAGTGCTTAATAGATTCCATAACCTTTCCTGTAGAATGGCTTGGAATATTAATGTGGACTTTCATGTAACGTAAATTACCCCAAAGACTGGTTCATTTTACTAATCAGCTTTAAAAATTGCCCATCACAGGTTTAAGGTTGGTGAGGTCAAGTATCACCACATAAACAAGGAAAAACAAAATTGTGTTTCTGAATATGCATCAAAATGGCTTCCAGCCACCTGTAATTCATTCAGAATGAATGGGTAACATATTTAATTCATCCCTGTCATATTAAAATGGGAGCACTTGACATAGATTTTTTATTTGGGGACTTGACAAATAGAAACGAAAACCAGTGTCTTGTAGCTGCTGTATGTAGAACTGCTGTATATAGTGTAAAATAGTGTACATTAAGTGGAGTACTTAGGGCTTGTTTTTAATATGAAAGGTCTCACATTGAAAACAAGGTAAATAATCTGACATCTTTAGAGCTTCAAACATGAACGAAAACTATTAACACTATCAAATAATAATAATTGTGTTAATATGGTAATTTTGTCAATGGCCTTCTGTAGAAATTATGGCTGTAAATATATTCTTTCACTATACTGAACATCAGAGAAGCACAAGATTTCCAAACCATGGTTGTAACAGGTTCTCTGCCATTTTGCTTTGTTGCATGCACATAACAGGTAAATTCATGATGCTGGTTAACATTTGTCACAGAGTGTCTAACAGAGTGTCTACTGTGAAAGTCACTGACTAGTACCATTGGAACAAATACAAGCTGTACATCTACAATGAATAATCTATTCTAGGTTGCATATGTCTTGTGGGATTCTGTCCCATTATCCTAAAAGAGCTTGCAAAAGCATGTCCGTTCACTGGTCTCTGAACCCTACATGCCACACATCATCCCAGCTCATCCCACAAATAGTTCATGAGGCTCATGTGGGGCATACCACAGCATACCTGTCCCAGTTTCATCTTACAAGAACGACATTGCCACACAAGTATGAGGCATGTGTGTGCATTATGTCTGGATCAGCCAACAGAAAACGCAGCAAGTGAGGGTGACAGGACTTGATCAATGTAGCACTGTGCTGTCAGTATGCCATCAATCACAACAAGTGGAGTTCTGTAGTGACAAGACACTACTGGAACTAACTGGCGTCATGTAGTTTAGACCGTTTAGTGCCTTATATGAGAAAAAGGAGGAGAACTTAAACGTGCACTCTAAATTACACAGGGAGCAAGTGCAAACTACAGAGGATGGGACGTACATGTTGATGCAAATAAATTGTAGGCATCACATGATCTAATTAGTGTAGTAATCTATATTTAATGTACATTCAAATTAATTAATAAAAAATTTAATTTGTGATATGTGATATTTCCAGAGGCAAAATAATTGGAAATTACTTTAATGAAAATTTTGTCATAATTGTTTCTTAAAACAATTGTAATATCTTTTGAGTTTTTTTCTTTTTTTCTGACCATCTTACTACGACAGCTGTGCAAAGGTTTTTTGGTACATATTACCTTTTCTCAGAAATAAGTTTCTTACGTAAGTTGTAGAAGTATCAGTTATAGGGCATACATTAAAGATTTACAGGTGAAAACCTGACATTAACCATTTGGTTTTCAGTAATATAAACAAATACTGTATAGTTTTTAAATTACATACTTACAAATTAAGAATTGCCAACCAAAATGCAGTGGGTGGAGGTTTGGAAACAGTATCTTGCATTTCAAATTGTGTTTTCCCACTCTGCCTATAGGATTGAAAACGAAATTGAGGCTCTTGAAAGGCAAGAGATGATGATTTCAACCAACGAGAGTCTCATTCTGAAGAAGCTGAAGGAAGTTGAAAGGTCAGCTGAAGACATCATAAAGGTATAGTGCATTTACCCATCTTCACTGCAAAACTCGACATTCTGTCTTTGAAAACATCCACTTGTGTTCAGTTTGCATACGTCACGTGGCTGTTGGTTCAGGCAAACAAGCAAGCAAGAAAGAAATTCAGCAAAAGAAATGTAATAAATCTTTTTGGCTGAGACGATTTTCTGATGGAATTGTGGAAACCTTCATGATGTGGTGGCATTTGTTTGAATAGGACAATGGAGTTGAACAAAAATCAGTTGATGGAGAGCTGGCTGTGAAGGTTCTGAAGACAGCGAATGTCAAGGATGAAAAGAGTAACCTAACGAACGTAACCTTTCTAATGCCGAAAAGGCAGATTAGGAAAATGACACTTGTCAGTGTTTTTGATTTATTTTTTCTTAAACTTTATTTTGATATATAAACGAAATTGAAGAAAATGTGACTCCTGCGTCGTGTGCTCGGATTGTTTTCAGTTTTTAATTTCTGAACTATTTCCTCACAGGCAGTAAAGGCAGATGTCAAGCAAGGTAAAGCCCTTTGTTTCTATTTTCATTGCCGTTTGTTTCAATTTTATTCCTACAGCAAAGCAATCAGGAGGCAAGAATAAATAAATGGCTGTTTTATTTCCATTACAGAGCCTATTGAATATATTTATTCAGAGATCCCAGATCTTCCAAAGTCCTACAGACCGACAAACCTGAAAAAAATGCCAAGTCCAGAACAGCAAATGGATAATGAACAAAGCAAAAAAGGTATGAAGCTAGGATATTTTGCTGTATGACAGTAAACTTAGAGTAAATTTTCTTTTAGAAAATCAATGCAGGCATTGCTTTAATTCCCTGTGTAATATTAGATACTGTACTGTACATAGATAGAAAAACAGTTAATAAAATACACAGATTATGTACGTACTCCATAACTTTGTCAGTTGAACTGAGAGACTTGTGTGTAATAAGAATACAAGTCTGAGCTTCAGCCCTATGAAACCATAGTCCAAAACAAGAACTGGTACTAAAATAAAACTTTATTGTTAAAAAATGAAATATCTAAACTTTGGGTTTATTTCCATGAAAAATTACAGAAAAAAATACAATGTTTCAGAAACAAATTGTGCTCTTCAATTTGACAGAGCAATTGTGGAAACAGTGCTCTACATTGTCTCTGTAGTTTAATGAGTTGTTCGAATTGCTACTTTATTTGCTGGGGCAGTTTAACACTTTTCATTTCTCCACAGCACTGTTTGCAATGGAAATCAATGTAGAGAAGGATATGAAGACTGGAGAAAGCCAAGTTCTGTCGACCGCAACCGTCACACCTGAAGCGTTTCAAGAGAAAGGCATTAAAGTCTATGACGATGGTAGAAAGTCTGTTTATGCACTGTGCTCTGATAGGGAAGTTGCTCACAACGGCGTTGATGAATTGACTCCTATTGAAGTGGAGGAGCTCTTGAGGAAAGCCACAGAGAAAAAATCCAAAACTGCCTTAGAGTACCATGAACCTGTGTTTTCCAGCTCATACAGCAGACCATCAACTCCACGGCGACGTGACAGGCCACAAGCCAGTCCAGAGCCCAATGGCCTCCAAGAGTCCCCTGAAAAGCACACTCCCATGATGCCAGAACTCGCTCACAATGACATGGCCCATTTTCAGGAGGAAATGGCGTCCCACATTCCGCACAGGCCCGACGGGCCTCCGAAATTTGCCGAAACCAGCCCAAACGGCAAGACTAACCAAAGCATTTTCTCAAACGGAGATGAAACCCATTTACTGAGCAATATTGCCAAGTCAGAGCCGATGCCATATCAAGACTCCAGGGATGCTCACCATGCTGCAGTATTTGTTAATTCAGTGGATGATAACAAACAGTCAGCTGCGGCCTACCCAGATGATCCCAAATGTAATGTTCTTCATGCTATGCCTACCAGTGTTGCTAACGAGGAGCCCGTCACCATGATATTTATGGGTTATCAGTGTGTTGAGGATGATGTGGAAACACAACAAGGTATGGGTTTCGAGGGGGCCATTCGGGCTGAACTAGTAGTTATTGGCGACGACGATGACAATGAATTACAGCCTTCTTACCACCCTGATGGATATCACAGCAAGGTTTTCCAGCCCAGTATGAACTCCAGACTGAGCCATTATCTCCCAGACACTGAAGTCAATTGCAGCACAAACAACGTGTTAGCTTATAGCGATTCAGTCCCATTACAGGATCAAGAAACAAGACCAAACCACGTCCCAAACAGAACATATTCAGACGGGCAAACCAGCAGAGATGCCACTGAAGACATCTCCGTGACAGGTACTAAAAAGAGAAAAGTGAGCTGCTGCACACTGATGTAACTCATTTATCTGACACTAACATCCTGTTCTCTGATGTGAGTGTTTGCAAGAACATTTTCACCAGCTGGCCATGCTTTCTGCAGATTGCATGCTGATTTTACTCATCTGCATATCTGTGCTTCATTTCTTAACATTGCTCAATCAAATTATAATGAACAGCAGAATAAAAATACAGACACTGATTCTGTAGTAGAAGCTGCTTAAAAAGCACTAGAACTGTCTAGAATTCTCAAATGAAAACTGAAGATTTTTAACGTGCCCATTTGACATATCACTGGTTATGTCAACATTGTGACTTCTGGAAGTGTAACCTCAGCTCTTCCACCACCCAGAGGCTGATTCTGTATGAATCATTATTGCTGACTGACCCACAGAAAGGATTTTAAAAATGAATAACTGTGTAGCGTAGGTAGAACATGTACTTGAACAGCTCTCAACAAAATATCAGTTAATAGTCTTGGACTGAGTCATTTTGTTTACATTTTTTATTACAGTATACAGTATTACAGTTCTCACAATAGTTCGCATGACAGACGCTCTCTCTGCTATCTGTTTTGTACATTTTAATGATTTTCTTAATTATTTTCTTCTCCTTTGTATTTCACTAGTCTTAATTTAGAAGTTTACAACATTCTGGATAATAAATATTTTAGAAAAAATGCTTCTTTCTGCTTAATTCTTTCACTTTTCAAGTTTCCCATTTTTCACTTTAACGTTTCTGATCAAAGACATGAAAATTTTGGCAAAGTTTCCATTATTCTTTTAATTACTAAAAAGCATCTCACTAACATCTGACAGCAGCCTCAAGAGTTTTGGCTGGGTTGCTGTTCCAAAATTCTAACAAAAAGCCCTTTTTTTCCTGTTGATTTGTTGTTTCTGGTGTCATTAATGGTTTTCATATTAATGAAAACGAACCAAATAATGCTCGGATAACAATACATCCCGGAAAAGCTGAAGAATTTGAGGTATTTTATAAAGTTTATTGCCAATAGTCATTTCCTACAGGAAAATGTAGGTAGGTGCTACAATACAATTGCAGCTGAAGGTGCTGATAGATTCATTGAATTGTCTGTTATTTTAGAAGTGACATTTAAAAAATCAAGGCACAAACTGTCACAATAAAAACAAAAATTGTAAGGTCAAAATTGGTCCATTTACTCAAATGAAAGCTGTGATAATTTTCATAAAATTAGACTACAGTATGTAGTGACAGATTCATAAAGACAGGAACAGCAGGCATGGAAATGCAGTTAGCAGTGGTTAGCATTGCTGCCTTGCAGCCCCGGGGCCCTGCGTTCATTACCACACCTGGGGTGCTATCTGTGTTGGGTTGGTATAGTTTCCCTGTGTTTGTGTGGGTCTCTCCACCCCCCTGTGACCTTATATTGGCCCTGTAAAACAGATAGAAGATAGATAGATGGAACAGCAGGCTTGTTTTGTTTGCTCACAGCTGAAGTTCCATTATTTTTTCCCAAAGCGAATGACTGAGGTGGCTGTGTGAGGGTGCATTTAAAAGATGCAGACTTTTGCCATCCACTATCAACCCACACAGCAAAATCCCCTCAAAGCAGTAATTAAACCACACTGCCATTTCATTTGGCTGTTGCAATTAATTAATCCAATCTGTCCTAAATAAGTCTCTCAAGATGTCTTTTTATCTCATTTTCATCAATAGCTTAGCTGGGAAATAAAGTTTCGAAATTGCAGAAGTTTTGCATTGTATTAGCAGTCTGACTATAATTTGCATGTCTCTGTAAACACGAATGAAAGAAAGAGACTACATCTTAAAACATGGATTCTGTAAGGCACACAAATAGTTAACCAATTAGAAATCTTTTGATGGGGGAAGGAATCACAACATAATTTGTACACATGTGGGGTTATTTTATTGTACTAGATTTCAGCAGTGAATAGTATGAATAAGAAGAGTAGGAGAAGCAACTTTGAAATCAAACCCTGATAAAAACGTCCTTACTTTCAGTGTTAAAGAACAAATAGTATCTAGTCCAGTGATATCTTACAACTGAGTTGTCTCTTATTAATCTGTTCTCTTCAATACTCATCAATTTATTCCTGCAGTTCAGTTATGTATGTATAATATATACTGTGTGGCATTTAAAATGCAACAAATGAATATTGAAATAATAGTGGTAGTGTTCTGAATGCATTTCAGTATATACAGTGCATGTATGTTAGTTATCTAGAACCCATTTCATTGCATTTACAGAGCTCTTCAACATCACTAAATTCTTAAATTAATGTCAGGCCTTTTTAAATAAAGGTCTTCTTTCAACCATGTTAATGAATTAGCCCTGCTTACCAACCATAAAAGTAAGTAAGGGGATTATTATGTGATTTGGTGTGAAAGGCTCCTCATTTTAGTCTAAAGCTCACCATATTTCAGAGATTAAGTATCATGCCATCCATAAACCTAAAGGTTTTTCTATGCCATTTCTATTTCTTACAATTTATGTTCTTGCACTTCATGTAATAGTGATACACAACCTTTAAAAGTGTATTTGGGGTGCCCTATATCATAGTACTAATCAAGTCAGATATCAGTCAACACAAAATTCTTTATGCAAGTGCATCCCAGAGCACTGTGCACAGCTTAGCACAAACAATACAACATGTACTATTCGTACATGTTGTATTGTTTGTGCTAAGCTGTGCACAGTGCTCTGGGATGCACTTGCATAAAGAATAGCATACAGCTTAAACTTAAAATAATTCAGTTTCAGCCTGTGCAATATCTTATGGAATAAAATTACGTAACCGCAGAATCAAAAGGAGCATTTCTATACAACCAGTCAAAGCAGGGAAATCTGAGCGACCAAGCTGAGTCATTTCTGCGTGTTATATAACTGTTAGCCTTCTCTATGATGTTTCATTCTAATAGAGCAGGCCAATAGTTACATTATATAGTACAATATACCAAGAAACATTCAAATGAAACAGATGCTATTGGTTCCAATATTCATTTGTTGCATTTTAATACTATTCGGTATATGATATTTGTTCATTCATGTTTTAATGATTATTCAAAAACATTGTGATTTGAGTCTACACCATGCATGGTACATTTAGGCTTAAAATGTGCTGATCTCTGTCACTATTTGTCTCTTGGTTTGGTGGCTTAGAAAACAATGGATACCTCTTATACATGTACAGTTTTCTCCACTTTTGTTGTTTTCCTACTTGCCTATTGCCGTAATAGTCTAATCTTTTGACAGTTTGTCCCCAAGGGAGAAATGTATTGCCATCATCAGATAAGTAATTTCATTGATTTTTTTTCTTGTTCACAGCTTTAAGAATGAGAATGACAAAGCTAGGCAAAAGAATGTAATCAATGAAGAGCAAGATTCCAGTAGCTGCCTTAAGGATTCCTTGAAGAACAGTCACAGAAAGACTGTCCACTGACATGGACTCTTTTACGTTTTGCACAATATTAAAAAGACTAACCTATTGTTGACCACTGTTGATGATAATTATACAACTTAAAAATATTGTATCAATGTAGACATTAGGGCATCATTTATAAACAGTTCGTCTATGCTTTCTTTTACTAAAGAACGCAAAAAAGATATTAGTTTCTATTAATGTTTTATTTTCTTCTTTGATGAAAGTGCCATTCAAATATTTATTGTTTTAATATACAGTATGTGCCTTTGGTAAAATGGTGACTAAATAAGATTTTATATGCTGCTTTCCTAGTGTGAGAATTATACTCATTTAGCAGTAGGGGTTATTCCCAATTGCCAAAATTCATATAAAAGTTCATATAAGCGAAGCCAAAGATGTAAACAAAATATGTATGCAATGTGAGGGCTACAAAACCATGGTCATGTTGCACAAATATTAATAAAAATAATGCTGTTCTCAACACTTCTAAATGTTTCATTATTTACATGATAGTAAAAAGTACATTATCTCAAACCACACATAATTCTTTATGTCAGAAATATGCAAAAAACAATTTTCTTTAAAACATGGTTTATTTCTTATTTTGTTTGGACATCGTACCAAAAATATATTAAATTGAGGTCACAGGGATTTTTTTTCATGAGTTCAACCAGCATACTACAAATAAATAACTCTCAAGGTAACGGATTACAAAACTCAAGTTTACCTCTATACATGTATGTAAACTAGGAGAGCATGATCTTATATTTATGCAGCTGTGCTCATCTATTGGCCCTTAAAAATGCTGTTTTTTGTCATCACATGAAAACTTCAAGTATTTTTTTGCTTTGACATCGGTCTTAAACGTTACATTATTTTTTTCTGACGTTCAAAACCTACAAGCTTAAGTTTAATGGAAAGAAAGACAATGAAGGGGAGTTAAAACTAGGCACTGGTGGCATCTAGTGGCAATTACGAGACTTACATGAAGAAAAAACAACATAATGTACCAAACTGTACAAAATGTACTGTGGCATAAAGCACAAAGCTGGTCTTGATTCTAAAATGATGACAATGAGCACAGCTCAAAAGAGGACTGGGTAACTGCTAAGATCTTCTATAAACAGAATTTTGTGTTTATATTATACCATAAACAGAACACTGGATGCTGTGCTTTTAACTATTGAATTAACCTTTATTACTCCTAAAGGAATTTATCTTGCGCTCAAAAACATAACATATGACAATAATACAATACAACAACTGTAAGAAATCTTAATACAAAACAAAATTCAACAACATTACTCAATCAGAGCTCTTCCAGTATAAAGTTAAAAACAGACCTTGTAAAAAGTCTACCAACACCAACAGACATGTTATTGGGTCCAAGATTGCACCAGTAAACTTGGCACCAGTTCTGATCACTTTGTTCATCTTATTTTTGGTCTGCAACAACAAGGCAACTCCCTATAATCCTATATTCATGAGGAATAGTGACACCCAACAATTACATGCTTCTGAGGATGTTTAAGTATTTAGGTAGAGTGATATTTGGCTTAACTAAATGGTCCCCCTGGCCTTAGGAAGAGACGTCTGGGATCCCCATGCTGATTGAGGTCACCAAGGAATAGCTGCAAGGTGGAGAAGGAGTGAAGGAAAAGAGCAAGAGACATAATACAAAAGGGTTTGTGTATGATATATATACTGTAGCTCTCAAGAAGTGATATCAGGAATGATTGATTAGGAACAGCTGGACGAAAGTCACTTGGGTGTCATGCATCCCAGGTTTCACTTAAATATTCCATTTAGTTTGCATTTAGGCTTCAAACAGACATATTAACTTCCTGCTTAAAAATTCGTTCCACCTGTCTTTTCATTGTGGCCGTGTCCAAAATACAGAACCCTATTTTACAGTATGTACGAGTTTCATATGTTATCATTTATGTATGTGTGTTAAAGTATTTGTGTAGTTTATTTGTAAGTAGCAGTATTGTATTTTACTGAGTGTTGTTGGTTAATGAGATCTATGGTTATTAATGCAAATACAATCCCATCAGACTGCGTTTAATGAAGTAGCACGGAGAATGTATAAAGTCTTACCGATTAACATTTTGAATTAATCTTGTAATAATAGGCTTCAAGTATCTTTCAATAATGTACAAAAAAGGGAACCAATTTGCTGCCAGTCTGAGAGTTAAAAAATACCTAATAACATTACATTTCAAATAAGAAATAAACTTGCTTGGCTTTTCATATGGATATCCTTATGACCCATACACTGACATTAAAGAGTGCCCTTTGACTATGTGTGTTAGTGTGGGTTTGTGTGAGCAACACAGGTGCTGTTCTGTCATTGGTTAGTTCCTTCACATCCAGTTGGTGTCTCAGCTGTTATATTTTCAGGCAGAGAATCTAGCAAACACCTCTACTCGGCAGCATTTTGAAAAGGTAGGATAAAATTAACTTTGTTTATGATTTTTTTTAAATGATTTGTGACTCGTCTTAAAACAAACTACTGTACTTGTTTAGCAAAACAAAACAGAAAATTAAATTTCAAAACAGAAAAAGTGATTGCTGTCTGACGAAAGAGTTGTGTAATTTGCCACGCACAGTGGTTTTTTGGGGCGTGATGGGCTGCTACAAAAAGGGTTGTGCAACCATTGAACTCCCAGTAAAGAGACTGGAACAACAGGCAGCAGACTGATTAAGAGGTGGAAATTCAAAGACAAATAGCCTGATTCAATATGTGCAAACTGCTCTCTGCTGAAGTGTGTGGGCTGATGGAAAAATCTGGGAGAACTGGGGACAGTTTCAAAAAATAGGCAGCTTTAACCACTGAAATACCAAATTTGTCATACCTTACTCCTGCTCATTTTGGGGCTTCACTCATTTCCATATTTTTACAGTACATTCTTAGGATGATAACACGGTAACAGTGCTACCTTCTGCAATTCGTTTTATTAACAAGCTTCCGAAACTGCTGGTTTTCCCTTGTGTGTGAAATGGAAATTTTCTGTGTTTTTAAGAAAGAAAGATTTTTTTTTAAAAGCTTGTTTGAAATTTGGGCAGGGTGAAATCAAAAGTATGAAAATGTTTGCATGCAATTCAATTAAAACTGTCATTCAAAGCACTCTATATCTAATTACTCTTTATGTTTTGTTAAACTTACCTCTGCCTTGATTGAAATTACATGGTCTGAATCACCTTCCTTACATACTCAGCTTGTTTTGCCACTTATAGTCTATGCAGTTGTCCACTTCGATACTGTTAATTCACTATTTTATTTTTACATCTGACATTTTTAAAGTGGCTAGAAGTGCACTCTAACCAAATCAAGCTTTTTTGTGATTAGAATTGGTGTGCATGCTAGTTACAAAGTTACTTCACGCATGCAATTACTTAAAACTCCCACATCACAGCCAATTCCACGTCATTATTATAAACAAACATCTCTGTCTTGTCTCTGCTTTCAGGAATTTCATAAACCAGCCTGTCACATCTGGAGGCACAGTATTTGTGCCTGACAGAATACATCAGGTTACTTGTAGAAGAAATAGAATTGTAAGGATTTTGCCAGAATATCCCAGTCTTCTGGTTTTCTAGTTCTTGGGTCCTTTTGTTGTAGCTATCATAGCTCACCGTTCTTTGACCATGGTCCAGTTATTAGCACTGAATCGACTATGTCTTCTTAGCATTTTAGATAACATCAGACTGCAGGGTGTCAGACTTAATTCTACATAACTAATTTAACTTTATTTAAATTGCCTCGTGAAAGTATGATGTTCCAAAGACTTTCTCTCCCTGCCCATGCTAAAAAATCTTTACTCTGTACAAGTGATGTTAGAGGGAAAGCAGGCTTTGTGCTTGGATGTTGATGTTTGAACCTCTGGATCTGTGCAGTGTTGCACACAATCAGCACCTGTGCTGGGCTGCAGAAACACCGTTAAAGGTTTTCCATTGCATCTGAAACTCAGTTCCTTGGCTATTGTTTTTCCTGAAAAAAAAGGTTCATTTTAGGACTTAAGTCACAGAATAATGGAATGGATGTGCAAACCATTCTCAAATGTTTGTACATGACCCTTGCTTCCTGCAAGGTAGAAAAGTTAGCTCTTTCATAAAAGCAATATGAACTCAGGGTCTTTGCACCTCAGTGTTGCAGCTAATCATTCCCTCTGCATTGTTGTAATTTCGATTTTATAAGTGAAATCCCCCGCTGTGGTAGTTTTCTTTTCACTGAGCTTTGAGCAGGAGCACAATGCACTGTGATTCATTGGCATTATTCTCCGCTGAAAAGAGCCTGCATTCATCCTTGAGACTGCAAAATACATTCTGTTGCAACGTTTTGTCTCTCAGAGGTGCTTTGTTTCACACTGATAGCTTAAATTGTACATACATTCCCGATGATAGTGGTTTGTCAGAAGTTTTGTTCATGTAGTGCAGTAAGAGCCTCCACTTTTAACACTGATATCACATGGATTTTTTAATTCCATTCTGCATACAATAATTAGTCTGGAAACAAAATCTATTTGATAATTTCTGAACAGAACTCTGACCTTGGTTGCTTATTGACTCTGTTCTAAAAGCATGTGGGCTAAACTGAATAAGGAGAAGCAAAACTCAATAGCTGGACTAAAGTACTCAAGCCTGGAGGCTAAACTAAAGGCTCTTACCATACTGGTAATGTTACCAATGCGCATAAACATAACGTGTCTGTTTAATATGGAGAAAGTGCTTGAGGGAAGTACTGTTTGTGTGATGATGAACCACATTTCAGTGGTGTGCATGCCAATACCTATCTCATCTCGTCTAGATCAATTCAGACAGACTCCCTCTGTGGATCGATATCTCCGAATCTAAAACTCTCTTTATTTTGCTCATTTAGCACTGCTGGATTGTTAAACAGACTATATTCGATTCTGAAATGCTGATCTTTTGGTAAGTTGGAGATGATTCCCTTCTGGCTGCTGTATTTGAAGTTGCTGGTAGGTAATAGTACAAAAATATATACTGTATACAGAATCTGAGTTTCTGGAGCACAGAAACAGTAGTTTTAAAAATAATCTAATGCATGTTTTGTGTTACGAAATGTTTAGGTATTTGCTAAAAAGCAATTGTGTGCTACCAGGCAGAAGGAATAAACTGTTTGAAAGATATTTCTTATAATCATCAATGTGGTGCATGTATTAGGCAATCATCCATCTGTTAGCTGTTTTTTTGTTGTGGTGTTTTGTTTTTTAATTTTACTTGCATAGTATGAGGGAATTTTCAGCCCTAGATTGTTTCATTGACTTTCATTATTTTTAAATAAATTTAAATCTCTGATCCACAATTTGTTATGCAATGATTTCATTATGATTGCAGTAAATGTGTTGTACAAAATTACCATTTAACAGCCAGCAAAGCCTTAACTGCAGTGTGAGGAGAAAAAAAAGCGTTATTTCCTGAGGCTGTAAACAAGAATCAAATCTTTAGCCTGTGGGTAGAACTATTAGTTCATAGTTCATAGTTTATTGCATCCAATATTTTCTGATCTAAATTGATAATGCTTTGTTGATTAAGAAACCACTCTTATTTGAATTAAACACCAAAATATGAATAGTTCTTAGAAGACAGAGCATTCTGCTTAAATGAGTCACAGTCATCTATGATACCCAATCCAGATAACCTCACTTAAAGACACTTTGAATGTCATTTATTTTTCACTGAAAAAATGTAATCCTATTTCATATCCTATTTTAGTGAACATGGTGTATTTTGTAAAATTCATGTCTTTGTCAAGGTTTGTTGCAGGACAAAAGTAGTAATTAATATCAGAACTTCTATCAGAACATTAATATCAAACTAAAAATAAGTTTCCCTGCTCTTATAGCTTTATTTGAGTTTGGAAAGACTGGAACCTGTATAGCATAACTTTAAATGAACTGACCTTCACGGGCGTATTTTTAAAAGTTTATAAAAACAAATCAAATTCTGGAAGAAAGGAGAATATTTCTGTCTCTAAATATTTGGATTATTTGCTTATTAATAGGAAGATAGATCAAAAATGCAATTGAGTAATGGCATAGCAACATAAAATAATTTAAATAATAGACAAGTACTGGTTATACATTATGTGTTAAATGCCACAGATCACTGTGTGTGGTCACTTAATCAAAAGAAGGAAAATCGCCCCTTCAAAAAAAATCAAAATGAAAGTGGCTGCTTTAGATTTTGTTTGTTTATAATATGAGTGGACAAGGTAACGCCAGTTTTAATATTGAATGTTCCATCTCCCGTTGTCAAAGAGTTCGGCTCCGGTTCGATGGCTCTCCAAAATTTGGCAGGAGGATCTGGATGACATCACTGTCAGATGTGTTTCTGAATGATAGCTGAATAAATGCCTCTCAGCTCTGGTGGGAACAGGCTGGAGTAGCACAAGGAACAGAAACTCCTTTTCTGTTCTGAAGAGCGCTAAGTGAGCAGGGTCTTGGGAATAGAAGGAGCTATGGCATCACTCGGGTACAGGTTATTTATTTACTTCATTTTTGCATGTGGACCCTTAGATGAAAATACAAGGTATAGTGGTTTCTATCAAAATCGTGAAGAATGATTAATGTTTGACAAGGTAATTTTTGGAAGAAAATGAAGTACATACAGCAATCAGAAGAAGGGTCAATTCAGAATATTTCTATTTTGACATCTTTATGTGATTTCTTTTATCATGCTGGATTTCTCCTGTATGACATGAAATATATACCTGTAGCTGTGGTAACTACCTTTGAATGATTGTGGCTGAAGATGATGAATAATGTGTACTCACCGCATGGGTTCATACAGTGCTCAAAAGACCTGCGAAAGCTATAGTCCCGTCGTTATTTGGATCATCCAAGCAACTATGGTTTGTTTTTTGTCTATACAAGGAACAAAGGTCACTGTTGCAAACTTGGCTATTCACTGTGAAGGTTTAGAACAGGGACTGAAAATGCATGGATGGTTAATACTTCACAGTTACATCATCTTTTGAAATTATTTTGTGCTACATGAATAGGTTCTTTCAAGAGTTAATCTGAATAATATAGGTTGTATTTACTAGAATAGCAGTATATTTGTAGAGGTTTAGACAAGTAATTATGAGTTTCAATGACTGAATACCAATGTTGAAGATAGAAAAGATATATACTGTATATTAACAATTAATACAATGATTATTCCACCAGATATTGATAGATTAAGTGTCTATGAAATTCGCTGAATAGAAGTATATCCTTTATCATTAAGACAAGATCTTAAATAGGATTTTAGTATGTCTTAGATTATTATCTTTTTCAAGTTTCATAACATACAATAAGGCACTTGCAAGAGTTTTTTAAGCATTTTTGTCGTTCATAGGTGTTAGCGTGACTGAAAGGAGAATACGAATATCCAGAATTATATTCCATATAGTAGCATATTAGTCAGAATTTATGCACCTGTAATAAATTTAGTTTTTAAACCAAGCTCAGTGAGTAATGAATGAAAGGATAACAACTGTATGTTCAGTAACTCTGCTCTACTAATTTTCCATGTTTCACACTTAAGAATTAGCTTTTTTGAATGTGACCCTAACTCTCTTCTGAACCTTTCTTTCCCATCCAGTAAAATCAAATGGGCTTTGATTCACCAAAATATCTAGAATATTGTTTAAAGAACTAAACTTGTTAATGGCTGGCATCTACAGTACCAGCCCAGATCACTGCATATGTACAGTTTGGCGTAAGCATGTGCTTTCAGAAACATGTACAGTATCCATGCCTTCAAAATGTTTATTTTTTATAGCTAAATCAACATTAGAAACTCTAAAAGTGTTGTAAAGATGGGTCTTAAATTCAGAAAGAATTTAAATCCACGTAGGAAGAAATGGGAATTTAGGCACTTGAGTGTATTGTATACTGGACTCAGTGTGTTTTCAATAATAGTGTTTCTTATCCACTACTCAGTGGCACACAATTTTAGGTATTTCAGAAAAAGGTGAACAATGGAACACTGAATGTGTGAAGGATACAAAGCAACAGCAGCTTGAATTATACTTGTTCATCACCAAAAGCAGACAGAACTTCTCAAGTGTACATTATTAATGAACTCCAAAGTATGAACCAACAAGTTGCAGAGGGACAGATGATTGACGGCCCATAGAGAACCTGGTTGGGGAGCACATACCTATTTTATTGGATCACTTGTTCAACTAAAGCCAAACTAGTCTTTTCTTATCCAGGTGTATATTTGGGAAGCTGTATAAAAAAAACTGCACTGATTTGAATTAGTTTTAATACAGAAACAATCTACTCCTCAAACCACAGTTTTAGAATTCCATTCCAGCAAATAGAAGTGAATATCTGGATATATTTAAATATGCAATACATTTTAATATTTTTGCTTAAAATGCACAGGGTAGCCTGAAGGCCTTATAACCTCATAGTTCACCCCACATTCATACCAGTGTAAAAACACTGCAGAGCTCATTAAGGGCTTGGACCCAGCCATAGGGATCTGGCCTAATGCCTGACGGGTTTACTGGAGCTATCTGCTGCAGTAACAGTAGCACACAGGAACAAAGCCGTGGGTGAACAATTTAATCCTGCAGTGTTATGTAATTCATCATTTAGTTCAGATGGATTTCATTTCTGCCTAAGAGTGCATGGCCTACTTTTTGTATCATAGAAAAAAACAACTGCAAATTAGATACAATGAATATTTTAGACTGCAATCTACAGTATGTTCCTTCATCTGTGCTATATTGTGCAGTGATTATCCTTAGGTTCATTTCAGATGTGTACAGTACGTTGTCAGGTGATTTTGACTTGAAAACAATGTTGCTTATGAGTAAATAATCTTGCCTGGTAATGTTGAAAAATTATTTAGGCAGTTAATTCACTGGCAACTAAATATGCTGCCATGCCAATCAAGCTCAAGTGATGTGACTGAAGATGAATGATAACCCCACCACATACATTCTCATAATTTCAATTAAGGTAAAAATATAGGTAAGAATAGAGTTGTGGGATGGTGGGCATATTTAAAAATAGTGGTCATTTTGTATTGAATAAATGAAAACAAATTAAATTACGAACATTGACAGACATACGTGGTATGTTAATTTTAGAAATGGTATACTCTAGTTCAGTTTGAATTTGTTACTGAAATTGCATAAAAGGAAATGTTGACTATTAACAAATCGGAAATGACTAACGTGCTTGCTTTAACATTAACAGTGATTGAATTTATCCTTGATATCAGACTAAACAGGAATCTACTCAGCAAGGTTATTACCAGCTACGCTACGCTATTTTTAGTTTTTAAATAAAGGGTTCTCTGGTACTACACACAACCAGAATCATCCAGAATTAATACATATTTTGATTCATGAGATTGTCTCCCCTCATTAAATTAGATTTAAGGCTGTACACTGGTGTGGTGATAAGTTCTGCTGCCTATATCACTCATGAGTCCTGGGTTTGATTCCAGTTTGTGCGTGACTTTTGTGTGTGTCCTCTCCCCACGCATGGATGAAATTCCTCCCATGTTCCAAAGACTGGGTGAACTGATGTCTCTTGTCTGTGTGCGTACCATGGTGTGCTCCCACCATGCACCCTGTGCATCTGGGATAACCTTCGGGTTGCTGCAACTCTTACCTGGAATAAGCAGATGTCGAAAAACAGATGGACAGACAATTTAAGTCTGACGCTGACTTTAAAAAACTGTAAGCACTCCCCTCTTCCACCCCACCCCTCCCCCCCAAAAAAATAGGAAAGAGAGCTACACACTAATTTGCAATCTCTTAGAACCACGCCAAGCAAATTACACACTTGGTTTGAAGTGTGTTTCACAGATATTTGGGTATCGTATGCTTTCTTCCCACCTCTTCAACATCACAAAAAGATAAGTTCTGTGAACAAATCAAAGTCCCTGCAGTTCATTTTGCAGGGAGAGAGAAGGGGGTGATTCTCCAATCGTAACACTTGCATTCTGCTGCTGGGCTAGCAGTAGAGGTTTGTGATTCTGGTGATTTAATTTATTGTTTGTGAAGGAATGAGAAGCTTCTTCACTGTACAGAGAGGTAGGTTTTTCATGGTAAAGGCAGTAACAGATAGGAACAGAGAAATGTATTTTTTTAAAGATATGAATATTATTAAGTTCGTGAGGGAATGACAGAGACCAGAGAGACTTAGCATGTATGTACCGAAAGCTTTTCTATCCCAAATCACAGGGGCTTCTCTAGTAGAATTAATTTTAAAAACATAACTTGAATAACATTTTCAGTCCTCTCAATGTATTTTAACTTTTTTTTCTTTTAGAGAGGCACAGCTGGAGTGAAAAAGAATAATGGAAATGAACTGAGTGAAGACTGCAGCCGCACTCAAAATCTGAAACAAAAAGAACAAAAATACTTCTCTGAAACAGTAACCATGGAGACAAGCCAGCTCTCAGAAATGGCTACTGTAGTCGACAATAAAATGGATCCTGTTGAATCAGAAATGTCTGAAAATAAATACTCGCCTGGAGCAGCTGGGCAAGCTAGTTTCCAGGCAGATTTCTCAGAGTCAAAAGAAGCACAAGATACAACAGAAATCTGTGTTGCCACGGCACGAGGTGAAATTCAAAGTGATGAATATGAGGGCTTTGAAAATGAAAAACAGGGTCTGAAAGAAGTTATATTCCAAGATGAAGCTTTAATTCTAGAGGTCGGATTAGTTGAGTTTAATCGGACAGAATCTATTACCTCTTCAGTATCAGACACAACATCTAGCGCAGGAAGTGTCTGTGAAAATGAATTCATTGTCAGAAGACAAGAACCGGACAGCCAGGATCATCCAGAAAATGTGATTACTGTGGATGAATCTGGAGTCAGCCATGTCACAGAAACAACAGAACATGCAGTCCAAGACATCATAGCTAAAAGCCCCGGAGATGAAGAACTGGAGACCTCTTTCTTAGAGCAATGCATTAAAGAAGAAACACTTTCTGATGTGTCCACAGAATCCTGTCATGAACTTGACAACAAAGAACTGATTGAGAGTCTACAGGATGAAATAGCTGCTGCTTCTTCAGACAGTGAAATTGATGAGAAATGGAGAGCCATATTTTCTTCCTCTGTCAATAAGGAAGGTGAAGATCTCTTTTTGGACACCACTAATGAGTCAAACACCCAGGAACTGTTGTTTGAAGAAACTGACAGGGATCTGCTCAACCCTGAAGAGCTCAATCAGAAGAATGACGAAGTCTCTGACATCATAGGTATTGAGGACAAACCTGAGTACCTCACAGAACATGACTTTCAAGCACAGGACCATTATTACAGCTCTGCTCCTCTGCTTCATGGATTATCCAAAATTTCTGAAGATGAGGAAGAACTTAGTCAAAGTTTGAAGCAGAATATTTATGTATCACACTCAGCTTTGTCAGATCCTACCAAGAAGATTCCTGATGATTACTGTGTAATTCAAGAGACTAAGAATGCAAATGTCAGCACAGAGCATGTTGACTTTAGAGAAGCACGAAAACAGTTTCGGATGATGGAGGAGCAAACAAAATGCCAGGCCTGCCAACCTACTGTTAAGCCAAATACATGCCAGGGTGGCCATAGCTTCATGTACACTCCGGTCAGAAACATCGACAGGCCAAAAAAAGATCCTGAGGGTGATAGTTTAGGGTTAAATGATTATCAGAATACTCTTTTCAGTCCATGCTCAGAAGACTCTGGTCTGGGTGACCCCAGCTATAGATCCCCTTACGATGATCCAAGTTTCGCCTGTGACTTCAAAGACCTTTCAGATTCATCATACAGTCGCCGGCTCATTCCTGAGACTCCCATTGAAAAGGAAATCCGCCTGGCTTTGGAGAGGGAAGAGAACCTCCGTCGTGAAAGAGGGCTTTCAAAATCAGTCAACACTAATGAATGTACAGAGACCAAACCTAAACCTGTAATTCTAAATCCAGGCAAGTACGACAAGGGAATGTGCCAGGAAATTGAGGAGAAGAGAAAGATGTTTGAAACTCGGGAAGAAGTCTGCACTTTGCAGAGGTCTCCAAAACCCCCATCTTTCACTATAACAGCCTCACCATCAAAAGGGCCTTTGTATCATGAAATGGCCGCTAGTAATGTCATCATTCTGGAGCCAGACACTTATCTCTCTTCCCCAAGACACCGTGCAAAAGATGCACTAATTTCTCCAGTGGCTAAGAAGTCAAATGAATGGCCTTCAGAGGCAACCAATGTTATCATACTTGAGACCTCCAACCTTATCATAAGGAGTGCATCAGAGTTTTGCCTGAACTCTGCGTCAGAGGAGAGTCAAGAAAACACATTCCAGAATAATCCTTTCTTCAAACTGCGTTCCAGGAGCACCCAGTCTCTTGTAGATCAGGAAATTAAAGTAGCCAAACAGAGAGAGGAAGAACTCCAGAGGCAAAGAGCAAGTCTGTATGCAAAAGAGAAGTACAACACTGTCCTGGTATCGCCGAATCTGCTGGACAGCCTGACCTTTGACAAATCAGGTAGGTTTCTGTTGACAAAATAAGTTCGAAATGCATTGCTTTTTTGGAAGGAAAGCTGAAAGTATTTGCACTAATTTTGTTTTTGGTTCTATAATGATTTTAAAAGCCAAGTAACAGAAAATTCTTGTTTTTATTAAAAATGTTATTGCAAGAGCATTTTTCGAATAGGAAATAAACTACAGAAACAGTCCAGTTATTCTTTTTTTCAGCATTTCAATATACAGTACTGTATATGTGATGATGTATACATTTTTGTATTAGTCATATTTTTTCGAAATATATAACATAAAACCATAAAAATATTAAAAGGGTTACAAACAAGACAAAGCATTTCAGCACAGTTTATTTGAACACATGCAGCTAATTCATCCTAGAATCTTATCCAGGTAAATTTTGAAAGCCAACGTATCAGCTTTAACACTATAGCTGGGCAGTTTACTACAGACCCACTGGTACGTATAATTTAACAAACTATTAACTGAAGATTTTGTCTGCTCCTTAAGCTTGAAACAAACTCCAGTAATTTGACCCGTGCTTTGCCCCAGATCTATTGGTTTAATTCAAAATAATGGTTAATACTTTTAAAAATGTCTAACATTACCTCTGTCTGTGTTATTTAAGTACTATTCTTAAATTCTTGAACAGATTTGCCGGTGAGATGTAGATCTTCTCCATCGTCACCAATGAAGACAGCATACAAAATGGATCGATCAACACTTTCTTGTGAGACTAAGGTAGTATCGTCTTTGTACATTATTTTTGTTTGTTTTTTTAAAACTACATTAATCGTATAACAGTTATAATTAGTAAGTAGTAGTAATGAATAATTTCTATTTAGGGGGCAATGTTATTACCCAGTATTCACGGCTTACACTTTGATTTGAAGTTGAATGCCTATCAATACCTGCCTTGAAGTTGAAAAGCTTCATACAACTACACAGACAAAACTCTCTTACAGTTTCCAGATTCCTTCTCTGGAGCTCGTCGCAAAAGTGCCATGGCATTGCGCTGGGAGGCTGGGATGTTTACCAATCAAGAACAAGAATGAACAGAGGATGCCATCCAAAGTAAAACATATAGATATTCTGCTACATTTGTCTAAAACAATGGTGCAGGTCTATATTTGCTCATGGTTAAGCATGACAACGAGCTGCTTTTGTAGTTTTATTGATAAAAGGTTTATGCACAAATGAGCCAGAACATATATTCTTTGTTGTTTTGTGGAAATGCCACAATGCCTGTGTGCTATTTGGATTTCGTATTTAGTCCACAGTTCTTTACGTATTACTTATACAGTGTAATTGTGTTGAGCACAGCTTTTGTACATCATGTCCATGCTTCTCTGGAGGTATACTACAGAAAGGGAAAATGGCATTTATTTATTGGATTTTCTTATCAAATTTACTCACCTGGCACTTCAGATATGTATTTTTTTCCCAAAATGTGGAAATAGAATTTGAGTCAGTGACATAAAAATCACAAACATTTAGAAACCAATTTATTTTAGGCATTCAGCAGTATGCATCCCATAGTAACAGTAGATCATTTTAACTTCTTTCAAAATGCCTGATTTTGTGTTTGCAATATTGTTAATTTTTGTAAGCTTGACTGTGAAATGGTGTCGTTTACGAATATGTTTTCAGATTTAATTGTACTACTTGCTTATTCCTGAATTTGAATATTTCCTATAATACAGGAGCACTTTGATTGCCTTTTCACAGCTAATTTTTTGCTTGGTTAACCTTGTATTTTGAAAAAAATGAGTGTGTGGCAAAAGGTTGATGCAAAATAAAGGTGTGGTGAATCATTTAGAGACAAAATGGTTTCCTTTCTTTAATGAGTTACTAATGAACTGCTTAAGCCATTTGTGAAGTCTTTATTTAAGTCCTTTAAATTGTGGATGCAATTTTAGGAATATCATGTTTATGACATCCCAGAAATGCTAACTCAAACTTTGACTGCTGTTCTTGGCAAAAAAAGCCCCCCCCTGCTGAGTGCTTTCGGTTTCTCCCAATATAGAGTAAGAGTTCTGACTGCAAAATTATGGGCCGTAATTTTGTCCATGTTTCAGACACCATGTGGGAATGAAATATTTTCATGTCATCCACTGACATGTTGATAATTACTTAAAATACAAATGTTAATGGAGAGCAATGAATAGTTTGACCTAAAACTGAATCCTTAGCTAGAATTCAGAATGAACAAATACAAGCTGTGACTCATAATCAATTATTTAAGACTCCTTCATATAGAACAGCATATACAGTATAAAGTTCAGATGAAGTGCAAGTCTAATCAATATAACATGCAAGTGCAATCACGCACTAAGCATCAAAACAAACCTTTTATTCTTAACACATTCACAAAAGTTTTGGGGGAATTTGTTGATTTTTTTGTAGCAGGTACATTGTTATTTTATTGAACAGACAGGACGCAGGTACATTCATTATGCTGATTAATATTGGTCATCAACAGGTCTGATTAAGAGGTAGTCAACAAGTTACTATGCTAGAAGAATGTGCTTAATTATTGGAAGCAACACAAGCTGTTCATCCATGATGAATCCTTGGCACCAGTGTGCAGATGCTGTCTAATGCGATTCTGTTCCATTCTTTTCATAGACTCTGAACAGGCATGGTGTGTTCACTGGTCTCTGAGCTGTACATACCACACATCATTCCAGATCATCCCAGAATTGTTTAAGGAGGCTCCAGTTTGTGCTAAGTATGGCATCCATGCTATACTGTAAATGTAATGTTGTCATCTCACAAGAAAGTATTTGTTACACAAGCAGCATGAGGACATATATTGACCAGAACTTAACCAGGCTCTCAGTTTGTCATCAGTCACTACATCTGGACTTTTCTAGAAACTAAACACTGCTGCACAAATCATCACACTTGGGCCTCCCCATCAGAATTGACCAGGTGTTGTAAAACATGCCGTTCAGAGGTGTGAGCCCTGCCAGTACCTGGATGGGAGACCTCCTGGGAAAGCTAAGGTTGCAGCTGGAAGAAGTGTTTGTGGGATCAGTAGGGGGCGCTCACCCTGCAGTCTGTGTGGGTCCTAATGTCCTGTATGGTGATGGGGACACTATACTGTAGAAAGGTGCTGTCCTTCAGATAAGACGTAAACCTGAGGTCCTGATTCTCTGTGGTGATTAAAAATCCCAGGACATTTCTCGAAAAGAATAGGGGTCATAATCCCCATATTTGCCCACTGACAGTTGAAGTGTGGTACTGGTGCACTTTGGCTGCCGTCGCATCATCCAGGTGGATGTTGCACATTGGTAGTGGTGGAGCGGAGTCTCCATTACCTGTACAGCGCTTTAGTGGAGTGTCCCGAAAAGCACAACGTAAGTGTAAGGATTTTTTTTTTTAAACATGGCCTCCCAGATCATGTCCCATCACCTACTTACTGTTTGGCTGTAACATCTTGCCTGGTTACAGATAGCATGGCGTGAACAATCCAGACAGCAAGCAACAGTGTGCAACTTAGTCCACCCTCCAACACCAATGAAATGAAGGCATTGCTCCTTTGACAAGCATATTGGTTATTTTCCATATTCTTCTTTCTTGATTTTTCATGAGTCTGGATATTCAACAGATTAAATCACCTCACCACTTGTGCCCAATCAACTCTCTCACCAATGAGGTGATTTAGTGATTACGCAACAATCACTGGAATATATGATCTTGAAAGATGATTTAATCAAAATGATGCCAAAAACATTTAATCAATACTCCAAAACTGTAGACTTTATTTTTCTAAAAACAAACTTGCATACACAGTGTGATGGTACTTTTGAAGTACCATCAGTATAAAAGATTTTTTTTAAATTACAAAAAGGCTGGAAATGCAACAAAATTAAGCCAAATAAAAAAAACATAATAAATAAAAATAAAATAATATCATGCAAACATGAGTGTGGATCCAATACAGCCAGGTAGACACCGTTTGAGTTTCTCCACTTAAATAGGTTCAATTTGCAAATTACTTTACCTCTCTGAGAATTAAAAATATTAACGCAATACTTTTGTAGGAGCTACTGAAGAATGTAATGCGAACAGATGAAAGAGAACAGATGAAACAGCTGAGCCTGAGTAAGTGCTAAAAAGAGGCTGCATAAATATAATCAGTAACCTGGCAGATTAGTAATGAGATGGCAGCACAAATTCAGTTCATAATAAAAGCCATAAGGCACCCTTCTTTATTGAAAACAACCATTGAAATAAAAATGCAAAAGAAGGCAAAAAAATCATTTTAAAAACTTGTTTATTTCTGTTAGAGGTTTGGTTGAGTCGTATTGAAGACACAAAGTGCATTAGCCCCATTTGGGCTACATAGACTTTATTAAAGGATTAGGGTCTGAAGACCTACTGTTGAAGTACACAGCACCACTGACTTTCACATCTTAACTGTAGGCACCTCCAATAAAATTTATCTCTGTTCTCCACAAGCATTAAAATCTAGAATGCACGCGTTTTGAAGGCTTATTTTTTCTCTGCTGTTGTGTTTTCTTTTTGAAACACTAAAACAAAAGTAACAATTCTGTCGACTGGTTGTGAAATAAATATTAATATCTAGCATGATACAACCTTTCCTATATTCTGTCATGCTATTATATTTTCCCAATTTTTCTTGCAGAAATGGTATTTGAAATAAAAACTAAATCTTACAAAGTCATATACTCTATATCAACACCTATTCCTTAGTTAACCACAAAAGGTTACTGACTATTAGTCAACTTTTATGCATGTAAAGGCAGCATTAGACTGAGTGCAATTCTTAGTTGTGGAAAAATGTCAGATTACAGACCTATACCTCAGAATTAAAAATAATTCTATTTATGCTTCCAACTCATTTGATAATACCTGTACATTCTTTCCTTAGAAGCACATTGCTATAAACACAATATTTGTAAACACCAGGGCTATCCATTCTTTGAGGTTTTGTTCTGTCCTTTTATAAAATTCAACCACATGCTCCTCATTTCTGGTGGCTCTTGAGGGAAAGTACAACTGTATCTCACTCCAGGAGCTGACTGATTCTTCAACCAAGGAGGTAGGAGGTCAGTTTCTTTATAAGCTTCTTTTCACATGTCATTTATGGCAATCAAAAGAGTAATGAGAAATCCCAGATTTCCGCAGATATAGACTGCTAAAACAATCTTCTTAAAGAGGTCACCCTATAAGGAGGACAAAAGTGTTAATTACGTAAAAGAGCTAAAGAATTGTCCATCATAAATATTAGTTTTTTTTTTCAAAAATGTAGAACACTGCCTGTAAGACCTGCAAAATTTCTGTCTAGTTAAAAACAGATTTCATTGCATTCTTACCTCTGACGCCTCTGAAGATGAATGTATAATTTCCTCTTCATCATCTGCAACATTCTTAGCTATAAAGAAGTCCCATTATTAGATCAATTACCAGAAATCTTTCCATGATAAAATTCCCTAGTTCTAGAAACCAAATAAGTGAGTGAGCAAGTGTGTATTTAATCAATCTGTTTATGTATAAAACTCAGTCCGTACTGATAATAGAGAATAAGCACATTTCAAATGCATACAATACAAAAGAAAGCATTTTGTTGACAATCCTGTTTATTATGAAGACAATAATCATTCTTTTCAATATGAAGTGAGATGCTGAAAGTGACATTTACGCTAGATTAATATTCATCCCACGCTCGGTGTAAAGTGACTGCAATAAGAAGGTACTTTACTGCTCTTTGTGCAGTCTTTCTGCACTAAATGGCACTTACACCTGCCTATGAATTATCAACTGCGCTCCAGAAAATTTAACATCAAATGCCATGGAAAAATAACATTCATTTGTGAAACGTAATTAAGACTCTTCCGATATTTTCTTTTTATACTACAGTATATCACAAGGAAACAAGAGACACAAAGGTCTGCTTTAAGAGGAAAACTGTATCTGGAATTTGTAGCAGGTTAACATGGGGAAAAAAAGACCAACCTTTATGAATCATGTGGTAGTTGTGTATCTCCAAAACCAAATCTGCAGCAACATCCCACACTACAAACCCACACAGCACAAATGTATCCCAAGGGCTTGGAAGATCCAGAGCTTGCTGATGAACTCCCAAGAACATAGCTGCAACTGAACAAGAAGAAGTACTGTTTTTTATAAGAGATTATATTGTGGAGCTAGTTTTACACAGTGTTTAAGTGTTTATTATTTCTCATGTCTATGCCAGCAGGGAACATCTCTTAAAACGCCAATCAAACTTGGCTTATAACTAAACGAAATTCTGAGTTAATAGCATAGAGTTACCAGACACCAAAACAACAAACACGGCAAAAGGCCGCTACAAAACAATTTTGTGATAAAGAAAACACAGTGTTAGAAAAAGTATTGTAATGCAGCACATGGAAATTCTATCTATAAAACATTGGACTTACCAGCAATTATCCTAGCAATGGTGCCTGCACTCCAATGCATCCAGTTAAAGATGTACCTTCTGAGGAGGAGAAAAGAGTTGCACATTGTGTTTATTTGAAATACTTATTTTTCTGAACAGTTCTTCCTCCCTCCGCCTTATATATTTAAATTGTTTTCAACTTCACTTCAAAAGAACGCACTAAACAAATGGGCTGTCCATAAACGGGCAGTTTACCATAAATTGTTAAGGTCAACTTCAACGTGTCCAGTTTAAATGCAAACAGCAGAGCAAAAAGCTAGTTATTGCTAGGATAAATCCACATTTGATTTCAGATCTGTTACAAGTATAAGAATTGGTAAGCCTAGGCACCTCTGCTTGTCATATTCCCTTGAAAACCACCCTTCATATATTATAAGCACCACTTTAGGACAACAATAGGATATGTTGGCATGCATATAGGTATATATTAGCACAGCTCTTACTTCATAATCACTTATTCATGCTACTAAGAAAGCAACCCACAAAATGCATCTTAAGTAAATCAGGATGTAAGTCAATGTGTATTGTGCACACTGTACTGAAGTATTATAAAAGAAAACAACATAGGTAAGACAGGTGCAGAACAGTATAACTATATGTTTTTTTTCTTTATATCTTTACCTCAAGGAATCAGGATGTGGCCTTAAAATAGCCATGAGGGGCTGGAGAAGAGCAAGCGCCATAACTGTACAGCCAAGGAAAGGGTGGGCACCTGCATGCTGCACATGACACAACAATAATGAGAGATTTTGTTATTTTTTCACCCATGTTAGCATTGGCTTGATTGCTTCCTCACCAATCAGATCACTTAAAAGGTATTCCTACTGCTAGTAAAAGTAATGCTGTAGTGGGATGGTAGCAGCAGTGAGGGGGTAAGTATATGCCGCATGCTTGACTCAAAGCCCTTGTCCTCATCTACTGCTGTCTCAACCACTCTACACCCCCGTCCCACTCTCTACACTCCTCCTTCCCCTCCACCAGATGCTCTATAATCCTTCCCTCCTCCCACTTCCAGAGCCTGTTCATTCTCCGCCTTTGCTGCTCAGTGGTAGAATGAACTACCCACAGTAATAAATACAGCTGGGCCCCTGACCACCTTGTGGCACCTGCTCAAGCCTCATCTATACAGACATCATCAGTGATTTCTCAGATCTCAGTTACATTCCATATGTACAGTACATGTTTGGCTCTCAAGTCAGTGATGTGACTGTGCAATCTTACTGTCTACATTCACATTGCCTAGAGCAGAGCTTACATTGCACTTCAATATTGTGCTTTGAACTTTATTTTATTAACTTGTGGTGTGTACAGGATTGTGATTACCTAAAGTAAATTTAATCTTATCTTAAGACACGCTAGGTGAGGGCGTCCGATTACACAATTCAGCACAATATTTTCATTTGGTAGGAAACAGTGACCTCTGCTGTTCACACTGCGAATAGCACAGTGAGCCAAGGCAGAGAAATCAGGTCAGATGAAAATGAAGCGATTGTGTGAAACCGAGCAAATTTACAGTTTAAATATTGTGTCAGCACCACAGCTGTTAGGAGATCTATAGCTAAGTGAAAATGAAGATGGGATGCCAGGGGTTTTAAATGAAAATCATACAGAGACTCTTCAAGACTTACGTGACTCCAGCCACCTCTGTAGGCAAAAGGCAAAACAAAGGCACAACAGGTGAGTAGCACTGTGGAGGTCATTAAGACACGATGCACCTAACAAAGTCAAGATTAAAGGAACACGTAATTAAAACTTATTTTAAATAATGTTTCTAATTAGCACCATGATAGCGTAATTATTGCAAGACCACTGCTAGTTATACCGATTCATTTGAGGCTAAAGGAAACAGGTAATTGAAGCCAAGTGTCTAAAACAAAAGCTGCTACAGAGCCAAATACTAGTAGGTAGTTCATTTAAACGCATATTAAATGTGAAAGCAACACGCTGTCCCAGCTGACACACAATGTACAAAAGATGTGACACAACCTCTCACAACACTGACAGATGAGATGTACAGTGAATCACCACAAATCACAGACCTGGAAGACTGTATCAGAGACATCCAACACAGTAAAACTAACCAATCATCGTTAGTAATATTAATGTATCTCTACTGGTCACACTAAACTTAATATATTATTTGCATTTTGTATTCAAAACATTGTCATACATTTGCGGTGCACTTTGTACGACACTTTCTATAAGAGCAATTTCAAACTCCCCGGAAAAACAGAAAGAAATAAGGAGACACCATTGTGATATGAAAAATGATTACCTAATGATGTCAGTGAAGTTCTAAAAATTTTTCAAATTCTGTTTAGCACACATTTTCATAATAGCTGCAACCCTAAGTAAAAAATAAACTTTGGAGGTGCTCATTATTATGGTCAAAAGTCTCATTTCTGAACCTTAAATTTAAAAGTTAAGTTAAATTTTGATGACTATGCATGAATTCAAGTTTTCTCTCAAAGATCTTCTAAATCTCTCACCTGAAACCATATCTGCTCACCAAACAGTCTGCTCTCTGGCCACAGGGGTTTAAAAAATCGAGCAAAAATGACACCAATGCTAACAGTTGATATCCATGCAACAAGCATTAAAGCACCTGCAAAATTAAGAGAGTCATTTCAAGTGGAAGAATTCCAAGAAGAAACCTGACAAAGTGCTTCCAAACCCTGCAGTGTTTGATAAACAAGCTATTAACTGTGTACATTGATTGTAATTCCACATAAATGCATACCTTCCATGCACACTAAATATTTAACCTCGACTTCAGAAATGCAAAATATTAATACTGCTTAAGAGCAAATACAAAACTGGTTATGATGTAGATCTCTGATAAAGAAAGATAAGAAATGTATAGTCAAATTAAAACTGAAGCAAACTTGGGTACTGTATTTGATAGATACAACACTTTTTTATTCTTCCAGGACATACGTACCATGAGCCTTAATAATTAAGGGAGACCGTGAGCCAACTAAGTTGCCAGGTAGTCCAGAAATAACCTTCTTTTCTGATGAAATCAGAGGCTGACGGTTATGCCTGTGAATCATCCCTTTAATTGAGAGGAAAATACTTAAATTACTTTCACAAGAAGGACTCACATGATATAAGTTGATACAAATTTCCAAAACTGAAGTGATTAGGATTTGCACTTGTCAAAAACTAAGGAAGTTGGTTGAAAACAAAATACTGTAGGTTCATATTATATATATTTAGCAACTTTTGTGAGAATGGTTGCTGAAAACATTTATATTTCATAGATAAAAGTTAAAACAATCATTAAATAATGTAAAATATTTAAAAGCTATTACAAGCTAAAAACAAATTTAAAATACTGTAAATACTGTAATACCTCAAGACTGGCTGTCTTGAGGTATTATCTTGGAAGCAAAAAAACTGCAGGAATGGAGAATTCATAAACTCTGACCTCATTAAGTCATGTAAAAATCACTTTGTCAGGAGCTTTATTGTTTTATGAATGATTCTATCCTGCAAGTCTAGCAGTTAAGGTTTACTTAATATAATCTGTAATTTTATTGCTCAGTAAAAACACAGGTGAACACAAATCACAATTTAATATTTGCAGATGCAATCTGAAGTTAAGCACAATCAAAACACTACAGTGAAACTTATACATCAATAGCTCATTTGGCACACACTTTAAATAATGAGCAGTGATGTTTGTTGATTATAAGAAATAGTATTACTCTCTAGGGAAACAAAATAATAAGCTCAATTCATGTAATTTCATAAAACTACCAGGTGTCCAGTGTCTCATATTTAGGTTGAGTCTAACTAATCTGCATAACTATATAAAAAGGCATGATTTTAAAACATTTTTTGTATGAAAAAATGCAACAAACCCCCCCCACTTTAGTAATAATGAAGATTTATTGGCTGTTGGACACCTGTGAGAAAAATTGCCTGGAAAATAAGTTGTTCCACTTCAAGAACAATTTTGTTTTAAAACTATTTTTTAACTAATTAATTAATTAAAAATAGTCTGACTCTAGACTGGCACATACATGATCCATCTGCATAATAATTTTCAGACTGCTGTGACCACACCACAAAAAATTCAAAGAAGCATTAGGTTGACATTAACAGAATGACATAGTTTGCATGACATGATCTGCATCCTTTGAGGTTGTTTAGGGGCAACATGCTGACAGATGGGAGACTAAATGTCTGAACATCTGAGGTAGCTGATTTATTCACCAAGTTTCCATTCAGTGGGAAAATGGCTCTGTGTTTATACTGGGAGGAATCTCCTTTCACAGAGGAATGTCTTTAGTGCAGATAGAGGATATATTTAAGCATCCATGATAAAATATATCGAATTCTAAAAAGTGATTATAAAATAAACAAAAGTTATTCTATTCTGCAAAAACATTCCACAGTAGTCCACCCAGAAACTAATCAGATCTATCATGAATACTGCCAGGATTGTGTTAAAACTCAGGGACAGCATACCTAACTTTGCAATGTTTTCATTTTAAGTGTTTCACATTTTATACAGAAAAAATATATTATATATTATGTTTATATTTAAACATATAGTGCATAACTGAATATATTTTTAAAATATATTATATAGAATGAGTTTGAATAAGTCTTGCATATTTTAAATGCATCAGTAAACAATTCTCAGTGTTGCAGTTCTGTTTAAAATATGAGACGTTTACCTTTGCTCAGCTGTGTCAATAAAAGGCTGAAGGTAAAAGACCAATTACATCAATACTGACCTAAGTAAAAAATACCAGACTTTCTCAGCAGTTAGAGCACTAGTCATTCAAGAGAGATTCACAGGAAATGTAAGAATTAATTAAGCTTAAATGATTGTGTAGACGCTACAGCAACACTCACCATGCTCTGCTTTACCACTTGCTAAGAATATGTAGTAACTCGTATCAAGATTAAACCTGTGCTCCTCTCCTGGGATCTGAATATTCCTCTGAAATGTACACTGAATAACCCCATCTGACCACCTCCATGCCATATTCCTCAATGTGCTCTACAAAACATATATAAAATTGTAAAAACGGACACATCATCGAGGATATCAAAGGACATTATCAAGACATTATCAGTGTGTCAAAAATTATTTTAACAAAATTGCTCAAACTCTATGTTTGTGATTGTCTAGGGAAACAAAAAACATAGCTATGGAAAAGTTTAAGCATCTTATGTGCAATCACAAGTTACAAAATAAGCATGTTGTTAGTAACATGTACTGAAGTTCTCCACTAAAGACTTCTGCTTATACAAAAACTTTGTATAGATAAGTATCAAACTTTCAAACTTTGAACAGATAGTTTAGATTATCTGCATGAAAGAAAACCAACAGTGTCACTTTGCAATATTTAATTCACGTTGATCACAAATGTGATGTCAACAGCTCAAAATAAACAGTCAATGAACAGCACACATGTAGCTACTCCATGAAATTTGCCGATTAAATCTAATTGATAACACATTCTCAGGTGTTTCTTACCATTAAATTATTTTTTCCCTACATTCTGAAAAGTTAAAGGCTCAACCTACGAAGAGAAACTGTCAAAAAATGGCACCTATTTCAGTAGAAAATCAGCACAGAATATCTACATTAAGAAGGATAAAACAATCTGTGAAAAGAATACGTAAATACAGTACAGCAGTGTAGCTATAGTATGTGATTTCAGTACTTTTTTTAGGATTTAGTTGGTCCCCTACCTGTAACTCTACTTCAGGATGGGTTCGGCCTGTGACATATGCTGGATTTATGTCCACATATTCATTTCTTCTAACACATAAATATACATCGTCATCACCCTTTAGACAAAAAGAATCAATTAGAAGATCAATTAGTTGTATGAATCATAATAACGTTCCATCCCCTGCTGCAGACAGCTCACTGGAGGTGCAGAGCATAATCAAGATACTAGCCCAAAGCTAGGATGCTCATTAATATTAAAAAATATATTCTCGGTGAGAAATCAAGTCTCTTGGGGGGATAAAGAAGTGTTTTACTTCTTTTCATCATGATTCTGATGCTTAAGGCATGAAGTAATCTTGGTATATTCACCTACCATCCATTTGTCATGTGACAATGCAAAAGAAACATATCCCTCAGCAGGTCCACTGAGTTCAAACACCACTGACTGCTCCTGGCCAGCGAATGAGAGGAAATGGCACTTTGGATCAGTCTCTGGATCACAACCAACTGGATCACGCAAACAGGACTTTGTCCTGCCACAACCCTTTGAGGTAAACTGGGTAAAGAAAAAAAATGATTAGCTCTCTAATTCATGCTACACAGAAGAACATGAATAGCTGCCGAGTACAAGTTAAAATGTTCGTGAAATACAGTCAAAAATTAACATGTAGTACAGAATGACATTTCTGGTGATTGGAGTATTTAAAAATACACTCTTAAATCTTAAAATCTTTGCTCCTTTGCAGGACTCCCCAGAAAATAAAGATTGGGTATTTAGTAAGATGTTTCTTAATTAGTGATCACAAAAAATAACACAAACACAAAGAGGCTTAAACTTACTGGTTTTGTAAGTGCAGATGGATGTGTTGTCTGATCAGTAGCTGAAGTTGGCAGGACTGGAGGACTCACATTGCTCTGAGATACAACTGGGCCTGGTATTTTGACCCAGAAAACATCATAGTGTTGAACAACTGTAGCCCTGAAACAAAAGATTTTCAGCAACAAATTCCATATGCTCGATTTATGTCCACATATTCATTTTTTTGTAACATACTGTAAATATACAGTGTCATCGGCCATAAGATACAAAAAATCAGTTAGGAGATCAATGAGTTGCATGCATCAAAATAATGTTCAATGTTCTCCATCAATTATCAGAAAGTCTCTTATTCCTGTACATAAAGCTGTACCCTGTACAGAACACCAGTCCATCACAGGATAGACACACACAAGCACAATTGAGACATACTAATCAACCCAGATTAATAAAATACACACAAACATATGGAGAGACATGTTCTTTTATTCTACTGTATGAAAGTTAAAACATACCCCCCAAAAAAAGTTAAAACATCCTTTCTAACAGTGGTCTTGTTATATTTAAGTCAAGCCAAGCAACTAATTTTTTTAAAAGTGGAGAATATAAGGAAGAACTCACAGAAATTGGACGGAAGGTGGAGAATTTTTAGGCGCATTCCAGATGACTTTGATCTCCATCTTTTTGGACTTACTGGTATGACTAACTGCTGATCCCTGAAAAGAAAAGTATTGAAGCACTTCACCTAAATGAAGAATATTTTCTGTCTAAATTATATTATGAAATGCTGCTATGACATTAGGGTATCAATATATTTATCCATCCATTTTCTAACAGCTTTATCCAACACAAGGCCACGAGGGAGCTGAAGTCTATCCCAGCAAGCAACGGGCACAAGGCAGGATACACCTTGGACAGGATGCCAGTCCAGTGCAGGGAACACATTCACACCAGAAGCCAATTAACTCACCAGCATGTCTTTGGACTGTGGGAGGAAATAGAAGAACCTGCAAACAAGGGGGAACATGCAAACTCCAGGCAAAATGTACCCCAGGAACTGGACCCAGGACCACAGTGTTTTGAGTCAGCACTGCTAACCACACTGCCACCATGATGCCCGGATATCACTATATGCATGTCAAAATCACCTTTTTAATTTGCTTTTAATTCCCAAATCAAAAAAGAAGAACAACTAAAGCATAACATCCATTAAATTCTAAATTTGCTGGAATTGTACTGATTAAAAACACAACAGAAATGTAGGGGCCCCAACTGGATCTATTACACATTTAAAGCCTCTCAGTAATTATTGCTATAAAAACTGATATGAGTCCTTCAGCAATAAAAGTAAATACATCACTCTTTCTCCAATACAAATTCCACAGTTCTTTAAGGTGAAGGATTTTTAAAGCGATATTATACCTTTGTGCTCCCACAGTTTAAAAGCTGCGCATCAGCATTACTAAGAAGGCTAAATGATCCAACTGCATCAGCACTCAGATTTGAGGTGTCCCGTGCTTGAATGAGAAACCCTTTAAAAGGCTCTCCAGGTGCAGATCCAGAGAGAGTGACTAGGAATGAATAAGAATTCAATTTCAAGACAAGAAACTGTAATTCCACAAAATTAGCTTAATCTCCAATATTCCTATTCAGTGCTGAAGGAACATGGAACCCCAAATTTACTTTTGTCGTAGCTATCTGGAGCTTACGGTTAAACAAAAAAATAATTTCTTAGATTCTATTTCTTTATTATAAAGATCTAAATTTAAAATCTAAAGTTTGATCAAACCTCACTGAAAAGTAATACACTTTACAATACAAAAGCTGTGTGGCTCCATCACTACTAAGTTATGATTAATAGATTCTGATATAATGAACTCACTATTGATTTGTTACAGGAAAACAGCACTGGAAATATTTTCATTTCTAGTAGGGTAGTGCAATTAGTTTTTTTCTACTTTCAAAACTAGAAGTTAGAAAGCAAATGTAAAAATAAGTTCTGCAGTATTAAGACCATCCTTTCTTAATTAGATATAACTTAGATATAATTAGATAAAAAGAAACATGTTTCTTAAGATATTTACATATAAGTGAATCTGAATCATTCCACATACCTCTGATCTGATCACCAGGACTGAAGTGATTTTTATCAACAGATATCTTGTAGGGACTGGCCTTTGTACTACGAGCATGACCATGGCCTGGTCTCATACTTTTACAGGATTTCGATACTTTCCCATTACTATAACCAGCAACAGTGTTCAAGGAGAGAAACACAATGAAAAAAAAGACACCTGCCATGTTTAAGTCCATCTGAAAATAAAAACATATTCAATGATTAAAGTTATGTCTTCATACAGTACTTAATCTATAATCTAAAGATATATAATCTATATATATATATTGATTTTAAGAGCTACAGACAGGAGTTACTGTGCAGTACGGTTTCTGTATAAGTATACCAAGTATTACAGGTTCTGTGTACGTATAAGTACAGTATAACATTATGTTTGAATTGCAGTTTGAAGCCAAATAAAAATGGTTAACATCATATTTATAAATAATCAGTTTTTCAAGGAAAAGAACCTGGCACTCAGTGATCAGTTGATTAGTGTTGTCTGGACTTTAGTGATCTTGTTTTGCACTGGGCGTTACAAGAGGTTCACCACTATGGAATATGACATAGCCACCAAACATTCTGGACAATATAGCCAATACAGGCCTGTAAATGAGGGTGGAGAGATGGTTCACTAAAGCCACTCGCTAAGTGGCTCTACTATGTCTAATAGGTATGTAGTTGGCACAGCTCAGATCATGTAAGAGCTGTTTACAGTGCTCTCCATGACTACTTACCAATTAGAAATGTGTTGCTAAGCCAAACCAAGACAAGGCATGGCCTAAGAGAGCAGCTGTGGTGAACTAGAAAGATTCCTATTCACATATAATGAACCTTTTCCCTTGGACAGGGCAGTACAATTAAGAAGATGCCCAACAATGTAACAAAATAGCAAGTGAAGAGGTGAATGTCCTGTCTCTGATAAACAAGACACTGTACTGTATGTGAATTCCACCTTCCTCCAATTTGACCTCCTCTTTAAAGACTGAAACATAAGTGACAACAACCAGAGCATAGATGAGACTGGTAGTAAATAGAGGGACAAAAGGTCGTATTTGTTTTATATTTGATGGAAGCTTAATTTCCTTTTAGTACCTCTCAGGCAGAGCACATGTCTCTGAAATGCATTTAGAAGAATTGCATTTTATACTGACCCCCTAATACTAATAAAAGGTCCAATTAAGAGATTTCACAAAGGATTCTAATGAAATGAAGATTGTATTATTCAACTTTTTTCCAATTATGGACAACGCACACAGCATGTGCTAAATAAAAATAACACTTTTTTCCACAAATACTTCTTCAATTTAGAACTTCTCATATTCAGGCATGCATGAATCATCTCTGTTTACATAAAAAAGCAAAACTTTTAAATCTAGTGTGAAACAACATGAAAGATGTTGGTCAATTTTTCTGTACAATCTTGAATACCTGGAACAGAGTTCAACCCCAAAATTGCTGCAGTTATTTCTTTCCAAGTTACTGGTAAGAGGCATCATAGTTTAAAATAAGAAGACAGTGAAGTTACTCTTTTAAGGGAGCAATTACAGCACTGCTTTATCTATTCTGGAACATTAAAATAAATTAAATTTAATAATAAAGCACCATGAGAAATGTGACTTTTTGGATGTTTTTGACTCCACTTACGTTTAAATGTGTATCTTCAAGCTGATTCTTGAACAATATCAAAAGCTCTGTCTGTCTCTAATTTTTCATTAACTGCATTTTACCAGGGATCTAAGGGCAAGTCTTCCTGCCTTTATCAGTATGATTCTGAATTATATAATAAAAATGTAAATAATTCTCTAAATGTGGAAAGACTGCAAGGAGTCTCATTTTGACAAGCCTTGGTTAAAGTTTTACCAGTTCTGGAAAGAAATTGGAAGCCTGCTCTTCAAATCTTATCTTGTAGGAAAACAGGAACACTGTTCTTATTTTGTTGCTGTTTTATCAGCTATTGCAGTTAAGTGTACTGGTCTGGCCGTAAAGATAAAGCTTATAACAACCTAATTTCAAGTTTCTCTGAAAACCAAGTACACCTTTGCCTTAAACTATATTAATTCAAACATAATTCAAATTAATGTGAAGTTATTTCAAACTTGAAATAAACTAATTTGGAATGCATATTTTTTAGGTATTAGTAATAGTAATTGAACTGAATTTTTGAAATGGGTTTTAACATGATTCATGCTAATCTTAAACACACTGAAAATGCTGTAAATGACTATTTTGAACCTACGTAGGTAAGCTCATTATTTGTTCATGTCCAAACAAGTTATACTGCAGACTAGTATTACTAAACACTATGTGGCAAATTTTAAAAAAATCTTAAGTTTCTTTAAAAAGAAAGAAATAGAGGCACAATGAGAGCAAACGTCTCATTTCATTAAGCTAGGGGGCCTGCAGTTATGTACCAAAACAACACTTAAGAGCTCTTTTCTTAATATATCTTTATAGGCAGTGGTTTTACAAGATGTGACATGTAGAAAAGTTGGAATATTGTGTGAATCCAGCTACATACAGTAATAATGGAACTAACAGTCAACTATTCATTAAGATGATTTTTTAAATTAAAAGCACTCTTTTTCTTAAATAAGGTATATGTGTGTAATTCTATCTTAGTCTTGTTTATTATCATGAATAGTTCTCTGTACTTGGGTTAATGTTAAAGGTAAACTTCCTTTGAGCAGATTTCAAATAATATATAATTTCTGTTTCAAAATCATGTTTCCATTAATCTGAAAAACACAGGAATTGCTCATTATTGTATCTAGCTGTTTAAAAGACACCAATGCTTTAGTAGTTCAGATAAATCATTTATCCTTATTAATTTTTCAATTAAATTTTAAATGCTCAACATTAACATTAACGTCCAAACTCTTTGCGAAAGCCTTCAAGGAACCCTAAACTGTAAAACATATTCATCCAATTACTGTAAAACGCTATGATACTATTGTAGATACTGTATGATCAAACATCCAACTTATTTTCATTTCTTAGATGACTGAAAGTCAGATCAAATATTTTACTGGCTCAAAACCACGAAAAGCAGAAAGATTTAAAAAGAATGAACATTTTAGATTCTGTATGTTCTACTGCGCGTCCATTGATGGGACACAACGGATGATACCTTTGATTACCTGCATTTCAAAGTCAGAAGCATTACACCTGTCAATGATACCAATTCGGGAAGTAACTGAGAACACGATTAGAAGATGTGAGTGTATATTGCAGCTCGTAAGACTTCACTTGTCTCAGAAGAACAAAATCTAAAATAACGTCTTTTGAAATAATACATATGATTTAAAAAATTGTAAATGTCATTCTCTCACCTTGCTTGTGCAGTCTCCTTCACTGTTAAGGAAGTGCAAAAAAAAACACAGCAGCCCATTCAAGGAGTAGTAGTGGCAGGGGCGGTCCTTCTGCGACTGGCTTCGTACGTAAGGGATGTGGAGCTGTCTCAATCATATCACGTTCCCCACAGTCCTGGCGTACAGCAGTAATTGCCTGCAAGTCGTTTGTGAGCTGTGCCCCCTGGCGGAGCTGAGCCCAAAGGATAACCTGAGAAAGGGCAAGAGATGAAGGTTTAATGATTATTGAGCGCTACAGAGTCCTGAGCTGCGTTTTTCTGCTTTTCAGCTGCTTCTCAGCTGCTTCTCTGTTCTTCGGCGTCTAACGAAGAGTTTGTCTTTAGAGGGAGGTGGAGACTGAGCCGGGCCATTCAGAGTACTGTTAAGGCTTAAGGTTTAGCTACATGCTGGAAAGGGACTAATAAACATATCATGCATAAACACTCGAGACGAAGGCGTCAGAAAATAACCAGCAGCGGTTCTCTGGATATAAGGAAGAAGCTGAAGTAACTGGAAAAAGCCGATGTGGCGGGGGGTACCATGCAAACTCCACATATAATGTACCACAGTCTGAAGTCAAACCCAGGACCAAAGCGATGTGAGAAAGCAACATGCATTAATTTCATGTTTTATTAAGTTAAGTGCAACTGATTTGAGAAGAAAAATGAAGTTCCCTCCCTACATTGTTCCTGAGGAATACTTTCAGTTTTCAGTTTCAGTTTACATGTATGTCTAACTTAGGCGACGTGATGTATTTATCTGTTTCTAAGCGTGCATGAAAGCGTAGGTGGAAACAAAAATGGAAAACCAAGGTATTTTGGCAGATGAATGTCCCTGAGGGAAAAATGGTCCTGCAAAAATAAGATTTTTAAATCGTCTATTAGAAACAGTACGGTAACGGCGGGTAAAAGGTTGCGGAATTAACGCCACGCCTCTCTCTGCAGCGTCTGGAACAGCTGATCCTGCTGCAGCTCAGATAGAACCAGGAAAAACAAGGTGATTCTGTGCAGAATCAATTATTTTTCAATGCTTGGCTTTTTATATACGGTGTGAAAATTAGTTGCATGTTTTTCTGTGTTGTTACTCTTTAAAAACGTTTTAGCGGACATTCGTCTTAAATATGCGCGTTCATGTTGAGTCCAACGTTATGCACAGGGAGATAGTGTCATATTTGCACGGTGGGGTGAATTTAATGTGAAGCTTCATCGGTCAGGACAGTTAAAATAGCCTGACCTTCTACAGCTGAATTCCTGACCTTGGGAGATGGTTAATTATGGCTGCATGGTAGCTGCTCGGTGGAGCAGACTCTGTACGAGTGTAGCAGGGATGTGAGCTGTTTGCGGTGCGACTTAGAGAAGAGGGTCTTGGGTTTTTTTAATTGGCCGGCACAATTAGCGCTTCCTGATTAATTCAGACTCAAGATACAGATCACAGGTGTGTTTAAAAAAGAGTTTTGCACGGATGTTCTGAAGAAGGTATCACTATAACTTCGGGGCTTCTTATAGACGTTTTAATGGTTCAGAAACTTTTTTTTACCACGCAACAAGTGTGCGCATTAAAAAGGATGACAAAGTAAAGATCGGTAGCAAGATTGTAGCCTGTTGTTTAGATTAGAGTGTTTCATTTGAGTTTATTGATACGAATGTGTTTACAAAGCAATGTGTTCTGCCTGTATCTATTTGGGGACTGGGGATGAAGGACATTTGGAGAGGTTTCTTCGATTTAAAATGAGATGTTAGCACCTAAGCTGCACGCGAATGCTGAATGGGTGAAGGACAGTTATTTTTAGAAAGCAGAATAGCACCTAACAGGCTGTCTGTCTCAGTATTGTAGAACCGGACAACAGCCAAAGCCATTATTACAAACGGACCGCAGATGAAAGGATCTGTCATTTACTGTACCTAGAGTGTTCAATTCACACTATTGAACTTGCATTTCGACTCTCTCTCTCTCGCAGTAGAAAATAGCTGCTTATTCCGTCTCTTGGGCATTAAGGATGTAAGTAAAAATAGATTATGAAAGTGCTTTCTTGTAAATAAATGTAAGTGTTCGACCCTTTTCTTTTTGTTAAAGGTGGTCTGCTGGAATCCCAGTGTATAATTTCCTTTGTGTGAAGGTGAGCCTTGTGAAGGACAGCAAAAATGGTGGCCAGCAAGCAAATTAGGGTTTTGCTTCTCAGTGATATGGAGAAGCTTGAAAGGACCCTCTTTAGACTGGAGCAAGGTAAGAACATTTTCCTATAGCCACCCCCATGCTTTGCACAGAGTTTTGTAATGGGTGTGCAAATATTATGCATTGTGATTTATTGGTAGAACTTTTCATTTTAAACTCTGTGCAAAGAGCAAAGAGATTCTGTTACAGCTCGGGAGCAGTCGTGCATGGTTATTTTAGAAATGTTTCGGTTAAGAAATATATTGTTCCTGGAAGTGTTCTAAGGTGACATGAAATGGGACAGGTACTGAGTGCTGCACTCAGAAAAAGTGTTTGAACAGTTCAGCCAGAGACGCATAATCTTCATTTAAGAAAAAAAGATTAATTGAGATTTTGCACATTAAAACCCACTGGACTTTCTTATGGAACTGTTATACAGTTGATATTGTTAAGGCAGTTTTAAATTTCAGTAATGTATTTCAGTGCTGCTATTTATAGACGTGCATAGAGCTTCTTGTCTCTGTGGATTAATGTGAGTGTAGTTTAATATTTAAAACGGTCATGTTATTGACATATTGTAGAGGGCTTCCTTAATTGTGAAAAGGAGTAGAATTTTATTGATTTATTAAGTCAAATAAAAAGGAAAACAGAATTGGATTGCAGAATATGAATTGTGCATTCATATAATCTGGTCCTCAGTTTTTCCATATTAAAAAAAGTCAGGTCAGAAATAGCTTGTCCACCATAAAATCAGGTATTTTCAAATCAAGTAAACAAGTTCATTTAAAAAAAAAACAGTATTATGAATACAGTGTACACTTAGTTTACCTATGTTTTTTTTTTTTTCCTGAAACAAGTGTGCACTTGTTGAAGTTGAAGAAGCTGGGTGTTTTAAAAACTATCCAGAATCTAAATGTTTCTAAACTTAGTTCTTCAGACATGGTATTTGAAATTACTTGATATTACATAATTTCCATTCATTCAGAAATTTCCCTCCCCCTGACTTTTACAGATTAATAAGATCTACTTAAATTCACCTTTGTCTAATTAATCCATTTAGCATATCTTTAACAAGCCTCAGCTAAAACACCTGAAGAAGGAGAACTGTCTTCAGTGTTAATGAAATACTCCTCAGTTACACAATATTACACAACTTGGTTTTTACAGCTATTACTCAAGCAATGCTGAATTTACTTTCTTCTAAGAGTTTTTCTGTAGGCATTTTAATGATAGGTATTTAATTCTTAAATGTATTTGGTAAATTCAAGAAGGATGGAAATCTGGTTCAGAATGCATATATCATTTATTTAGACAAAAACCGAAGATGCGTTTATTGGATATAATGGAGGAGCTAGATAAAGAGTTGTGAAGGGGACCGTGTTAATATTAAGAATAGAATGAAAGTTGAAATTCAGGTTGCAAAAAAACACTGATGAAAGCTATTGAAGACAAAATAGTGTTTTATTCAGAACAATTCTTGGTTCTGACTGCACACAAGTACGTGCAAACCTTTCTCCATCCTAAGCAAATCTGTTTTTTTGCTTGTATCAATTTAATATGGGCAGGAAATCAAGCTGTTGCCTCAGGCATGACAAACAGCTGTGGAACAAGGCCAGACTCAATTTCAAGTCTGGGTTTTGGCACCTACAGTATTTCACACAGAGGACACTGGAAAAGTACAGAGTAGTTTAGGCCCAGAGCCTTATAACTCGATTTCATCAACAGAAAAATGTATATAGTGAGCGTTAAAAACTAAATGCCTTTCAGCAAGCCCGTGGAATGAATTTCAAGGTGTGGTAAACCTTGTTTGATATTTTTGTAATGTGTACTGTATATACTGTATATTGCAGATGTGCTTCAGTATTGCAGAAGTTTATTTTTTGTTTTAAGGCTATGAGCTTCAGTTCCGATTAGGCCCTACGTTGCAAGGGAAGCCTGTGAAGGTCCACACAAACTATCCACTTCCTGGGGAGCAGTTTAAACGCCATAATTTTAGGACATTGGATTGGTTTAACCCAACTGGAAGAGAAGATGATTCTGATAAGTTTTGTAAGATTGACCTACAGATTGCAGGATCTTACCAGTATTTTTTTGAGTATGGGTAAGTTGCTATTGCTGTTTTTCCTGATTCAGTCTGTTTTAAATTTGAAAGTTGCCAGTCGGATTGGTTATAAATCTTTAACTGCTGCAGTCACTTACCCTCTGTCAAAGCAAAAGTTAAAGGGGAACTGCACTCCCAATTTTGCAGACCGGTTAGTAACTCTCAGTAACAAAATAAATAAATTGACAGTATAGAAAAAAATGACAAATTTCAAATTAAGCACAAAATCGTGATCTTTGTAAAAATACTGCATCGCCATGTTGTCTCAAACTGCTGATCTCGCCACAGGAGAGAGCAAGAGTTTGCGTGAACTGTGACGTGGTGACCCTTCCTGCTCACTTGTCACTGTAATGACTAATGTGATGTACAGTACAGGTTGTATAGCTGATATTTCACCGCAGAAAGTTTCCAGCGTAATCTGCATGCAGAGTTAACAAATAGGTTCATTTTATCGGCAGAAACGTCTTGAATTTGAGAGCTATATTTCCATCGGTTTAAAAGAGATGTATTCACAAGCCTGCTTCTTTACAACGTAATAGGGCTGCTTCATGTCACCAGATGTTTTGTTGCCTCGTTCTGAATGGCTTAATTCGGCGCTGCACATACCTGGAAATTATTCTGTTCTATGATATAAATTGGAGGTTTTACAAATGTATGTGTATCTGACTTTTATTGTGGTTTGTGGTGCACTCATCAATTCTGATTCTTTCTAACCCTGAAATATAAAAATAGCTTTGCAGTTCCCCTTTAATAATTTCATTGTCCCCAAATGCTTTGTTTAATAATAGTCTGGTGCATGGTAGATTGAGCATAGTCCTTAAAGTCTATGCCAGGTATTCTAAATTGTGCTTGACAGGATGCTCTGAATGGTAACATATTGAAATATTCTTTAAAGGAAAGAAGAGAAGAGAGGTGGAGGATATGTGGTTGTTGACCCTGTGTTACGAGTTGGTGCTGATAACCATGTCCTTCCACTGGACTGTATTACCATTCAGACTTACTTGGCCAAGTGCCTGGGTCCCTTCCATGAGTGGCCAGACAGACTGCGAGTTGCCAAAGAATCAGGTAGGGACAGTATACAGCATACAGTTTACAAGTATAGTAAAGAAATGTTTTTTACTTGTGGGGGTGTCAGTGTCTGTATGACACACGTATTATTACACTGTATACTGCTAATCCACTTATCCCCTTTGAAGGAGCTCTGGTATTTTGTTTTAAAACCCAGGTTTAAAATGGTGTCCCAGTTTATGCTGAATTAAATTATTAAGATATTGGCAGTAGTTCTTTATTTTACCAGAAAAAGACAAGTCATGAAATTTTAAATAAACTAAATAAATTGGAATTCGATAAAAAAGAAATAACATGTTCTCTACTAGTTTTGACTTCAAAATTTAGACATGAGTTAAATCGGTAGGTTTAACGAACATACGAAATATAAACTACAAATCTATTATTTAATTTGGCCTCCTGCCTGGAAAAACCTTCATCAAACACAATTCAAATATTTTGCCTGTAGTTTTAGGTTGGCCAGAGTTTTTGTTTAATCTGGGCTGTAGTTTTGATCTTTAGACTTGGAAGGTGTAGAAACCAATGATGACAAACATTGAAGAGTTCTTTGTTAATCCCAGTGATTTCAGTAAACTTTTCAAAACATATACATCAATTTTGGCATTCATTGTACTGCACCAGTATTTACATTACTTTCTGACCCTGAATAACTGCATGCTGAGTTTGTTAAAGCATCTCTAGGGTAAAGGTTTTGGTTTAATTATTAACCAGTTTCTTTTGGATATAGGTACAACAAAATTTAGATCTGTGTTTTTGCTTTTCATTATTTTTTTACCATATGTAAGCGATTCAGTTGAGATTGAATATGAATGGTCATATCAGCTTTCTGAAACTTAAAGAATAACTGCACTGCCAGATTTGCAAAGTCATTATTTCCAATTTGTGTTGGAGGTGTATTTAAAATTGATTTTTATATTGCTACAACTTTATTTAAATAAAGCATTATTTTTCAAAGCCATTTACTTTTCAGATTGGCTTGGAAAGATGAGATGATTGAACTTATCTATAAAACAATGCATATCATCTGCTGAATCTACAGTCTTTTTCTTTTGTGTCTTGTAGGGTATAACATGATTCATTTTACACCACTTCAGACACTGGGTTTATCTCGGTCATGCTACTCCTTAGCTGACCAGCTAGAGCTGAACCCAGATTTTTCAACCTCGGAAAAAAAATACAGTTGGGCAGATGTTGGCAAACTAGTGGAAATGCTCAAGAAGGAGTGGAATATGATTTGCATTACAGATGTGGTTTACAATCATACAGGTATGTAAACATCTGCATGCCAATCTGAGAGAGGATTCCCTGTGTCATTGAGAGCCTTTGAAGAAAAAGCTATTCAGGTTTAAAACGGATCAATTTCATCCTGGAGAAACATGACAAAACATTTTAATCAAATATTCAATAATTATTAACAAATGTACTAACCTCTACACTTTAAAGTGTGTAGAACATAAGCAAAATCCCTTGCTGTGTGCCGTCGGATAAATCAAAGATTTAGAAAGGAATGCCTGGTGGAGGGAAATAAGGAAATCCTCTTTGTTCCTCTCCCTGATAATAATGTTCCTTGTATCTCTGCTTATCTCACACTTCCATCATCTTAAATGTAATATCTCTTCCCATTCCTAATTGTCCTGGATATGTACACCTTCTTAGCAAATGCATAATAAAAAGATGTTGCAGTGCATGACTGATATTCAAGGATGATTACTGTTTGGTCCTGGTGTTTACAACTTACAGGATGTTCATAGCCTGTACTTAGAATGAGCACAGCTACTGTTAAAATAGCCTTTCAGAATACCATGAAGCTTAATGAGATGAATGCAATTGGCTACTTAGAGCAGAGCTGTAGCCAAGCTACAGTACAGAGTGGGAAAAGATCAGCTGTGTGTGACCTGCATACAGAACACTATGCTAGAAAAGCCCCACTGAATGCAGAATCTGTTGTTGGTGAGTGTCTGAAACAAGGTGCTACTTCATCTTTAAAAAAAAAAGTTGGTCTCCAAGGAGAAATTTGCAGAAAAAATATTCTGCAAAAAATAAACATTTTTTATGCTATGCATGCATGAATTCGAACATTCACTGAAAGATTTCAGCTAAGAATTCAAACCCTGTCCAATCTATAATTGCAGATTCTTTCTTCTAGTGGTTGGTTTTGTGCTACAATTCCCTACTGCACCTTAAACTCTCTACTTTGGCTAAAAATTGATTTCATACTAGGTTTTGTGGACTGACACACCATTGACGCAATTTGCACAATTTTGTGCTGTTTGTATGGATTTTCAATAGGAGAAGATCACCATTTATTGCCACAAGAGATTTTCATTTACTAGCTACAGTGCTAGACTCTATGGTGAAGTGAATATAGGGAATATGTCTTTTGCACCAACATGATTTGCACAAGAGGAGCAATGAAACTCCTCTTGGCTTGAGCTTGAGTCCAGTGTTTTAAAGGTCATGCACTCAGTGAAATACAAGATGTTACTCAGTTTAAATTCCAGGTTCTGCTCTGAGTCTTAGTTGAGGAAACTAAATGTAACCACTGTAGGTACAGTGTCATTCCACACAGCTTGTGTATTATTAATGTGCAGTCGTTTATCAGGTTATCAGCTGCTAATACAGTACGTAATCTACTACAACATAAATTTCAATTGCAGTCCTGTTTTCCCCACAACTAGAGTTATACTGTTTCTGTCTTTAAATGAAAGAGTACTTTTTTTAAATGAAAATACAGCATTGAACAGCCACACAACTGCTAGAAAATGTGCATCATAAGATGTGCCTGTTGCATTTGCTCTCAAATCCTAATTTTGCAATTGCTCTTTTTTGTTTTCATTCTGTGCGTTGAGCTGCAGAATACTTTAGTAAAGTGATATACAGGGTATGGATTATTTCACTACAACACAATGCACATTAGCATGCAGTAGCCTAAAAGTTATAATTTAGTAATTTGACATCTCTGCGAAAATCACATCATATTTAACTTTTGATTGCAGTACAAGTGAAATACCAACTTCATTGATAAGGTCATTGTAGTCACTGTTTGTGGGAGTGGAGTTTTGATATGTGTTTTTGCTCTTGATCCCTTTCTTTTATATGCAGCTGCCAACAGTAAATGGATTCGGGAACACCCAGAGTGTGGCTATAACCTTGTCAACTCTCCTCACCTTAAGCCTGCCTGGGTGTTGGACAGGGCAATATGGCACTTCACTTGTGATATAGCAGATGGGAAGTACAAAGACAGGGGTCTGCCTGCTCTGATTGAAAATGATCAACATTTAAATGTAAGTTATTATTTCCACATTCATGAAACCTCATCCAAGGGCAATAAGGCTGCTGATTGCCCCCAGGTAGCCCATTTACATGTTTTTGTACAATGTAAGATTCTTTTCTGTACAGGCTATTCGCAGAATACTCTGGGAGGATGTCTTCCCAAAGGTTAAAGTGTGGGAATTTTTTCAAGTTGATGTGGAAAGAGCTGTGGAGCAATTTCGAGATCTTCTCATTAGTGGTGAGTGGTAGTGATGTTAAATTACTATAGTGATACTATAAAGCTCTGCTAACTTTTGTCATCCACTGTAAAATGATTGTAATTTATCAAGGAATATTGTTAGCAAAGCATTAGAAGATGTACTGTAAGTGAATGGGTTAAAAGCTTTAAGAGCACAGATGCTTTGATTTCTCAGCTTGATCAACTTGTAGGAAGTAAAAGATAACCCAGATCTCCACCCTTCTACTGCTTATTGCAGTTCCCATTTAACATTAAAGTGCATCTTCATAAGCCATTTAATATTGATGTTACATTTTCAGTTATTAACAAATTAAGGATCAATTTCTTTTTTTTTCTAGGCTGATTTTTTTTTTTATATTTGCTTTTATTCAGGCGGTCAGGCGGGTAAACACAAGACTGATACTAAACAGCATCTCAGGATTATCCAGGATCCACAGTATAGACGGTTCGGAAACACTGTGGATATGAACATTGCTCTGGAAACATTCATTCCACATGGGTAAAGTTCAGATGTTGGGAGCTGAATTACCTATGCGAAGTGCTTGGAGTTTTCAGTGGGATTTTATTTGGCGCGTGCTGTGCTTGTAAACTTACCTATGACCAATTGCTTCCCAGTTAAAAATAGTAAAAACCTGCCAAGTTGTGACATCTCAGTCACTGAGTGTTATGCTTCCTCCATACCAATGGAACAATTTACAGTTGAGGCCGTCACTAAGCCTATTTAACTGGAATTTTAGCTGGTTAATGATTGATTAGTTTCCATGATTAAACTTATTTTTGTCCGCTTTAAAAAAAAGATATACTGACAGCACCCTTTTCGGTTTTACGTTATGTGGTGTGTCACAATAACGCTTTGTTTAGCATTGCTGCCTCGCAGAGCTGGGGCCCTGGCTCCAGTTCCAGACCTGGAGTGCTGTCTGTATGGAGTTTGTGTGTTCTCCCTGTGTTTGCATTGGTTTTCTCTGGATGCTCCTACCCTGCTTTCGCTTGTTGAGATAGGCCTCGGCAACCCCCACAACCCTGAAGCAGATTAAGCGGTTAGAAAATGGATGGATGGTGAATAACATTCGCGTCCACACTATTTAAAATATTATGGAGATATGGATATATAGATTATCACTATAGAGATAACAAAAAGAAATATCCGATAACCAGCCAAAACGAAACACCCAAAATGAATTAAATTGTGATCAGGTCAAGACTCAAGGGTAATAATTGCCTTTTAAAGGGAGCTACGTGAAACGATCTCTGACAATTTCACTGAAAGGATTTCGTCTACGTCTTATTCTGAATATTCTTCTATCTCAGCAATGGACCATCAGCTATTGATGACTGCTGTAACTGGTTCCGTAAGAGACTTGAGGAATTGAATGGGGAGCACTACAGGGAAATTCACTATCATCATGAACAGGTTTGTTTGTGTCCTGTCTTGTGTTTTTTTGTAGTTGAATTACCCACAATTTACTAAGCTTTCTTTGAGGTTTCTCTTTGATCGCTCCTTTTTCAGGCAGCCAATTGCATTGTGGGAAATGTTGTTTATGAGCGTCTTGCAGACCATGGGCCCAAATTAGGCCCCATCACCAGGAAAAATCCCTTGGTAACAAAGTATGTATCTCATGCTTGATTTTAATTTATTGTTCATGTAGAGAAACTGAAGATATTAACTATCAAAGTGAAATTAGTTCAGTATGAAAATTCTGATTTATAAAGAAGCAGCCAAGCTAAAAACATTTTTTTTTTGGCTAATATAGGAAGGGGCAGCCTGTTGAAGTATCTGAAATAGTTTCCATTAGAGGGCGCCTCTGTTCACATTCAGAGTATGATGATGCTTGTAGTCATGAGAGTTGTAGCCTCAATAGGACTACTTGATTCATTTTATGATCCTGGCCATGTATTCCTAACCTTCCAAAGTCAATGCAAATACTGTAGTTCCTGCAGTTGGTGGGACTGCATAACATTTGAATGTTAGTAGTTTCCATACAAATTTATTTGTTTCAAATACTTTTCTCATTTAATTGTTTGATTTAAAGGGGACTGAGAAAAACACATCTTAGATGTTCTCATAGGAATTTTGAGTGAGCTTTTTCGTTTAGTAACTCATGTTACAAATTTTAATAGGAGCGTGTACTGTAGAATAGAATTGTGTAAAGCACATTATTTTCCCATTTGTTGTTCTTTTTACAATACAGAATGGGGATTTTCAAACTAATTTTGTTGCAATTGTTTTAGTTTCTAACATGCGTCAAACATAGTTTAATTAGTTCCTCAAAGGTTTACAACGGCTCCTCCTCGGAGGTGTTGATTCTAATTTGAACACCCTAGTCTTCTAAAGAGATAAGACAAGAAATACTGAAAGCTGACTTCCTTTTTCAGATATTTTACTTTTGTTTTTGGCGAGATGACTCTGAAGGCAGAGGAGGCCCTCATGCACCAGCCTGACAAAGCATGTCATTTCCTCGCTCACAATGGTTGGGTGATGGGAGATGATCCCCTCAGAAACTTTGCTGAGCCAGGTGATCTCCCTCTGACCTGCCACCAATCAACAGTTTCCTATATACAGTATTTAACCAAACCAATCCTGTTTGTTGTGTAATTGTGTGCTTAATGACACTGGGTTTACTGTAGTTAAACTATATTAATAGTCCTTCACACACTGGACACCAGTAAACCCTTTTTAATTTTGAAGTTTAATGATTTTAAGATGACAAAGGTTACCTGGTACAGACTACCATGTTTCTTAGTAAGTCTAGTATTAATGAAAACTAATTAATTAGTTTTATGTTAAAAAAGAAGGTATTGAATAGCAACACTTAATTTATTTACCACAAGAATACTGTTGTTTTGTAAAATGCTTTTTTTGTAGAGCATTCCTGGTTACATTGAATGTACAGTATGTCATATACTTGTTTACCAGCAGGTGGCACTGTTGGATGGCTCTGTATGTTCCTTTGGCTCCATTGCAGGTGTCCCAGTACTGAAGTTTTTATGCTCCTGTTTGATGAGGAATGTACTGTTTTTCAGGGTCGAATGTTTACCTGAGGAGGGAGTTAATTTGCTGGGGAGACAGTGTCAAACTGCGTTACGGCAATAATCCGGAGGATTGTCCCTATCTTTGGGCTCACATGAGAAAGTATACGGAAATTACAGCAAAGCACTTCAGTGGTGTGCGTCTTGACAACTGCCACTCCACTCCGCTACACGTGGCTGAGGTAGTGTACTGTTTCTGTACAGTTCCTTGTTTCATCTGTTGTTATCAACCATATGCAAATGTGCTCAATTACGTTCAGAAGTCTTAGTTTTCAAATGTGGCAGTTTGTGACCTTTTTAACAGTTACTGGAGTATACACTAAAAATATATAGTAGGTGCAGGTCATTTCATTAATTTATAAGTTAATGCATAATAAACCTCAAAGGAACAATCTTAAAACCAGTTCTTTCACATCGCAAGAGAATTACGGTGTTCTTTACCCTTAGCATACTATGTTTATACAGTGTCCAGAAAGGCAGAAATTAAAAGGCAGCTTCTTTGTCAGGGATTTTTTTATTCTGTAAAATCCGGAGTATTTGTAAGTGTGGTGTACGGTATAGGACAGCCTTTCTGATGCCATGAATTGTTGTACTCTGTAGGAGATGCTGGCAGTGGCCAGGTCAGTCAGGCCCAATCTGTATGTGATAGCAGAGCTCTTTACAGGCAGTGAGCTGATTGACAATGTCTTTGTCAATCGCCTGGGGATTACCAGTCTGATCAGAGGTACCGATGAATGACTGCTTTGCATCAAGAAGGGGGGCATGATACTAAAATCCTCTCTATTTGTCTTTCTTCCTTACTCCTTGCTGACTTCATACTTCTGAATTGATCTTACTACCAACTTCACTTTTATCTTAAAATGCCTTTCTGTTTCCCCTGCCTTGTTTCTTCCTGATGTGGCTTTATTTTCTCTTGACATACTCATCCTGCTACTTGCCTACTTTTGCTTCGCTCCCTTCATTGTCTGGCCTGTTTGGTTCGCTTTGCTGCCTGCAGTACATGCTGGACACAGCCCGAGCACTGCGGCCTGATTTATATGTGGTGGCTGAGCTGTTCACAGGAAGCGAGGAGCTGGACAATGTCTTTGTCACTAGGCTTGGCATAAGTTCCCTTATAAGAGGTAGGCTGTCTGAATAAAGAATTAATTGTCTGTGCTACATTGAATGAAAATAAAACTGTGTTACTGTGTTACTCAAGGCAATTCTTGTCAGTTGCATCGTAATAGTGTAATCGTTTATAGTTACCATAATTAACTTAATTTTAATGTTTTACATTATTTCTGCTAAGTGATTTTGCTTGTGAGTACTAAGAGCAAAGCGATTTTGCTCTTAGTGAGTTCAGTAACAATTATTCACTGTTTCTTCCAGAGGCGATGAGTGCCTATGACAGCCATGAGGAAGGAAGACTAGTGTACCGCTTTGGAGGAGAACCTGTTGGCTCCTTTGCCCAGCCCAGCCTGAGACCTTTAGTACCCGGCATTGCTCATGCATTGTTCATGGATGTAACCCATGACAACGAGTGTCCTATTCAGGTGGGACATTTATTTTACCCATTAATGTTATAACTCCATCCAAGGGTATGTACGCCTTCCTGTATGATGAGGGCAAACCTGCAGCAATAAATGTGGTCAGTGTAACATTAAGTTATTTAAATAACCAATGTAAATGTCGCCAGATAGTTATCAAGCGACTCTACTTATCCAGGTTCACCATCTTATCCACTTAATCTTATCCAGTTTTACCATCTTGCAGTTCCATGATCTGAAAATGTTCAAATTCAAATTAAAACATAAAGAACTTTGGAAAGACTTCACCTATTGTACTGCTCTGAATCAACATTTATTAAAACTAATCTTTGCATACATTTACCTTGAACTTTTTCAGCCAAATGAATGAAAGTCAGGTTTAGCAATTTGAAAACTTATAATATTGGAGTGTTAGAATGTAAGTAGTTCAGTATTTTACTTTTAGGTTCACACAATGACAGCTCTCCTGTTTTGGATAAGGGGACATATATAGATAGATATGACAGAAGGTGACCCTGACATGAGTGTGTTTAAATTTTCTTCTTGTTCCAGCTGCGCTCTGCGTATGATTCTCTCCCTAGTTCAGCAATAGTGTCCATGGCTAGCTGCGCTACTGGCAGCACTAGAGGTTACGACGAGATGGTTCCCCATCAGGTCTGTGATCACGTATTCACACATTCTTTATAACCACAATCGACAAATACCATTTCAGAGTGTTAAAACGACATTGAAACTTTCACAATGTCTTGAAATGAGGTTCATAATAAAACCTAGCAAAATTATAGTGTTAGTACTGGTTCTGTATGCCGTGCTGTCAATGAATATCAATTGGATCCGTTTCTTCCGGATCTGATCTCCCTAACACTTGAAGGTTAAATCCCTGGTTCCCATAATGAGGACAGTTGGGCATCCCTCATTACTCTGTCTTGACAGGAAAGGTTTTGTAGTTTTAATGTCCTACTCCCAGTATCAAGTACAATTCAGAATTCAGCGATTTAATTAAATTAAACCAGTTGGGATTGGTTACCACCTTTTGAGTATAAACTTGTTTGTCATATTTTTTTTTTAGTGTTTTGTCCCTGAGCAGCCTTTGCTTATCCACTGTTTAAAATTTTTCTATAAAGTTTTTACAAAATTAAATTCACAGTTCATGTATGTAATTTGCACTTCGCCCTCTCTTCTGATCAGATCTCCGTTGTTAAAGAGGAGAGGCTGTATTGCAAATGGAATCCTAAAGCAAAGCCTTCATCCCGAGGGGAGGTTAACCGTCAGAGTGGTATTATCGCAGGGAAACTGGCCCTCAACAAGCTGCATCAAGAGCTGGCCAGTAAGGGCTTCATTCAGGTTGGTGGGCCTTGATGTCTGTCCAGGACTTGACATGTAATATTTCCTTAACTGATCTAAAAGAGGTGTAAATTAAATGGGTTGATATTGCAGATACAGCAATCCTCACATTCACATTCTAATCTTTTCAGTATTAGAAGGTTCTTTTCTAAGCGTTCAAACCTTGTCATCTGACAGATAATATTTAATATATGTAGTAAAGCATATATATATATAAAATACCAGAATCTGTGCTTTATAGTTAAAAAATGTTTTTTTTAACAAGTTACAACTGAAATGAAGCGGTAAGTCATAGACAATTTAAATGCATCTTTTCTGAATTTGTGGAAAGATTGTCCTTTAGTTTTGAGGCATAAGGTTATAATAATTAGGAGAATGTTGGAAGACCTTGCAATCGGCTTTGAGCTGCAGCGTCTTTTTCTGTTAAGGTAGAAATAGAAGGTTGTGCTGCACAAATGTGAAATTTCCCAGTGCTGGCAAGTTGTGCGTTGCCCTCAGGTCTATGTCGATCAGGTGGATGAAGACATTGTATCAGTGACCAGACACTGCCCCAGTACACACCAGTCAGTAGTGGCTGTGTCACGTACAGCCTTCAGGAACCCCAAGACTTCCTTCTACAGGAATGACGTGCCTCCCATGTGCATCCCAGGTAAATGCTTTCATTGCATAAAACACTTTAGAAGGAATCGGGTCTGGTCTTTTTTATTTCAGTGTCTTTGATAGTGCATTTCTGGTACAGAAAGTAATCCTAGCCAGTCACATCCTGTGCAGGTCTGATCTTTTTTTTTTTATATGAATAGCCCTAATACCCTCTTCTTAAATCATTCCTGGACAGATATTATCAACTTGTAACCTCCCCTCCTTCTTGACATTGTTGTGTTCAGTGTTATCTTTTTTATTTTTTTCCCCACATACTGTACTGTACACACCTTCCTGTAGGACAGGTCTATGATAAAAATCAACATTCCCTGGTTGAGGTATCGGCCGTCGTTCTGTACAGTATATCTGAAAGTAAAGTAACTTTAATTGTGTCCTCTAGGTAAAATAGAAGAAGTTGTGTTTGAGGCCCGGACCATTGAAAGAAATGCTGGCTCATATGAGAAAGATGAGAAGAGTATTAATGGCATGCCTGACTACACTGTGGAAATTACAGAGCATATTCAGGTAACATTAGCAGACTGGGAATTGTATAATTACAGTTGAACAGAATGGATATAATGTCCAATACAAGTCTTGCTACCTGAAAAAAAAAATCTGGCATGATGTTTAAACAAATAGCGAGAATTATCTTAAGAGAATTAAGATACTTTTTAAACCTGTGGTTTTTTTTTTCTCTTGTGTTCTGGAGTGCCAGAAGTCTTGTTTAAAGTAGTGTCCCAGTTATTAACCATCATGGGTGGAATGGTGGCACAGTGGTTGGCATTGCTGCCCTGCGCTGCTGGGGCCCTGGGTTCAATTTCAGACCTGGGGTCCTATTTGCCATGAATTCGTATGATCTCTCCTTGTTTGCATGGGTTTCCTCAGAGTGCTCCAGTTTCTTCCCACAGCCCAAAGAGGTACTCGTAGGATGGATTCTGGAAAAAGTGGCCCCGGTGTGACTGTGTACATGTTTGCGCCCATCTGTCCCCTGCATTGTGCCCATTGCTTGTTGGGATAGACTTCCCCAGCGACCCTGAATTGGAAGAAGTGGTTAGAAGATGGATGGATTGATTGAAATGTAAAATACAGTAGACATGCATTTTACATGGTAGTTTGGTTCCTGACATGGCGCGTATACCCAAAATCACATAATATCAGAACACCCCTCTTCAACCCTCCTATTCCCCTCACTTAAACAAGTAAATTAAATCGTAAGTTTTTTATTATGTGTATATACATGTATGTAGTTTAAAGTATTATGAAAACAGTAATCCAACATAAGTTGTGTTGACTTGCTTTTTTCCTTAATACAGTACCTGTTCCGGTTCACGAGCCATATTGAGTGCGATGGCGCACGATAAAGAAAACACTGGAGAAACATCCCGCATTATTTGATTTTTCATTTGCAGTATTTGGATTTTTTTCGGCGCCAAGCAGATTCGTGTAAAAATATTTTGTGAGTCTACTGTACAGTACCCGTCATGAGATGCAATATTTTTGTTTTCTTGAAGCTGAAAGACAGCAAGATTGTGAAACGGGCCGAAGTGACATCCAAAGGTCGCCACGAGTTTGTGCAGGAAATTGTGTTCGAACACTTGTCGCCTGGAAGTGCGATTGTGTTCAGGTAAAATATCACAAGACGGACATCGGCCACAGCACAACAGGAAATTGCTTTGCTTTATTTCTTGTTAGCTTAAAACACATAGGAGCCCACATACTGTATGTTGTCAGAGGTAAAGCATAAATATTAGCATATAAGCATATTTATGCCCTACCTCTGACAATATACTCTATAAAAGTACCTGTTACAGGTATATTTTACTGAATTTCATGTTAAGATTTTTCTTATGTGTCCTTGATTTATCAGAGAAAAGTGGCAGAAATGTTCTACAAGTTTTTGTTGAGATAAGACTGTCACAATAGAAGCATATAAAAAGCACCATCGCGACTTGCAAATGTCATGATTTTACAGGGTGTGTCACCAAAACCAGGATTAAAAGTAACAAAGACAGCCTGAATGACTGGACAGATATTCCCTCAGTAGACAACAGACATGGGTGTGTTTATCAGGTGACAGAAGGGCTAGTGTGTTCAACCATGTGTTGTGCCTTTAATGACTCCCATACTGGATATAGTTTTGAAGAACTTATTATATTTCCTATATCGTGTGATGAATTTTTAAAATACCTGTCTGCTTACTCCTGGACGGTTGAGCAAGAGTCTGAATTTCATGGTTTCTGACAGCTGTGTTGCAGTTATAACATAACTGCATGTTATGTATTGGTCAGGAGTAATCTCTGCTGAAACTGTCAATGATTTACACTTGGGCAGTCGAAATTCCATTTTCCCACTTCTCTTTTCACAGAGTGAGCTTGGACCCAAAAGCCCAAGAAGTGGTTAGTTTACTCAGGAACCACCTTATTCAGTTTAGCCCTCATTTCAAATCTGGCAGTCTCCCTGATGACAAAGCAGAGGCCATACTCAAAACGCCATTTGCGTCGTAAGTTGCCGTTCTGTACGTTTTGTACGTTCCCCCACCCCCCATCTTCAATATTCTCTAATATGCTGTGAACCAAAATCATACCATGTCAATGTCCACAAGTCCATCTTGCAGTTGCATGCATTTTCTATACATTAGTATCAGTTCAGTTTAGAGTGACCTGTGCAGAATGCAGCAGCTATGCTACTTCAATTGTTTTCCTGTTTATGCAACAGTATCGCATCAAAGCTGACCCTAGCTGACTTGAATGTGCTGCTTTTTCGCTGTGATGCTGAAGAGCAGGAAGATGGAGGAGGTTGCTATAATATCCCATCATGGACGTCGCTGAAGTATGCTGGCCTTCAAGGTACATAAATGGAGTCTATAATGAGTACCTACTGTACAATGGGCAGGTTTATAAAAACACATTTAACTTCGCACGTTTTAATTATTTCTTACATTGTGAGTAGCGTCGGCCCTCGTTTGTGTTCTTTCATACATCTCTGCGGTACCCAGGTCTGATGTCAGTAATGGCGGAAATCCGGCCTAAGAATGATTTGGGCCATCCATTCTGTGACAACCTGAGAACAGGAGACTGGATGATTGACTATGTGAGCAACCGTCTAGTGAGCAGAGGTGGCACCCTGGGCAAGGTAATGTTTGTCACCGTTCCCTGCGTATGTGTACAATTCATACATGTAGTTACAATAATTAATAATTACACTTATATAGCGCTTTTCTGGATACTCCACTCAAAGCACTTTACAGGAAATGGGGATCCCCTCCATCACCACCAATGTGCAGCCCCACCTGGATGAGGCAACGGTAGCCATTGTGCGCCAGTACATAGCTGCCCACACATCAGCTATTTTACAGTATAGTGTCCCCATCACTATACGTGGGTATTAGAACCCATATAGACTGCAGGCTGAGCACCCCCTGCTGTCCCCACTAACACCACTCCCAGCAGCAAGCTTAGTTTTTCCCATGGAGGTCTCCCATCCAGGTACTGACCAGGCTCACACCTGCTTAGCTTCAATGAGTTGTGAGTTGTAGAGTGATATGGCTGCTGGCAAGTTACTGCTAGATATTGTATTTCATTTGTCATTCATCTTTGGGATAATAGTTCTGAAAATGAAGCATTATATGAATACACAGTGAAACTTTCTTTGGAATGTTTTCTAGCCGTTTTCCCTTTTAAAGGTTTTTTTTTATTTGCAGCTTTCAAGAGGCAAAGATCTACCAAAGCATTTTGTTCTGAAAATCTGAACTTTTTTTTCCGCAAAGTACTGTCACCTGGCAGCATTCTGTACAGCATTCTTTCTCACAAATCCCTTTGATTTACAGAAGAGTCATTTATGGTGTGCGTTTCGCTCTCCTGCTTAAGAATCTATTAAATAAATGAGGGCTTGCAAGTGGCAGACTGTAGGAACTTGCATCATTAAAGGATTTAATAATGAGTTAACATGCTGCGCAGATTGGCATTGTAACAGTTTTTGTGTTTATTGTGGATCATATAATTTTTATATAATGAAGTTTTTGGCGTGCCTTTCATTTTCTGCATGTTTTATTGAAATGATTTAGCAGTTAATGCAATGTAAGGCTGCAAGGTTTTCTCTCAACAGGTTGGAAAGTGGTTTCAAGCCATGTTTGCATACCTAAAACACCTTCCTCGTTATCTCATCCCATGCTATTTTGACGCCATTCTTGTTGGGGTCTATACCAGCCTTTTGGATGTCACATGGAAACAGATGTCAAGGTTTGAGTGATCAGTATAATATGCTTTTTGAAAGGAAAATTAAAACCTAAAAAGGGACAACTATTCTTTCCAAGTCAATGGGTTTTAATCTGAGAATGTCACAAATCCAAAAATAAAAGCACATTATGCCTAATTACATTGTTAAACAAGAATATAGACTACCATGTGGGCAATTCTCTGAAGGCATAATATCCCTTTCTTAATTTATTATGGATTTGTTTGTTTTTAAATTACTGCAGTGTAAAACCCAGTCCACAAGCATTGAACATGAGAATGAATTTTTCAATTCTAAGTTTGAAATGTTTGTCTGCTTTACAGCAGCCCTAATTGCAAAGCCTTTCTTTCCCAGTTTAAAAGTTTTTTTACACTTGCTGGTTTTCAGTTTCATTCAGAATGGGTCCACATTTGTGAAGCTCCTGGCTCTGGGCTCCGTTCAGATGTGTGGCGTAGGCCGTTTCCCTGCCCTGCCTCCACTGTCCCCCGTCCTGCAGGGGGTGCCATACCGCGTAAATGACATCACCAAGGAGAAAGAGCAGTGCTGCGTCTCCTTAGCTGCTGGTGAGAGACGCCCCCCCTTAAAACTATTTCCTCATAAAAAAAACATTTAAATACTTCTATTCCATTTTCATTTTAGAGTGTGATTTAATGGATACATTTTCGATTGAAGATTTATATTAATGTTTCACTTTCTCTTCTGTACCGTAAGGTCTGCCACACTTCTCTTCTGGGATTTTCCGGTGCTGGGGACGAGACACGTTCATTGCCCTACGAGGACTGATGCTAGTAACTGGGCAATACCTTGAGGCCCGGTCAGTTCATCAGACTAATATTTCTAACCTTTAATGCGCCAAGACAGAATTTTTTTTAATGTAAATTCATCTTGACTAGTGCAGAAGTTGTAGGTCTTTAATGTGTTTTTGATTTTTGTATCGCTCGTAGTTAGTTTTTCTCCCATGAAAAATCTTATAAACACACAGTTAGTTGGATGACATTTTCCTTTCTGAATCCAGATGTTCCGCTGCATTCAGAGAAACCCTAGATAAAAACGCATTTTTGATAAATGTAAATACAATACTTAAATAGTATGAAAAGTTTAGGAACTGAACATTCTCTAAAATTTTACAGAAATTCATCTGCGTGATAAAAGCCTGCCTACGGCATATACTAAAACTATAAGCCAACTTTTTGAATCTAGTTTTCCATCTTTGTCTTGGTGAATACAGTAGTAGCCAATGTAAAACCCGATTTAGTGAACTAAATCGAGTTAGTAATGTCGTAATGGAACACCTAAAGATAACCTGTTGAAAAGCACAACATTGGAAAGCTGAAAGAAGAAACAAAGTTTTGTCTGCTGAGTCATTTTCACACCTTATGCAGACTATAACCTTTAGTGTAGTCATGATGTAAGAGAATGCAGTTGTCTCATTGGTTTCAGGTAAATATTTATTTGGAGACAGTACTGTACATGGTTTTGTTTGCTATGCACAGTTTCCTGCTCAGATTTCATGTGCTTTTCAGTTGCATGAGAATCTCCTCATAGAACACAGCATAGAGGTTACAGGCACACACCTTACCAACGTCCACCTGAAGCAGTTTGATACATGATATTGCTTTGCAGTAGAAAGCTGGGGTGATTGACTAATTTGACACATTTTTGTGCAGTCTGTAAAATCCCATTTTACACAGGATATAACAATTTATCACAAAAGCCTGTTTGGCAGCAATTGGGGACTAACTTAAAATAAAGATGGAAATGATCTGCTGGAGAAATTATAAATATGTATTTCAAGTAATGTAATTCTATGCATTCTTATGCATTATGCTGTCACGTTGTTTATGCAAAGTCACCCTTTCTAGGGTGTTTCACAGATTTTATGGCATTTTAAAAAGCCATTAGGCAGCTCAAAAAAAAATATATCTCTGAACCATCTAAAAATATATAGATTAATTGAGCTTTGAGCACCTAAAAAACAAACACAAATGGGTATTGTAAGCTATTTTTACTGTTAAGTAATGAACCAACTATTCTTTTTCTTCTCAGGAATATTATTCTTGCTTTTGCTGGTACTCTGAGACATGGTCTGATTCCAAACCTGCTTGGCCAGGGTACCTATTCCAGGTACAATTGTCGCGATGCTGTTTGGTGGTGGCTTCAGTGCATCCAAGACTACTGTAACATTGTTCCCAATGGAACTGAAATCCTAAAATGCCCAGTCTCCAGGATGTACCCCACTGACGACTCTGAGCCACAGCCAGCTGGAAAAGTGGTGAGAATGTTGATGTTCTTTGAATTCTTGAGATCACATAAAACACAGGGGCGAGTTCTGGGTGGCTGATGAATTATATTTGCCTACAATATATGGTATATGTTTTGAATAATGACACTTCTAGTGTGATTCAGATATTTGAATTGAAAAGTAGTTGCCATTAGAATAAGTCAGTCAATCAGCTGTTTTTGTCTGGGATGACTGTTTTTCTCTCCGTTTATTCATAGTTTTACAAAACCACCATTGGTTACTTTAGAGGTTTTACATTGACAAATCTTGGCATTTATATTGTAAGGAACACAAATTGTGAGGATTGTGTGGTCTTTATTAAGAACAGGCTTTGAATTATGGAAATGCATCCTGCCTAGGTCTGACCTTTTCATAATACAAGGAGAAGTGACATTATTTAAAAGTTATGTCACAAAATTAAAACACATCCGTTTAGGCTGTTCTGCTTCCTCATTTCATGAAATGGTTAGAGCTAATTCCACATCTGTTCCCATAATTCAAAGTTAATATTTACAGTATGTTTCAGCAGGTCAGTATTTATTACAATATTACAATGAGAAAATACAACATTCTTCAAATTGGGTACAGTATTAAAAGCCGATTTTCACAAGTAGTGTACCTTTCCTGTCATCAGAACACAATATACTTGGATAGTGTAAAAGTAACTTTTTTTGTTCAAGCTATTCTTGTTTTTTGAAGAAAGTAAATTATACATGCGAGGTTTGTATTCTTGGAAAAACAATGTCACCATAGAGCAGCTCCTAGTGGATATTTCGTTTACCTCCCACAAATGGACTGGTCTTGTAAAGTAATACTATTGTTGTATTACAGCACAAAAAGTAGGATGTATAGCAGCATAATAAGCCTTTAAAACCTGATATCTGTTGTGGTTTCAATTCAGGTGTTGCTGTGATATTGTAATAAAAGCTTGTTTTCTAATGTTAAACAAATATTTGGTGCTCTTTTAGTCTGTTGTCCGGTTCAGGGAGCTGGTAACCGTGCCTTTTCAAAATCTGATATTTTGTTTTGCTTCACTTGCATGCGGTCATGTAGAAAAATAATGTGCACCCTCTATTCTATGGTTTTATATATCAGGACATAACAAAAAATCATCTGGTCCTTACCGGGTCCTAAAATGAGGTAAATCTAACTTCAAGTGACAAACAACACATAACTGTCATTATTTAACAAAAAAAAGCCAAAATGCAGAAGCCATGTGCGAAAAACTAAGCACACCCTATGATTCAATAGCTTGTAGAACCACCTTTAGCAGTAAAATCTTTAAGTAATCATTTTCTGTATGAGTTTATTACTCTCTCACATCGTTTTGGAGGAATTCTGGCCCTCTCTTCTTTACAACATTGCTTCAGTTCATTGATGTTTGAGGGCATTCATTTGTGCACAGCTCTCTTAAGGTCCCGCAACAGAATTTCAATGGGGTTGAGATCTGGACTTTGACTTGGCCATTCCAACACCTTGATTCTTTTCTGTTTCAGCCATTCAGTTGTAGATTTGATGGTGTGCTTGGGATCATTGTCCTGTTGCATGCCATAGCGGTCGGACAGATGGACTCACATTTGTCTCTAGAATACTTTGGTATAAAGATGAGTTCATGGTCGACTCAATGACTGCAAGGTGCCCAGATCCTGTGGCTGCAAAACAAGTCCAAATCATCACCCCTCCACCACCGTGTTTAACGGTTGGCATAAGGTGTTGTGGTGATACGCTGTGTTTGGTTTTCACCAAGCATGGCATTGTGCCTAATGACCAAACATCTCCACTTTGTTTCAGAAATCTTGTGGTGTGTTCAGATGCAACTTTGCCAACCTAAGCCGTGCTGCCATGTTCTTTTTGGAGAGAAGGGGCTTTATCCTGGCTACCCTTCCATGAAAGTTGGACTTTCAGTCTATTTCTGATTGTACTGTCATGAGCTTTAAAATTTAACATGTTAACTAAGGCACTTAGATCCCTAGATGTAGCTCCTGGGTTCTTTGTGATTTCTCTGAGAATTATATGGTCTGACCTTGGGGGGAGGGGGGGTGAATTTGGTGGGACATCCACTCCTGGGAGGATTGGCAACTGTCTTAAATGTCCTCCATTTGTAAAAAATCCATCTCACTGTAGAATGATGAATTTCAAATTGTTTGGAAATGGCCTTATAATCCATTTCCCAGATTAACCCAGATCGATGAGCCGTAACAATTGCCTCTTAGTTCATATTGATGTCCTTTCTCCTTGGTATGGTGTTACCAATGCTCCAGACCACCAAACTGCCAAAAGTTCTGCTTTTATAGAGGTGGTCACACTTCTTGATGATCAACTAATCACTTGCATTTGATCAGCAGAACCTGGCTGTTGATTCCCTTCTTAATTCCTATGGAAGCAGTAAGGGTGTACTTAATTTTTTACACAAAGTTTCTGCATTTTGGCTTACTTTTTGTTGAATAAATAATGACATAGTGAAATCTGTTATCTGAGGCTAGATTTGTCTAATTATAGAAGTTGGTGAGGACCAGATGGTTGTTATTTATGCCCTGATGTGTAAAACCATTGAATTGAAAGAGGGTGTACTTTCTTTTTCACATGACTGTAGCTCAGAAACCTACTTACCTTTGATGCAGTTTAAATGTTCTGTTATGTTTTCATCATTTTCATAGTTTCAGTTAGTTCTGTATAGTGTAGTCAATGTAAATGCATTTCCCAGATAGTAACAAGGAGAAAGTTGTTTTTGTTTCTGTCCTATGATGTCATAGTCTCCACCATCTGTAGCAGACGGCATATATGAACCATGTGGTGTTGTCTCCTAGGACCAGCCTTTGTACGATGTAATTCAAGAGGCAATGCAGCGACATATGCAGGGAATAGAATTCAGAGAGAGGAACGCTGGCCCCCAGCTGGACCGAAACATGAGGGATGAAGGTGCCCATTGCAAATGAGAACTGAACTCTGTTCGGTGTTTGGTGATGTATAGAAAAAAATCTCTTAAAGGTCCTAAAGACGTACTAATCTTTAAGATCAATTGATAACAAGCTTGCCCCCTCTGTGGATGTGGATATGTTTATGTAAACGTTTTCCACATTCCATGTACAGTAGGGTCTCAACATCTGCAAATTTAACATTTTGCAAATTTTCTTATTCACACGTTTTAGTCTGGCCAGCATGGTCTTGGGTGGAAGAAGAGTGGAACAACTAACTGAGCTGAATCTAGCTAGTGAGAGAGCTTTTCCCTGCCCCATACCTGAGTACCCACTAGCCAGCATCCACATCTCAGTGTAATCTTGTTTTTGTACTGTAATGACCACTCTCAGTTCTGTGTAAGCAGCATGGAGAGTAACAGAATAAAGATGACTTTACAGGCTCACTGACAGTTTTATTGCCCATTTCATCGCAGTGGAGCAGGGATAACCGAGAGAAAGTGCAGGCATCCACTGGACGCAAAGGAGGGATTCATGTTTAGTTTAGCCGATTACTATAAGTTTGTGATCACTGTAGTTAGTTTCAGTTGGATCAATGTTTCATTAATTAACCTAAAGCCCATGCATAAGTGCTTTAATTGTTATGTAAAAGAGGTTGACCTATGGCTTTTAGCCATGCATAATATGTTACATTGTCGGAAGCGAAGTTAGTTGTACATGACGTATCTCTGCACTAAACCCTTGCAAATGTTGAGACCCTATTATATTGGAGAATTCATGAATGCATCTCTAGAATGTAGAATTTCCTACGGTGTGAGCCTAATTACATAATTGGTGCTGGACTGGAACTCTGTCTTGTAATGTGACTTTTTTTCTGCAAGCATTTTTGCAGTTTTCATGTTGACACACTTAGTTTCCCAGTTTTAAATCATCCAAAGCTGAGCATCAGAAAATGAAAGGTACAGTATGTATGGCTCATAACTTAGTGCTAATAAATATTTAGCCATTAAAAGAATTCAAAAGGACTTACAGACATGTTGCAAAACGTGAAGACTGTACACAGAAGTTGCCCAAGTCCAGAATTGAAGGTCCCGAGCTGGTAGGCAGCAATTCTAATCAGTACACTACCTTGCTGCTCCATTGTTTATTTAAATATACAATGTTCTTAGTGCATCTAATGATTAATGCATATTCCCTTCTGGTCTTAAAGAGTCATTGTCCACCAGATTTTTGGATAATAATGCTCAGTGAGTACCTGTTAACTATGCGCTCATCAACCCATTAAGGGATCAGTTGATTCAAATCAAGTCATTAAAAGTCCAGGGAGGAATGAAAACCAGAAGACACAGCAGGCCTCCAGGACCAGGCGTGAATTTTAGTGATGTAATTGATCTGTGGCTACTATCGTTTTTCAGATTTTTTTTTCTATTCTTAGGTTTCAGCGTCTCAGCCAGAGTTGACCCTCACACTGGTTTTGTGTCTGGTGGAAATCGATACAACTGTGGCACATGGATGGACAAGATGGGAGAAAGTGAAAGTGCTCAGAACAAGGGTATTCCTGCTACTCCAAGGCAAGGCAAAACTAACAAATACATTGAATCCAGCTCTCTGAGATCCTGCCTAGCTTCAATATAAATGTGGCTTCTTTTGCAAGGCCTGAGGGTGTATGTTCAGTCGAATTTAACTGAAATTAACTGGTTTAAATTTGTCTTGCTGAATTGAAATGTGCTCAGACTGTGGTGTGTTTCTGGGAAGGCTGCAGGTATAATGAGGTGTAACAAGCCCAATGTTGTTTCAGAGATGGGTCAGCAGTGGAGATCGTAGGCCTCAGTAAGTCCTCGGTGCGCTGGCTGGCAGAGCTGCACCGGAAGAAGTTGTTCCCTTATGCTGCAGTCGTGGTTCAGAGAGATGGTAAGCCACCGCCATACACTCATTCAAACAGAATGAAGCCATGCACACAGTAAAGCTAAGGACTCCCTTTAAAAACAGAATGGAAATAATTTCATGTGCTGTATATCTGCTCATAAAATATTTGTCTTTGCTTCTTAAAATAGCCAAATGAATTCATCTGCTTTGGTCATTTTCCAAAAGTGGAGGGCAATTTAAATTAATTATAGCTTAAGTGTGTGGCTGTCATTTCAGTGATGAGACAGTTGTTCCTCTTTAAAGGACCAAACTGTGTTGTTGAATACGACACTGACATTGCTGATCAGTCATAAACATGGCTTGTTCAGCAGTCAAGCAAACAATTGTTGTGTTTTCTTTCTCTGTCGTTTAATCTGTCTGCACATACAGATCATCACTGTGTTGTTGCGGAGTATAATAGATTGGTTCCGTGTGCTGGAGGTCAAAAGTCACATTACACGACGTGGCTTGGTCCCTTTTGACCATGTCTATAACAGCTCCCAATCCTGGTCCTGGAGGTCACACCTGCTCGTTTTTGTTCTAGCCAAGCTCTATAACACAGTTGAACCCTAAATGAATACGTTAAAAATAGGGTTAATTTGAGCTGTTTGGGTACGTTTAGCTATTGCATTTCATAAGTAAAATAAAATCCCATAATACTGAGTGCAAGAAATGGCAGATATTCCAATCAAGCAATATGTCAATTTAATTAAGGTTATGATTACGTCATTAAGCATGGAATGAAAACGGCAGGTGTATGGTTCACGACCAAGATTGGGAATAACTGGTCTGTAGTGTAGGTCAGTATCCAGCATGCTTTCTAGGGGTCTTTAAGTCATCTAATAGTTGAAGGGTTCTTTGGACAGGAAAGCAAGTCACGGTGTCCTACGACGAGTGGAACAGAAACATCCAGGAGAATTTTGAGAAGCTGTTCTACGTGTCTAAGGACCCCTCTGATCCTAATGAGAAGCATCCCGACCTGGTTCACAAAAGAGGGATTTATAAGGATAGTTATGGGGCCTCCAGTCCCTGGTGTGACTACCAGCTCAGACCCAACTTCACTATAGCCATGGTGGTGGTAAGCTGTCCTCAGACTGAATTAAACACTTAGTTTGAGCTACTGTATGTACATTAGTGTGGTTTTCAATTGCTGCAGGACTTCTGTCTAGAGTATGTTTTTATGTACATGATGTTGTGTCTTCTAAGCATTAAAATACCTATTGCCTAAGTGGAATTGTGTTATTAGGGCCAGAGTCTTTACAAAAAGAAACTGTGCAATTTGGAAGTTTCTTTCAATAGATGTTTAAAAACATTTCTAGGAAATAACATTAGTAACACACACTGTGAAGATTTTCAGATGAAAACTGTTAATCAATCGGATGCTGTGAAGATTGTTGTTTGCATGCAAGGGTTTTCTTATTTTGTACTGTACACCTTCTGACTCCCTGAAGCATGCAGTAGGATGTCTCCAGCAAGCACGCAGCCCGGTTCTGTTGTTTCTTTGTTTTGATAGGCTCCTGAGCTGTTTACTGTAGAGAGGGCATGGGAGGCCCTGGCTATAGCTGAGAAGAAGCTCCTGGGACCTCTGGGAATGAAGACCTTAGATCCTGAGTAATTATCCCTTTTTCCTCTGGTCTGTGCCAACCCATGAACTTCACCATGATGCAACTAAATGGGAAAATGCCTTCAATAACTGCTGCTTCTATAGTGTTTTTGCAATCGCTTTTTGCTCTGCAATAAGCTTTTTCATATCACTGATTGTGTTAAAGCACCAATTCTCTTACCCACAACACATGTTGTCCTCTGAAAGAGAGAGCTACTGTAAGCTTGACAAAATACTTCACTGTCATGTTTAAAACAGTCAATCCATGTAACCTTCCCCACACATCTGCTTATGATCTTGAACACCAGACACATTTTAGCTGTTTCTAACTGTTTCTGACTGTTTGATATTCCTAGTGACATGGTGTACTGTGGTGTTTATGACAATGCCTTGGATAATAACAACTACAACATCTCTAAAGGTTTTAACTACCACCAAGGACCTGTAAGTAGTCTTTCACTTTTGGAGAAACTACATTTATTTACTTTAATCTCAGACCTGATTAGTGCACCGCTTTGTATGTGTTGAGTAAACACTGTAAATGTGCTATACCTCTTCATTTAGGAATGGCTTTGGCCTGTTGGCTACTTTCTACGTGCCAAGATTTACTTTTCAAAGAAAATGGGCCAGGAAATGTATGATCAGACAGTCTACCTTGTGAAGAATGTTCTTTCTCGTCATTACGTTCACTTGGAGAGGTAGGTTTTTTTTTAATTAATTTCACAGTGACTCCAAACTGGGAACTGCCAACCAATTTTTTAACAGAACTTAGAACCGAAAATGTTGCTCCCTTATGAACCTGAACTATATCTAGATTATACTGAAGATATTTTGTTTACATAAGGTCAGTGCACTTCACTTTTATTTAGTTTTATCAAATCCTATGTAATTTAGGCTTTTTTAATGGAAATGGTTATCACTGCTCTTGTTTTAATTTTAAATTTACCTAGAAGATAACATTTTTGGCCATACTGAACTTTAATTTTAAGCCATAATTGAACTTTAAGGTGAAACAAGCAGATAACCCTAGGGTTAGGGATATGGTTCATGCAAAACATTTAATTGATTAATCTAAAGGGACTTGGTAATTACCACATTTGTTTGAAAATATGTAAATATATACAAATGACAATTTCAAACATAATCTGACATGTTACCTTTCTAAAAAACAGTTATAAACTGGAAAAGTAGGCCTTGTGAATTTTTTGTGTTTTTTAATAGAGAACTGAATGCACTTTCTCTCCAGGCAGACAATAAATACATTGTTTGGTAATACATGTAATAAAAATCTGAATGTGCAGGATCCATGTTATTTTAATTTTTGTCCTTTTGTGTTTTAATTTTAACAAATGTGCTTTTAATTTCCCCAAAGCTATTTTTTATTTTAACCTCAAAACCTTTTGTGTAGTTTGTGTAGAAATCAGTGCAAATATCCCTCTTCTGATTGTTTGCATTATGTTTTTGTGTAATCACAAAATGTGTTTTGTGCATTTTAAAAAGTGATCACATATCTTTTATTGGTCTACATTACATCTCTACATAGTCACCGATTTTGAAACTCTTGCATTCTAATAACTAATGGTTCATGACCCATCCTTGTGCAAAACCTTTTGGTTGCTCCATAAGACACAGTGCAACAAGACTGTTTGAATTTGTGATCACTGGCAATTATTTTATGGGCCCAAAGAGCTGAACATGGGGTAAGACTTGGGCTGTTGCCTTTATGACTTGCCTTTACTTTATGAAGCTTATATATCTCCAAAACAAAAAAGCCTGGCCATACGTGCTATAACACAGTTTATAACAAGAACAGGGAGAAAAGTGTTCTCTAAAGTGATATGTTCATATTTTCCTGCGTGGGGAAACTTTTTCTCTCTTTCAGGTCTACATGGAAGGGTCTGCCAGAGCTGACAAATGAGAATGGGCAGTACTGTCCATTCAGCTGTGAATCTCAGGCCTGGTCCATCGCCACCATCCTGGAAGTCCTCCATGACCTGTGAGAAGTCACTGTCTGTGGGTGATTTCCCAGAAGCGCCCCAGTCTTCCAGCACTGGTTCTGTTTTGTGGTTAATTGAGTTTTAGGTGGTGATTTTGTGATTTCAGTGGGATCTTTGTTTCCTCATGCTTTTGCACAGTCTAAAGACTGTTTCAAGAAGATTTAGTGTCCTGTAAATGTGCTTCAAATAGTATTCTGGAAAGATAGTCATACATTTTTTGGAATTTGCACTGAGGAGCAAATAGTAGCATTTTCTGAATGCTTAGATCCTAGCTACTTTATTTTACTTCGAAAGTATGCATGATTTAACATTTACAAATTGTGATGTTGAGAATGGACAGGTATGAACAACAGCTATATCATTGGCCTTGAAATTATTGAATAAGTACACAGATTTGCTGCACACAATGGTACTGTGGTTTGTAAAATCCTAAATAGGTTCTTTTACCTATCACAACCAATTAAAACTACTGTAGGTAGAAAACACAGCAAACTTAAAGTGCACCATTTTAAGTACTGAACGTTTTGTTGTTTTCCACTGTATTCTGTTACATTATAGTTGAAATACCAAAGAGATAGTTACAAGCCTTTTAATATTTTGAATTTCACCAGGGTTCACGGTTCACTGTTTCATAGCCACTAAGCACTTTAATAAGATTCACGGAACCCCAGAAAACTGCTGTCTGTCAGTATTTAAGTGTTTCAAAGAAGGCCTCATACCTAATATTCCATCATTTGCTCTTTTGCAAGATGGTTTTCTGGCAGTTCATGGCATTACATCATTAATTATAACGATTTTTAATATATTTATTAATTCATTCAAATATGCAGTTTGCCATTTCATAATGTACTAAATGTTAGTTTTCAAAAAGTATGTTGTGGTCCTGCTGTGGTACTTTTTGTTTAAAACCTTCTTGTCTGTCTAGCCTGTATGTTATACTTGTTTTTAATTTTTTTTCTTGTTACTGCGGTGTTTGATATAAATAGCATTCTCCACTATGGCTATGCTTCTCATTTTGCTTTTCTGGGGGGAAAATGAATGTGGAATATGATGTCCACTTCACAAAGTGCAATTCTGAATGCAGTTTAAGATCCATCAGAAATGTAGAGTGATAACTTAACCATTTAAAAACTTGCACAGAAAAGAAGTAGATTTTAACTTTATACTGCATAATGTGTGGTGAATGCTTATACAAGCATTCTGCATATTCTTGTAGTTTTTCTCTTACCCTACTAAAATGTGTGTGCAGCGCCAAGTATTTCTATTATCCCCACAAACTGTGTTAAAACAGAATTTGAATATGCAAAGCTTCACCATGGATTTCAGATTTACAAGCTATTTTCAAATAAGAGTATTTTTATCAGTATAATATACTATAAATATTGCTGTTGAACTGATGACTCTGAGAAAGAAATATTGTATTGTTTGATAATCCTAGAAGGGCTTTCTTAAAAACAGCATTAAAAGTATGTTGCATATCCATTTGTGAATTCAAGCCAGTCAGATCCTGTTTTTACAATAGCTGCCTTTGAAGTTTTCATGCTATTGTAGTGCTTCAGCATTATGGCTTTATAAATTCCTGTTGTTCTTCTAATATGATTTTCTGTTTGGTTTTAAAAGAGATGAGGACACAGACCTTAAGACATTTCATATGTGGACAAACAAGTGAATCCGGTATTTTGAGTAAGTGGCAGAACAGTGATATATGCAAAAGAAATTCAAAAAAATATGTGGTCCTAACAGGTGATCTTTGCAGAGTTCTTTAAAGACGTTTCAGAGCCACAGAATGTTGTACAGAACAAAGCTGGTTCAAATTGAAATGCTTCGAAGGACCAGCAGTCCAGAGTGTTGGAGAGGGCGTAGTAAAATAACGTTTTCTGTCTTGACTAATTTTTCCCATAGTCTCCCCTTAGTTTCCTTCACTTCCACATCATCTAATCTCTGTAGCTATTTGCAGTGAGTAAATTCCTCAGCATCTACATTTAAATGCTGCACTTACTGTACAATGGTACTGCATGTTCTCATTAATTGCCATGCCACTATTAAAGGTTGTGTGCCTATTAAGGAAAACAAGAACATCATTCCACCTATTTCTCTTATTAAACACACAGCTAGCCCATTCAAAAGTCAGATTGGATAACCCTTGTGCACATCCGATAACATGGGACATATTCAACTGGCGTGCAGTGTACTGTACTTTTATTGCGGGTACTGTATAAGCCAAAGTAAACTTTTATGAAGTAGCCAAGAGACATAAAATGCTCGTTATTTTATTTACAAATAGAAAATACTACATTTTAATCATTCTTTCACACAGTAATTTGACTTAATTACACATTTGAAATGCTAATAAGATTTCTGTTCTCTACTTTACATGTTTTTGACTCCTACTTCCTGCAGGAAAGTGAGAGGCTCATGGTTAGCAGAATCAGTATAGAATGCTGAAGAAGCTGGGGAAAGAAAGAATGACCGCATGTAACATCATATATCAGCAAAAATCCAAACACCTATCATTAAAGTTTATGGACAGCCTACATATATACATATCATCTAGTTTATCTTCTCGTGAGAGCTGGATTCATCTAACGTCTTCTAATCCTCTAAATCCACCAGTGTTTCCTCATTGAAAGTGATCTGCACATTCTATTCATATAATGTGACTGAAACATCTGCCTGCAGGTATTTAATGAATGTAACAAGTGAGGTCATAAAAATATGAAAAGACAGGTACTGAAATGTAATTATAGTGTTTTAACAGTCAGAATACTTACAGAATTCAAAGATAATGTGGTAGCGGATGATTTAACAGTTGGGCTCTTCACTTTGACCCAAAACGTCTCAAAATCCTTGACAAATGTTGCACTGGGAAATAAAAAATATTCCAAAATTTTAGAGAAAATGTGCCTTCACTTTACTTAAAAAATTACAAGAATTAAAAACCGTGATTGCTCTGTTTGTCCCAGTGCTCGGCTTTAATGTGATATTGATGTCTACAGTTTACCATTTATATTTAAAATAAAACTAAACAACGACATTCTACTATAAAGATATGCACCTGTAAGTAGACAAATACAGAAAAAATATCAACCTGAATTCAATATCGCCCAAGGTATTATTGATTGGTGCTTTCCAGACAGCTTGCAATCGTGTCTTGGGTGAAGCAGATGTTTGACTAAGTGAGGAATTCTAAGAAAATAGTTATTAAACCAAAAACAGCTGTCAATGTGAATCCCACAATTTTTATTATTTTTATTGTTCAAAACACAATATAATTCAATGAACACATACATGTACAAAAAGACTGAGAAATCAAAATACGAACAACACTCTTTTAGATGCCCGTATCTTCACCAAAACCTTGTTAATTTTTGTTACGATTTGGGATTATAACATTCTATTTGGGCTAAAAAAAATTCCAAATTATTACAATTTGAAACAACTCCTCAATACATGCATTACACAACAGCCCTACAATTTCCATGTTACTGGTTCAAAAAGAATCAAATGTCGAGTTAAAAAACGGAATACAGCAAACTGTCAAATTCAGTTTGGTAGCTGAATGGATTAGTGGTTAGGACTCTGGATTTATAACTAGAAGGTTGAAGTTTTGAATTCCAGGTGGGGCACTGAAATTGTACATTACGAGATGTTTTACTCCCATTGCCTCAGAAGAAGATCCCGCAATACAGATCGGAAAGAATCGTATATCCTTGAGCAAGATATTTCATTCACATGGTTTCGGTAAAATGTCCTGTTGCATAAATGGGTAACAATAATAAGAACACAGCAGAACTTACCACCACATTATTACATCTTAGGCCCTGACATTGTCCCATGTCTATAGAGATGAAGGAACCCACAGCGCTGTTTCCATCGATCTTTCGAGCCTGCAGCAAAAAGCCCTCGAATACAGAAGTCTTTGTCTCCAATGTTACTTGAACAAAGAAAAGTGGTATTCAGTCAGGCACAATAGACGGTCAACAGTGAATACAGTAAACATTTCAAATGTAAGTTACCCTACACAAATATTACAAATGAGTGATGTCAGGTATACCTAAGGGTAATAAAAAACAAAAGTATTTTCCTTGTTAGAAGAAAACTGGTGAAAAGTTTTTTAGGTGTGGTCTTACCAGGGGATTTGGATTTTCTGAGCAGCTCCATGCATCTTTAAATATATACTTTAAAAACAGGGATGGAAAATCAGAAATGAAGAAAGAAAAGGCTATTGTAGCAAGATAGGATGTTAAGTCATTGTATTTTTTTGGTGTCCGATTCATATGGAAGCCAGAAAACTATCATCTTAAGGGGACATTTTATTCTGCAATAGGTTAAGTGAAAATGGGGGGAAAAAATGAAAGCTGCTCCTCACCTGTGATTTGGTCTCCTGGTGCATATGTGGATTTACTCGTTGTAACACTAAATGGAGGAACTGAAGTCTGGGCAACATATCCAGTATGCCCTGGTATCATGCTATCGCAGGAGATTGCAACTGAGCCATTAGGGAAACTAAAAACATCTGTCACTAAATAAGCATTCATTAGAAGCAGGCTGAAAATTGTTTTTTGGTGCATCTAAGAATAAAAGAAACATTACAAAATTTTGTGATCCATTGATATATTTTTGGTGAATCTTTAACACTATCATGTTTATAGACTGTCATCTCCCATTATTTTTCTGAGCAAAAAGACATTGAAATTAAAAATTTTAAATTAAATTAAATTAAAAAAACTGCCACGGTTGAACTCTCACTTACAATGCTTGCAACTTTGCATGACACATTCTTTAACTGAGTTTTCATTTATCAACTGTAATGTTTTAGGGTTTTTTTAATTTCATTCACTTTCAACATTCACACTCATCCTGAATATCATTGGAATCTGTAGTACATTAATTTTGCAAGTTGGTTTAATTTATTGTCGTGGGAAGAAGACCTAAAAACTGCAGCTGACACTGTTTATTTTGATTTAAAAAGGGCAACCATTTTCAATTAAGTTCACAAAATGCTTTTTCCTTCATACTCTCATGGTTCAATCATATTTATGTCTTTCCCTCCTAAAGCAGAACCTTCTCTACAGATTCTTAGATTCTAGATGAGCTGCAACAGATATTTATCTCCAGGACGCTCAATATACGTGTTGTAAAGAAGCTGGTCAACCACACATATGTTCTTATTTCAAGCCTGAGATATACAACTTTATACTTCTAAACATTTTATACAACTGATAGAAATGTGACAAATGAAAATCAGGTACTGCAGAACTACAATTGAAATAAATCTCTCCATTAAATGACTTTCTCTGTGTTTCTGAAATTCCTTGGCTGTCTGGTCATACAATTGAAATATACTGCAGTAAAGTTCTGTGATGGAAAGTTGAAGTTGATATATCCAAGGCACTGTAAATATTTGTGCTAATGTAATAGCTTGATATACTGTAGGTAGTATTAAGTGTACATTTATTAAATAGAAATCTTACCTTTTCATCAGTACCTGTAAGAAGTAAATCTTTGGAAAAGTGAGGTTTCCGATGAGGCTAGTTAGTACTGGATGGTTTTATTGTGGTCTAAAGGGTGTCAGGTGTTCAGCCTTTGTCAGGTGTGTTTTACTCCATGCAGTTCCCAAGTGATTGAATTGCAGCTTTTTTTCTCAATAGAAATGTTTCCTATAGACATATACACTGAATAATTTAACTGGTCAGACCTTTTTCATATGGACAGTAAATGCGGAGTAGCTCTTAAAACATTTTTGCAATTACATAGCGTTTTTTACTTGTCCTCTCCATTGCCTTATTTTGAATATACATACGGTACAGTACATTCAAATGCTGTAAATGCTTTCAGATTTATGATGCATGGAGCTGCAATGAGGCCATCAACATTATGTTTGATATTCTAATAAATAATTGTGATATCTGTTAGCATTCTGCCAATAGGGTTATATGTAATGGATTTTGTGCTAATTTGGAATTATGGGAGTAAGTATTTCTGTTGTGTTATTCATTGTGCATGTAGAAACCTTGTGTTTTACCCTTGAGCTGTTCTTCAGCAAGAGCAACTGGTATCCCTGGGGAAATTGGTGTTTATACCCAGGTGGTAACAGTCATTTTCTCCTGTTCTGGGAGGAAGAGTGTAGCTGTGAGTAGTGCTTGTAACATGCTTGCCTTTGAACGGATTCAGATGAAAAACACTGTAAAACATTTCCACAGCTTTAACCTCTAACAAGATGTCTGCCTCATTACATACCCCCTCGTGGTGCTTATCTGCCTTATGCCTTATACTATTTAAAACAAAGAAAACATTAAAAAGAAAAATATAATCAATAAATTATTTAAAGATGTTTGTTCCACTTTGAAAGAACCTCATAAGCATTGTTAATCAATCAACAATAATAAATATAACCTTGAACTTGCACCACAGATTTGTCTTTTCATTTTCTCATATTCAGAGTTTTTCCCATTCATTTTTCTAAGTAGAATCAATATTGATGAAAGACCTAGGTTAGTATTTTACTATGGAAAATTCCATAGAGTTTTTTTTTCAGTCCTTCTTTGACTTTAAATAAAGACAAACAACTGAAAGCAATAGTTTCACACCCAATCAGCTCATTAGGAAAATTTGAAACCACTGAAATATGATCTGTTCTCTTCAATTGTGTTGCTATCATGTGATTTTTTTTTTTGACTGTAATATGTCGGAAATAAATATAGAAAATTATGTTGGGACACACTAAAACGAATATATCATTTTAAATGAGTAAAAGTCATTCAATTCTTTCATTGTTAATCCATTTGACAGATTAAATTCTATCAGTTTTATGCCCTTACCCATTTCCTATATCAATTATACAACAATTACAATTTAAGAAATTAAATATAAAATAAAAATTCATTAACAGTGTTGGAAAAAACGATTTACAGTATTTCAACAATCTAAATTACAAGTGATATGTGGATGTAAACAAGTTTTTTCTATTAATGCTTGATGGTCACCTGACAAGAATTTTCACGTGAATTAGAGTTCATATTTAGTACTATACCTGAAACTCGCTTGGAAATGTTGATATAATGTACCAGTATCGTATTTTTTAAGCGTCAGATGAAGCGTGACTTCCCTTTACATTTGCAAGTCTCCAAGAGCTCATATTACCATTGTTTTGCTGAGTCATGTTGACACAGGGCTTTTTCAAGAGAGTGACGATTGCAAAACAAGAGTGCGGTCTAAAGAGAAGTACTGTACAGTATTTCAAAACCAGACATTCAAGGCATGTCTTTTCTGAGTCAACCACCAATAAGCCCTTAAAAAAGTTTGTAACACAAAACAAATAAGCTTGTAATAGCTATACTAAATAACACAGGTCCTCAAAGAGTTCATATCAAACATGTCTTCCTCTAAACTGGACGACATTATGTTTCTAGATACTTGGTTCCAATCTTCTGTGATTCCAGATTTTAAATCTGTGGATTTAGCAAATCGAAAAAATGATTGAATGGCTATGAACCAATCATGTGAGCTTTCTCTGTGTGTATGTGTTATCCACCTCGCGATAATATTTAGCAATTCAGGTGGAATAATAATTGTTTATTTACTAAAGCGAATAAAGTTTAATTTGCTATGGTGGCCTGAGCAAAAGATTAACATTATTTTAGATCCGAAAACAGCAATGAAATAATGGAGTGAGCAACGCATAATATACAAAAACATAACAAGGTATGTGACGGGCAGAAATGATTTAATGATTTTACTGAAAAGGACCTCAGATAAAATTGAAGTAATTTAATCTTATTCTACAAATTATTCTACTCAATTGCAGTGTATATTAAAATGACTTGTGCCCTAGGGTCAGTCTGAGAAAAGCACAGCATCATCAATTGCAAGATGGTGCAGAAAGCTGCAATAAATTAAAATGACCCTAATGAATTACTGTATGACAAAGTAAGATTTTTTTGCACAATTTGTAACTTAAAACCTATGAAGCGATTGTCTACTTTGCAGAGACAGACAATCAAACAAAATGTAATGACCTACTGTAGTAATGAGTGAAGTTAGCACCATACTGTAAATCTTGGGGCAAGACATCAAGTTTCCAACAAAACGTTTGTAGGTTATTCTGTAAACAGCATCAATAAACAGAATATGGAGGTAGTTCAGGTGGGTAGCTGCGTCAGTATGTTTAGTCTGCAAAGGACAAAGTAATAGGTTTATTCCATACTGAAAAGAAGAGAAAAAACAGTTTTGGCTGTGAAGCCTTTTTCAGGTGTGAGCTTTTTTTCCTTTTTTTTACGCCTAGAGGAACATGTAAAACAAGATGAATGTGTGTGAGATCAAGGAAAGCAAGTTTAGACTTGTTTTCAGCATGTAATCTTTTAATATGAGTTTTGAAAGGTGCTGTTCTGCACTCTAGGAAAGGTCAGCTGAACACAGATGAATGATAGGCACTATCGTTCACTAGAGAATATAAGAATTTATTCACCATATACTTAATATATAAGGGAATATGTCTATGCAACAGCCCATTTAGAAGCATGGCTTGTGTGCACTGATTTCTTATACTGTATGGCTAAAGAGGAGTAAATGAGTGGACTTCTCAGACGTTCTCAAAAGCCTTAGCATTTCAATCTGCCAGATTGTACTTAAAGTTGACAGCTCAGGGAATACCCTATGTTTGGCTTTAGCTTGTTGACAATATGACTAAAACAACCTTTAGAAAAAGATCCAAGCACCTCTGTTGGGAAGAGCAATATTGTACTCCAGTTTATTAGTTTATTTTTGAAACTGCTTCATAAACATCACTGGAGATTCTCTTTTCATGCCACTTCTATTGCATGCTGTGAAACAAAGTTCAATACATAGAAAATGCAATTGAAATACATTTTAGCAAAAGATATTTTAACCAAGTCTCAGAAATAACTAGTGTTTCTGGAGAACAGCCTTAGCCGACTGACTTATTAACAGGAGACTGCGTATGTACTATAAAGGATTAAGTAAACCTAGACGGGGCTATGCCAGACATGCTGTAGCTGCTTCATGAATGGCAGAATTAGAGTAAATAAACTCAGAGCAAGAAAAAAAATAATCAAGCATCGCGAAAGAATCACCCTGAAAGATAGCTACTGTGGAACAGGTGGTCCCAGCCCCGTCATGGGAATTCCTTCTTTTTTTTTTTGTTCCATTTTTTCTGTGATTTGAGTTTTAGTGATTTGGGATTTCTAGCGATTTTAGTGGTGGGAACCACTGACACAGTGTTTACCGGCATAACGAACAAGTCTAATCTTAAATCTTAAAATGAATAAATACATTCTGAGAACAGACCTGAAAATATTTCAGTCGGAAACAAAACTGTGAATCATCCGTTCCTAACAGAGAATTCCGTAAATGCCCGCCCCCCCCCCAAACAATAATCTGCGTCATGTGTTGTTTGAGTAACTCTACCCATAGCAGAAAAGTCATGTTTAAAGATTTTAGCCTCTGCTAGGCACCATCTTTGATGAAGAGGAAATATAAGGTATTTTTTATGCTTGTGCTAGTATTAAGGAACAACAAAAGTGAACATTAGGGCAGACTGCACCTATTGGCACACCAATAAATGTAAGAGCAATAAAGATTCAGTCCAAATTTGGACTCGCCATCGCTATTTTGTTTCTCTTGATAAATGTAGCTTAAAGTATAACAATTCAGTTCAGGCTTAAAACTGAAAAGCAACAAACAGACCTGATGTCAGTAACAATGTAAAACAAAGAATAAAACCAGTGGACCTAGTCTGCCAGTCAACGATAATACAATACAAATTTTACCAAACAATTTAGGTAGCACAACTATCATTGGAAACGTCGTCTGAACTGCACTGGGAAGGAAACTACAGGATTGGTGTGGTATCAAATGGTCTCAAACCCGCTAATTCCCCACCGGCATCCGCCTCTTCAATGCACATTCCTCGCTTTCCTCTTTCCCTGAAGTCATGATAATTCATGTACACTGCTCTGATCTTCCCACTGCTTTTCTGTAGAAAACGAGTCCTAATCAGAACCGCCAACTGTAATCACACGAGCACACATGGACATAAGTAAGCAGAATCAACCGTATTATATGTCCAAAAGAAGACCAAGAAATTGAAACAGGAATATTGTACATCGTTTCTAACATGACCTATTGAAAAATCTTGTTCTCCTAATCTGGATGATAATACCTGTTCCGGTATTTGGCCACACCTTAAACCTGTATGACTGTTGTGAATAAGCATCTGCTTTGTGTCTCAAAACTGCTCAAAGAGCACCAAAGCACGGCGCAACTGTTAAAGGGATTTACAGTTACTAGCAGACAATTAGATTACTCGAAACAGGCTTATTTTTGATTGTCTCTGATTAAGGTAAGTCTCATTATGTTTGCTGTACGGAAGGTGTAGAAACTCCCGTTTTTGTTTTACCATAGTTGTTTAATGTTAGCTAAACCGTTCACTTACTGTTTTTCACTACTTATTACGTGTGTTATTTTATCAAACTGAATAATCCTCAAGCGCTAGAAAAAGCAAGGTAGTGTCGTTACTGGTAAAGTAACTAGAACTGCAACACGAAAGCCAATTGTCAGTTTACTATACACCCCCCACCGCAATTTAAGCAAAAACTGTTTGCCGTTGTTTTGTATTTGCAGTCTGAGTTTGCTGTGTATATATTATTATGTGTTGTATTACTGTTCTTGAATTATTTTAATATTGAAGTTGATATTAATATTTAAACGTATCAATAGCATGATGCATTATTGACGGCGATTAATGTGCATGAAAGCGTAACTTTCCTCAGCATTAGATGTTGTTTCAAATGTTGTGGTCAGCGCTACATGAACACAGTTTATTTCAGATTTGTTTAAGCATTTTATTGTAAACAATTCTTGCAGTTTTCTCTTGCAGTTTCTACGAAGAAGCGATACAGTCTTTGTACCTTCGGGTATTTCGTGTGAACTATTTCTGAACTTAAAAATTATAATTTCATTTTCCATAAGGGACCACTAATTTAATGTAATTAATTGAAATAAATTAGTGATTTAGTGGAACTGGGAAGCAGGTCAATACAGTATATTGTGCGGTACGTGTTGAATAGTAATCGAGCTTCGTTTATTATCTCGCATCTCAATAATCATAATCATACTGCATTTTATGTGAAAAGAGTGCTTCTGTTGTAAAACGTTACAAGAATGTCCGCAAACTCTTGATGAAGTCTGTCTGAATGCTACTGGAATAACACCCTACTGATAGAGGAAGAATATAGACATTATTCCTATACTGATAAATCAGAATTTGTTAGATATTGTGATCTCTACAATACAGTATATCTCCAATTACCACTTTCTGCACACAAATATCCTAATCCGTATATATATTTTAGGGATGATAGTGTCTTCACAAACCTTTGCAATTAAAAACAAGTTTTTTTTGTAAAAATAAAGCCTACTGATGAGTGCAATTGTTTAATTCAGTTAAAAAAAGTTTTCAGTAGACTTTATTTTTTTTTAGATGGACAAACGGAGGCTCTTCTTCATCCTTCTCGTTTGTAAAAGTGCCGTACTGGGTGTTATGGGATATGGGAATGGTGCTGTTACATCTGCTTGCTCCAATATGGTTCCTAACCACGGAGGTAGCAATCAGACAGTGACCTCTCCGTACAGTGTCACAAGAAGTCAAAACAGCTACAAGGAAGGAGACTCGATCACAGGTAAAGATTATCTTGTCTTTGAATCATATGGTTTTGATATTTCCAACTAAATGTTTTTTAGTCATGTGAATTATAATAATAATTAATAATAATTGCTTACACTTATATAGCACTTTTCTGGACACTCCACTCAAAGCGCTTTACAGGTAATGGAGACTCCCCTCCACCACCACCAATGTGCAGCATCCACCTGGATGATGCGACGGCAGCCATAGTGCGCCAGAACACTCACCAAACATCAGATATCAGTGGGGAGGAGAGCAGAGTAATGTAGCCAATTCATAGAGTTAGTGTACTTAGTAAATAAAGGGGACTTTATTTTTTGCCATATGCTAAAAGAATATCTAATATTTAAAAAAAATCTGAATAACAATCGTATTTAATGCATAGTTTTGAAAGTATTTGCAGAATAAGACGTTAGAAACGTTTGCAATTAGTCGATTGACAAGTTGTGATTACTTAATTGCTGTTTTGAGCACAACACATTTGTAAATTTGCATGTTTTCTAAAAGCGGTCTATGATTAAAAAAAATGTGGTAAGAAACTACTGTCCCTCGTGAGATTTTTTGGAGACTTAGAGATGGGCGCAGTTGCATCAAAGCAGTAGTGTGAACCATTTTTTCAAATAATGACACATTGTCTTTAGCTTGATTTAATATTTATACAGTATGTCATTGTATATGCAAATACGTTTAAGTGTGTTTTCTTTTTTTTTCTTTTACAGTGACTCTTCAAGCTAATTCTAATTCATTCAAAGGTTTTCTGTTAGAGGCCAGAGAAACTGGAGGAAGCAGTAATCCTGTGGGAACTTTTACTGTAGCAGGTGCTGATTCTAAGGGTCTATCATGCAATGGGATCCAAGTAAGTTTGTTCTTTAACTTATTTGTATTACAAGTTAGGGAAACTCCTCAAAATATTTTTTCCTTTATATGGATTTCCTTACTTCGGTTGTTCAAGTTCTGTAGGAACAGCACTCCATCCCAAAAAATTCCAAAGTGCTCTACATACTGTATAAAAGAGGGCCCAGTATACAAAAGCTCAGACAGAGAAGTGAGAAGTTATTTTAAGTGAATTAGAGGAAATTTCAGAAAATGCAATAGCATCTTTGAGGATCAAGTAGTTCGGACCTCGGTTTTGCCCATCAGAAATGCTTGCTTAAATTGCTAATACTTTTATTTTTTTTTTTGTGTCAACTTCCAAACTTAAGTCAATAAAGTAGCAAAAAAAAAGTTACTTAACATATTGGCCTTTGGCTGTCCTTGTTGTTTATTATGATTGGCAAATCATTACACATGTTTTATTTGATCTGTATCATAATTAAAAGCTCTTCTTAATTCGGGACATAGTGGAAAATGAGGATTTTGCAATGACCACTTTTTACCGCAATTTCTACCAGTGTACTGGGATTGCATAACACAATGAAGAACTGCTTCAAGATACAGATTCTCAAGACTTGCTGTTCATCACCAGGAAAGTCTACATTTTTGTCCAAGTTTCCCTCTCAGTAGGAGCAGTAAGGTTTATGTTTGTATCTCAAAACCACTGGTATATCCAGGCGTTTATTGGTAGCAGATTTATCCAAATCTCTGAGCCGGTATCTTTCTGGTAAATTCCAGTCAGAATGGAAGTGTTATGGAAATATGTTTGAACAGAAAAAAAAAACTGACAGCACACCCCACTTCCTCTTTTGTGTATTATCACAGTTAGACCACATACCTACGTCGAGTGCCAACTGAAAGCAAAGACTGACCAGAAACCAAAAGGACTGTTGTGTAATATTAGGACCCAGAGTGGTGAATTTACAGTGCCATTGAATTTTGTAGTGGTTAGAGGGAAGATGTGCCATGTGTGAGCTTAAAATGTTTAAAAAGATAATAATTTCCACAATTGGAATGTGTTGTCAGGGATAAGTATGCGAATATTGACCTCAATTTGCAAGCTAAATGAACTTGCATCAGACACTACCTAACAATGTTAAGTGTGCTAGGACCCCTTTCCTTCAGAGCAGGTTCTTCTCCCAAAACCACCAGCGCCCCCAAAGGACTGACAAGACAGTTATCCAAAATAAATAGATTTTAATTTCTCTTGACAACAATTCTCGATCATCTAATGTTAAAGTATCCACAACTGACACTCCATGGACCCCAGGGATCCCAAAACAGTGTCCCAAAAGAGAAATACAGCATGGTCATTCTCCTGGAACAGCTCAGCCATGGGTCCTAGAATCCCTCCTTCCATCATGGTGTAGAAAATGGCGAAATGCTGAACTTGTCCATAGGTTCTGCCAAATTTATGGAATATAAATATATTCTGGCCAAATTTCCCTCTGTCCTTAGCTGATTATGGCCCCCTATGAACTGGCTTCATCACTCTGTTCTCCTCCTCAAGGATAGCTGATGAGTGGCAAGCTTTGGTACTGGTGTACTGGTGTGTTTTGGCTCCCATCGCATCATCCAGATGGGTGCTACACATCGGTGGTGGGAGGAGAGTCCCCATTACCTGTAAAGTGCTATATAACTCTAAGAGTGTAAGGAATTATTATTACACTATTTTCTCCAAGTCCAATATCGAGTAGGGGAAAGAAGACAAGATGTCTGATCTTTCCTCTGCTGTTCTCAGTAGAGTCTCCCTCTGGGGTCCCAGTCCTATCCTGTGTTCAGTAGTGCAAGCTGTGTCTTGAATTCTTTTCTTGATTTCTCTTGACTGAGGATTATCCAGCCCATTGCTGACCAGAGCTCAGAACTTGAAATGAGAGGAGGGAATGTCCTACTTTTCACAGTAGTGTATGCAGAACTAACATATGGAGGCTAATTAATGAACTGACTGTATGGAGATAGCTGGGTGTTACTACGATGCATTGTCTATTCTTCGTCGATAATGGAGCCCCCTCTCAGTCTTAGTCTGTTAAACCTTTCCCACAATCCCACATCAGCTCTGAACGTTTTGGGCATTTATGCAAACAGTGTGTTGTTCAATCTTTGTTGATTGTCCCACTGTTTGTTCTAGGAAGGCCCAAAGACTTTAATTAGAGGAAAAGCTCAAAGAAGGCAAATATATCAATGTTGACAATGACACTGGCCATTATAACCATATTCTATGTCAATATAGTCCCCAAGCTATTGCCCTTTTTGAATTCGCTGTTGTATTTTCGAATTCAGAAATAACGTTGTGAGAACTGAATCAATGAATTTTATAGGAGTACAGTTAGACAAAATCCCTAATGTTGACACCCTTTAACAATCACAAGTATTTTAGGATATCACAAAACTGGATATACAGGAGTCCTTTTGCTCTGTGCCTGTAGGATTAGACTACTCAGCTCCATGCATCCTCTAAGAATTAAATGACTGCTAAAAATGGAGGGATAGATTATTACTTATTTGCTTAGTGGCCAGTCTTATCTAAGCTAACCTAAATTACAAGTTAAATTATGTGTAAGTCCTCTATAATAATTAAATCAAGTATAAATAAGGCTAGCACAGTAAAGGTGAAAGTACAATGCAATTGCCATTCAAAAATAAAAAAGTAATAACCTACTGCTCAAACTGATATTAATGTCATTGAACATCATTAGTGTTATATCAGCCTTGAAACCATTAACTGATCAGGTTTAACATCTGGTAAATTGCAAAACACAAAACTAAACATACTGAATCCAACTAGTTTTTGATAAAAAAAAATGTTTATTCTTGTACTGGTACTGAAAATTGTCAAGAAAACCATTAGTATCTGTGTAACAGCAGGAGAGGGAAAGTACAGTCAAACTATGAAGAGATGTAGCCTTGAGCCTTAAAAAGTGTTTTTTTTTTGTCTCCAGAATTCAGCAGTTACTCAGACAACCAGCAGCAGCAAAAGTACCATCAGTGCCACCTGGAAGGCTCCAACATCTGGAAATCTCAAGGAAATTGAATTCAGGTTTTTACTATTATTTAAAACCTTGTTATTTTTTCTTCTTCTTCTGTACTGTATATATGTCATGCGCAAGCTGAAAAATTGGTTGTTCACTGTTGCAGGAAATTCTTCATCAGAGGAGCAGGACACAGTCTTGTGCAGATTCAGTTTTATTGAGCTCAATAAGATCTACAACGCGTGCCAGGTCTGCCCCACAGAACAGAAAAACTGCAAGGGTTTCCCAGCTCTTATATACAGTCAGAAGAAAGTTTGTTTCACAATCTGAGTGCTTGTCCTGTTCTATGATATGGAATTACTTCTTGTCTTGCTCTAGGTTCTGTCCTTTGATATGCAGCAGATATTGGTCTGGTTTATCCTGTTTGTGGGTGTTGTTCCTGTCTTTTATTACAGTATGTCTAGTTAAGCCACTGGGCTGTGGCTGCTAAAGCAAGTCAGCTTTATAGCATCTTAGTGTAGCTTTTGTTTGAGGCTAAATTAACAGACCCCACCCACACCTCTCACATTGTGCTTAAGTGCTGATACTTTGATGCTGGTTAAATGAGATATACAGTATACATGTCCCACTTCATTCACCAAATAGATTTCATGATTTAAAAACCAATAACCAATAAATGATTTGATGTTTTCTAAATTTATGTAGTTTACGTTGAATAACAGTTTCTGTATTTAATTGGAAATTTAATACTTCACTTGGTGGACATTTTCAATACCTTATGTTTCATTGCTGTTGGTATTCAGATGAATTTTAGAAGCAGCAATATACTGTAGCTCCAAAAAGGCATCTTTGAGTTGACAATTTGATTAGTTCACTGTGCACAAAAACCTAAGCAGCCATGCCTTCTATTTATTTCTCTGCCAGTTTGGAATTTAACTTTGTTTTGCAGTTTTAAATTTTTAAAGCTTTCAGAAATTAGTTTACAAAAAACTGAAACCACTTTCTTTTAGGCTTACCTCTATTTATTTTGTTTAACTTTTGACAATTTGAGCAAAATGGTATTTTGAGGTTGGTCTTTGAAAATGTTTAAAATGTTAAAATGATTAAGTGTTTTTTTTTTCTTGTTATTGAATGACAAATTCTGAGATTGAAAATTGTAAGGAAATGAAATGAAACAGCAGGAAAAAAAACGTTTCAATTCAATGTTATCTTGTTGAAACAAAATCTTATCTTGTTTAAATGCAATACAACAATTATAGTATTTAAAGGCAAAAAATATTTTATTTAAACATGATAATTATTTTGTTCAGAGATAATCTTATCTCTTTTAAATGCAAATGTTTTTTCTTCGTAGATCTAATGGTTCTGCATCAATAGGTTTCTGTATATCAGACTATTGTTAGAAACTAATTTGTCATAATGTATTACTAATAATTAGAGTAAAAAGAAATCCATCTATTGTGCTTGTTAAAACAGTTGTTACCAGCCTTTTTACTGTCTCTTTCAGGGCAACATTTGTTCAATCAAAGAATGTATTCTGGGTTGCAGTCCCAAGTGCCAGTGTTGCTTATAATGGAACCACATCTTCTGGAAGCACTACGCCATCTGTAAATGCCCCAGCACCTACTTCAACTACCACAAAATCACCCAGTTCTTCTTCAGTAGGTGTTTTGACTGAAAACCTATTCAGAGGCAAATACACCCAGTAGCGTTAAGCTTTACTGTAAAAAAAAAGGAATAGAGCAAATCTGTAATTGTGTTAATGAAACAGATCAGAAAAGGTTTAAAAAATATGGAATGGGTTCTATGCTGAGTGCTTCAACTGCCTTTCGAAAGATCGCCGTGCAAATCCTTGTCTTCTTTCTTTAACCCCTAAGCTCTGTCTTCGTGTGTTGTTGATGTGATCAGTATTTGACTCTTATATGATATCTGGCACTTTTCCATTCATGAATCTGTATCATCCCAGGACACTTTCTAATAATGAACAATTCAGCAAGTTTTTATCAGTACAAATACAATAACACGTGCAGATGGAAAGAACCCAAGCTGAAAATATTGAAAAGTGAAATTGTATTTTACAAAGCTTAGCATGAATTTCCAGATGGTTAACATGCTGTGCTTATGATGAATTCAGCATTGTAAATAATATCATAGTTACCAATCTATAATCATGCTAAAAAATCTTCCAATACAGAAGGATTTTTTTTTCTGTTTTCACAGATCTCTGTTTCCAACGATGGTTGTGGGGTCAGTAAAAGCTGTTTCAGTTACCCTAACAGTTGTAATCCAGCCACCAACAGTGACTGTTACTTCATGTCAAGTGCAGTATTTCCTTCTTCATCCAATTCTCCAATACAATTCCAAATGTGTGGTCGCTCTGATGGCTACGTGTCCTTTGGATTTTCAGATGATGTAGAAATGGTAAGTTGAAACGGGCAGAGTTTGTTGTTTGTTCAGATCCTTTGTGCTCACAGGGAATTAAAGATTTCTTAGAAGTCAGATACAGTATGAGTGATTTAAATTGGCGTTAATCCCTGAAGAACGTCTTATAGACTGGTTCAAAGCATATTCATTAATTAGAATTATAGAGAGGAAAGCCTGCCAAAGAAGGTTTAATTACACTGAGTTCTAGACACAGCTGTACCATAAGACTTAAATATCCATGAACAGACTTATTACCAGTAAATTACTAACAAACACCGAATGTGCTTGTTGTGGATCATGTAGGTTATAATAGATAGACATGTCACACATCATATTTACAGAGATGCTTATTTACAACGAATGAAGTGTAATACTTCAAAACAAAATTCCCTATGCTATTCTCTATGCTTTTCTAAACTGTTTAAATTGAAAGAGTGCCTCTAATTGCATTATTTTTCATTTATGTAATGATCAACAATAGATGCAAATTAATAGAATTGACTTGAATGACTGTATTTGTTTTCTCAGGGAAATGATGACATTTATGCTTGTGTTCTGGATGGAAATGGAGTTGTTCAAATCCAACATGCGTATTCTACAGGAACAACAAAGCCAAACACATTACCTTTGGTACATTTATAAATATATTGGTGCATAGTGATCAAACATATGTACATATGTATTTAAATATGTATTTAACTGTGTATACATTTTGTCTTTTACCGTTGCATCGTAGGGAAACGTCACAGAAATAAAATCATCTTACAGCAATGGTATCATCTGCTGCTCATTCAATTCAAGTAACACTATTTCAACACAGAGAAGTGCTGGGAAAAGTCTCCTGTACTACATTCTGTTTGCTTATGGACCTGCTTCGCAGGGTGAGCATATTAATTTAGTCCAGGGTGGAACTGAAATAATTTCATACTTTAGTTTTAAAAAATTGTACTGACTCTAAGGGCTTATGCAGTTACTCATTTTCTAAATTGCTACTAAATTATTTTAATAGTTTCATATTTCTGTACTGTTACCTTGTATTACAAAGATTTATTAGGATGCGGTGTTGAGTATTTTGTCCTTTTCTTTGATAACTTGTTGACAAGATGTACTGTAATACATAAATCATTGCATGTCTTTAATCATATAATGACATCTCTTGTTCAAAAACATCCGGGACTGATTCATGCTCTTGACAGGTGAAATACAATATCACCCAAAGAGACCTTTTGTCAGTACTGGGAAGGTGGATCTTGCAGCCGCACAAGTGGCAAATGGGAGTTCTGAGCAACCAAGCATAATTAAGGCTCATGGTATGTACTGCTTAATATATTAAATTGCAAACTTTCAGATCTAATATTAAAAATCTTGGGTCACCTGGTTTTAAACTAAAGGAAATATTGTCTGTGGAAGGTGTCAGTATAACAGTGTGACAATTAAGGTCTAACTCTTTCTGAAAAGTATGTTACTCTTAGGGATGTATGAAGGACTTTAAAACGTATGTTTAAGTGGACATGGTTCTTTCTAATATTTTGTTTTCTGCTTTGTAAATCAACATTCTCTTTTTCTTTTGCAGGAGCTCTTATGCTAATAGCCTGGATGACCACAGGAAGTTTGGGCATGATAATGGCCAGATATTTTAAGCGAATTACAACGGGGAAAAAGATGTGTGGAAAAGATTTTTGGTTTCTGGTAGGACTTCTCATTGTGGCTAAAACATTTTTTTTGAGCTGGTTCTTTGTCTTTTACTGGCAGACACTCATTCTGAGTATATTGTCATGTTGGTAGCAGATGTACTGTACATCATCAGTACATCACAGTATCTTCATGCAGTTTTTGTAAAAGAAACAATTGATTATTCCAAATCAGGTGGGTTTACAATGTTTTCAATGTTTGTGACTCAGCAGTTTAGGAAGCCTTTAATTATCCAATACTGCATTATTAATTGTGCTCTATACCTAACATCTTTTAACAAATGTGATGGTGGAAATCGAAACAATACTGATACAAATGTGGGAATTATTTGATAAGAGGTGTTGTTAAATCTGATTTGTTTTGTAATTTTTACGTCAGTGAACAGAGAATTCAGGAAACTTAATGATATCCGTTACTCATTGGTGCCGAGAATACAGTATCAGTGTCACACTGCCTGTCGTCAGCCAAAATGTTGAAATTGATTTAAAAATGACTGTTGGCATGCGTGAGGCTGCTTGGGGGCATGGTCTGTATTGCACATAACCTGACCACAGAAAGTATAGAAGACAGCATCAAGCCTAAGGACAGCCAGATTGCACATACTGTTGTATGAGGTGTTGTATGATAGATGGCACATCTTCAGTGTTTTTGTAATGTTAATATCCTATTTTTTAGGTTCATGTGTTCCTGATGATACTCACTGTTGCTGCTACTATCATTGCATTTGTTCTGGCATTTTCATCTGCAGGAAATTGGAGTGGTGTAAGTATTAAGTGGAAGTTTAATACTCCTGACAAGCCAAGTTATGACATTGCTCATGATAAATTATACCATAAATCTCTGCTGCATTTCCTGTTTTCAAATACTTATGAAGACATTTATTTTACCAAAAGCACAAGTTTGTCGCTAATTGCTATAGTTAAGGATTTTTCTACACTTCACTGTGTGCAAACCCAGGTTAATGCCAACAAACTAGATCCCATCTTTGCTGATTTTACACTGGTTTACACGACAATATGGCATCGTTAAGGTCATGATTCATTTTGTGCTAATTCTGCTGTCCCTCCTAGTCTTGACCATTTTTATTCTGAGACATTTCTGTGTGTTTTTTTATTGGCAGGGAGCTCACCCAGTATTGGGGTGTATAGTGATGATTCTTGCCTTTGTCCAGCCAGCAGCTGCGTTCTTTCGATGTGATCCTACTCACAAATTGTAAGGAAATGAAACAGCATAACACAGAGCACAAAAGTCTTAACATTTCTATAGCATCACACAAGTCAGCCTATAGCATTTGCTTGCAAATATTTTTTATGGCACTGTTGAGGTCCTTGAAAAAATTATCTGCTGGAGCAAAAATAAATGCTTATGGGTTTCTTTAGAATTTCATTTAAACAGTCAGAGCGCTTTGAAAGGATTTTGAGTGCATGGATGGGTGATAACATCCAAATGCAGGTGAAGCTGACATGCTAAATAATTGGATATTTCTGTTCAAAGAAATTCAGATGTTTCTGGTGTAGTCTGCTGTAGCTAATATTCATTTGAATAGTTGTTAACCAGCTTATTCTAGCCCAATATCTACAGTAATTCTATCACAAGTATGTGAGTTTTTAATTATTTGAAAAAAGAACTTGCTATGGTAGTACGCTAAAAGTCCACAATGCCCTAAAAAGATAATGAGTGGGGAGAATAAGGCAAGCTTGTTAGTCACCAGTACTGCAGTCTATTATCACTGGCAGGTACTGACATTTAAAAAAGCAGTGGAAATAATATTGTCTTGTAAATAGACTGTTTTTAGTACTGGTTTCAGTTATGAAATCTTGAAATAAAGTATAAAAAGCTACTCGTGTTTCTACAATACCTTGATTTCACTTTTCCCCTCTAACCTTTAGGAGGGTTGTTTTCAACACGTTTCATGCTCTGAACGCCCTGGTAATCAAGATTGTTTCAGGTATGTACAGTACTTCTGTGCTCTAAGGTGCCCTCTGTTGCATGTTTGTCCCCCTAGTGATTTTAGCCAACACATTTGCACAAATACTGTTTGTATCGCCATTATTTAAGATACTTTAACATACTTGATCAGGTGTTCATTTCCAGGGACGTCCTGTATTCCCACTTTCTTCAGCCCTACTTTAACCAGTAATAGCTTCTTGCTCAATGAATTACTTTGGACTCATTAGTTATAGAATTAACAGTTTAAAGTCCCGGCTGTAACAAAATATTATAGACTACGTCACTACTTTTTTTATTACATCAGTAACATTTACATAAGCACGACTGTGTAATTTTTTTGCTGTAAAAATTAACTAAAGATATTGTCGGAAATACAGCTGTTTGATTTACGCCCACAGGTTATGTGAATACTTAGTGAATGTAAAGCAGTAGATTTTGCATTTGAAAAATTACTTTAAAAAAATACTTAAAAACGTAATGTTTCCTGGTAAAAGATTAAAGAAGCACTAGTTGAATATTTGCTTTGAAGTTAAATCTGTCACTTGTGAATCTCTTTAGCCCTACATATTATTGTGCTCTAATGATGAGCTGCTTTAAACTGCCTGCATTGTTTTTCAGTGGCTGCCATATTTACTGGCCTGCAGCTTCTTGATAGCTCACCAAATCAGTGGCTTGCAAAAGTAATGGGAGGCTTTGTTGGATGGGAATTCCTGTTCTATTTGCTCCAGGACTTTCATTTGTTTTACAGAAAAAAAGGTGAGGTTGAAACAACCGCTTTTTAAAAGAAAAATAAAAGGTTACGTCTGTTACTGGATGTTGATTAAATGTGGTGTGTTATTTTGTGTTTTTTTTTTTCAGACATTTCAGAGACTTTTCTGAACACGGTAAGAGTCACTAAAGTAAACTGCTTTAGGTCCTAAGATTTTTTAAAAGTCATCTTAGCAGTGGAAAAGTGTGGAGAAAATAGACATACTTCTTCAGGTCTTGGGTCCTGGATTCTGTTTCCAGGCTTGGGCGGTGCTATGATGGACTCTCCAAGGTGTAGAGCCGTTATGTTGCATATGTTTCCAGAAGAGTCTTAGAGTTACTGTAGTTGTTGCTAGGATTACTGGGATTAAACCGTATTTCTGAAAATGGATGTATACGTTGGGAGTTATAGTGTTCTACTACTTATTTAGGAACTAATGTTGTGTAGTTTTGAAAATATTTATTGAAGGGCCTTTTTTGTTGAAATATGAACATTTTCTTTCTACTGTTTATGGTATGTTTAATGAAATCTCAATTTACTGGTACATTTTCAAGTATTGTACCTGTGTGTCAGTTATGAACATTGGGTTACAGGACAGCAGAATATAGAAAAACCTGTTGCCCAGGATACTCTGGTTTAGATAATGGGACAGATTCTGATAGTTCTCTGTAAAAAAGCATATGCAAAAAATGTTATAGTTCAAGGTCTTCATTTTCCCCCATCATTATTATAAATCCATCAAGAGGCTTAAATATATAAATATATGTAAATGAAAAAGTAACGTTTCACTTAATCATTTTGTCTTTCAGATGAGGTTTGAAGTCATGTTTCTGGTCCTGTATCTACTTGGGAATCTTATGTTTTTAATTGCTCTTCTTGTTGGGATTGGTATGTCATGAAGACTCGAGCACAAGGAATTGTCAAATACCCATATTGATGGGGTGTTAAATACATGTCCCTTACTCTTCCCAAGGCATAATAGGAGAAATCGCTGAAACGGTTGTTTTTGTCAGTAAAAAAAAAATCATTTTTCACACCTGAATGTCTATAAACGCAGGGTCATATTTGTGAATATTTTTCATTCTTTTCACATCATGTCAATTTAAAAGGTCCCCAGTTGTAAAAACAAACCAGTTTTAGTCCCATTTGTTCTTTTCTGCTTAACTTAATATCCAATCTACTCATACTTAAGAGATTGGGAACCATTTTAAAGATTTAAGTACACAATAATTATATGTCAATCTGACTGCATGCTAAGAGTAAATACAGGCCTTGGGCCTGGACTCCAGGCTTACCAGGTTTAGGCAGCACTGTGATGGACTCTCCAAGGACTCTCCTCAACGTACTGTCACACTTAAAAAAATTATTTCACCGTCTTTAAAAAATTTCACATAACCAAAACCACTATATCAAAAATCAAACAAGCACTTTTAAAAGCTAAAAGCTAAAACAAACTTGTTATATGAATACTATTCATATCATTAACTATTTGCTAAGTAATTAGTTTTTCTCATACTGATTCAATTTAAATATATCCATATTGAGGAAATATTTTGTCCTGAAAATATTTCTTTGCAAAGATGTTTTCTAAAATAATAGTCAAATTTACCACAAAGTAGAAAAATGTTTTCATTACTGGCAAACATGTCAATATTTAGTATATTGATTTAGGCTAGTAATTTAAGAAACAGTTCTTCATCTAGTGATAACCATTGATAACCAACTATCTCCAAGGTGCTTTAGTTTTAACAGCTACAGAAAAAAAACTGTTTCTCAAATCACTCTTCTCTGTTTTTTTCCCCATGTTTAGCACTGGTTAATGTTTCATTAATGTCATATTGCCGTAATAAACATTGTATCCAGACATTAAGATTTGATCTATATTTGCTGTTGTACAGTATTTTAAATCCTAGTATGTTTAATAAAATTTAGTTCAAACATGTAAAGCCAAAATGTTTGTTATTAAATGTGTATAGTTTTCTATAATCCAAGCAACATTTTAATCAATAAAACTAAATCATTATTAGACTTTATGTCAAGTATGTCAAGAATGGCTTTGGATATTTACAATAACTAAAGATAGAACTAATATAACGAAACCACATATATAAAATATATTTTGTAATTTAGTATTTTTACAGTTTAAAATGTAATCTATACATTTTATGCTTGTAAAGATTCGGTGTAAATATTAGCAATTTTAGTACAAGGATTCTCATAAATAAAGACAATTTACCTCACTTATAAGATAAATAATGAAATAATGCCACAGCCAACTGAAACAACTATGTAAAGAACAAAATGTATTAAATGTCACTGCTATTTCTAAAGTATACAATAAAATAAATCTAGAAGATGTTTGGTAGTTCTTTGTGTGACACTGAGGCCAATCATAAATAAATTAAAAAATCTTACATTTACTTCACTATTTCCTTACATCTTCTTGTTCTTGAAAGTGAACAGCTTTTCTGGAAATCTGCTATTTTAACATTTATTAGTGATGTCACATTGTCCCCCCCAAAACAGGTTTTCTCCAGAAGCAGAACGTTAACAGAAACCAACAGAAGACAAAAGATAAAGCCCCTTCTGTTGTTAGCAGAAGTGACTAGAGGTTAAGCTGTATCCCAAAGGAAACTGAGCTTGTTGCTGTTTGGCATCACATAAACAGAAACAGGCTTTTTTCAAACTGTTCTGTGTTAACAGAGAAACAAACAAGAACATGCAGTAAAAGCACTGGTAATTCATTTTTTGCCAAGTGTGATTCAAGTCCTTGTACTGTAGATGTTTGGACCAGTAACCTAACCGGCATTTGTGACTGACTGTGTTCAAAACACTTTTAATTGAAGTCACCTGACATAAAACACAAGCCACATGAGCCACTTCTCAAAGTCATTTGATGGGACCACCCACTAACGAGCATTGACATACATAGTCCTATCATATTGGATTAAACACAACATGGTTTTGATAGCAAGTACACGGACCACCTTGTATATGAGGTCCCAATGTGATATAAAAGCCTTCTTTCCAGCTGTTTCTATACTTACATGAACATGGTTTGGAATTGAGTGTTAACATGCTTGCTTCGCAGGAGGTTAGTGTGGAGAAGTAACAAAGTGTGTTGCCCTGTGCACTACTTTTAATGTTTTATTCTGACAGCTTCTGTGGTTATAAGTCTTAAACTCTTGTTTCCTGGCTCGTAACAGTGTGCCCGTGTGGTTATGAAGCAGTAGTTCATGAACAGTAGCCTGCCTGTCCAAAAACAGGATATTTCAAAAGGCAGTTGGCATTAACTCAAACCTTCAAATTGTTTTTGTACTGTACAATGAAATGCTAGGGACCATAATTTTTTTAACCCTTTAAATACAATATAATATAGCTTTGATACTTTTTTGTATATAGGGGAATCTGACATCTTTTTACATTTAAAGAAATTACTAATCTCATTCAGTGATATTAAATTATAGCAAATTGTGATTAATTGTAGCAAGTTTTATAACGCCATATTTAGGACAATCTGTGCTACCAGTATACCACTCAAATAGAAGCCAGTGATCCACTGACTCTCAATGAAAAGGTGGGTAAAATGTTTTATCCTACCCTGATTAACTCCAGAATAATGGTTGGTAAAACTGGTATTAATGTTTAGGAGGCATTATTAGGCAAATTAGTAGAAATTATTAGATTAACACAAGAATGTCTTTTTACTTCACCAAATATCAGCACTGAGAAAGGGTTTCAATGTTCTTTCAATTTTAGCTTTGTTTGGTGCCGTGCTGGACAGGGGAATTTCAAAATGCTTTTATGTCATGGAGAAAAACAACATGATTTCCCATACATTCAAGTTTATCTCAATTCATGTTTTTACCTTGTCTTTTCTTTCCTCAAACCCTCATACATTGGTTAATTTTCCAGAACCTTCTCTGAGATTTTCTGCTTTCTTGCAATGACAGGGAGAGAGAGAACTGGAGCTGAAAGCAAGTCTAGTCACACTTCGAAGATTGATAGTTCAAATTAGCCAATTAGTTCTGGTTATCTGAAATTAACTGATTTTACTGTAACAAAATAATCCATTTATATTTTGTGCTACCTTAAAAACATTATGTTAAATAAAACTGTGAAGAAAATTACGTTATAAATGAGTTTTTAAATAAGACTTCAAGGTACTTACCTTGAAAAGCGATAACAAGTAGGTAAAAAAAAAGAATGTTGGATGAAAAAGAACATCAGTTTTCAAAAAAAACTTTCTTAAGGTTTATTTCATTTTTCTACCTGTTGCACACATCTTTCAAGAACTTTGATTTGTTGATACAAAAATCTGTACATGTCAAACAATAAGAAACGGCATCTACGACTTCTGCCAAAGAACATAATTCATTCAAGCAAACATTTCTAAATAGAACTACACATCCCGCCATCAGTCCAGATCTTTTTCTTTATCACAGCCCGATGAGCTGCCTCATGGCCTTTGTCAGTCCAAGAACAATGTTCATAGCACCTTTATAGGAGGTCTACCTGGACAAAGTATAGAACCTAAAAACTGTGTTCTGGTAGACTATGTCTTTAACAAGGACAAATTTCACATTCTTTTTGGTTTTCTACTGGGACTTGTTTCTGCATGATAGACAGCAGGCCTTTCTGTAGTACCAGTGTGTGCAGAGTTTCACTTTCAAAACAAGAGCACAGTTTGCAGTGGCTTTGTCCTGACACGCGTCATCTGTGGAGGAAGAAGAAAGGTGGTCACTTTTTCATACACACCGAATGCAACAAACTAGACGGTGCTCCAAGCAAAATGTTCTTCTACTTTCAGAATGTGTTCCCCCCACGAAAATCTCCACAGTCTTCACTAAGATTTTTTGTTTTGTGTGTGTTGCGGCACAGTGTACCTGGAGCTTCAGTAGGGCAAGGCTGAACTTCACATATCTGCCTGGACTCTGGCTTAAGTCCCGATTCACAGCTGTGACTGATCTCTTCCCCTTGGTAGCATTTCACCTCACGCACCTTCACACCACTCCCACAGGTCTTACTGCACTGCAGCAGGAAGGAGAAAGTGCCCACAAAACACAAAAAACAAACAGGTTCTGCGATCAAATGAAACTCCACAGAAACATTTGGTGGATGGGATTAGATATGCTGTTGACAGATACTCACTTTTTGGTCCTAACTGAATATTTAAAATGACAGCTTAGAAAGAGAAGAGCCTTATAAATAGAAGAAATGACACTTTCAGATTGCCTTCAGTTCTGGACCAAAACTCTAAAAGTCACCAGTTTGATACCAAACCTTTTTTCTTTTGCTGGAGTCTGAGTTCTTTAGCAACAGATGATTATAAATATGTATTTTATAGTTTTTTTATAGTGTCTTTAAATTGAAGAATCATCCCCTCTCCCTGTGGAAGAAATCTAATATTATTCCCACTCCAGAAACTGCCAGGCCAAGCCTCAACAATTATGGACCACTTGCTCTCACATCTCTCCAACAAAAAGTCTAAAGAGTGAACAGTCTATCAGCATCTCGACCAAGCAAAGACGATTGTAAGGATCCTATGTGTTGATTTTTTCTCTGCTTTTAATTCAATACAACCACTACCTTGGATGGAAAAACTCTCAAAGAACTTCACTTTAAATAGTAATTTAATCAGATGGGTCCTAGACTGTTAATAAATAGATCCCTACTGGCCCACTAACACCTCTTCCAGCAGGAACCTTTGCTTTCCCAGGAGGTCTCCCATCCAGATACTGACCAGGCTCACACCTGCTTAGCTTCAGTGGGTTGCCAGTAGTGAGGTACAGGGTGATATACTGTAGCTGCTGGCATAACATGTAGCAACAGAACACGGACGTACTGTACCTGTGACCAGGATGTAGTGAACCATTTGGAGCAGGGTCTCTCGAAACAGGCTGCCTCTACCTCTGGTTTCTTTGTAGGGTCACAGCTCTGCTCTGGGAACTCCTTGAAGACCCCATTCTCCAGCCCAGCACAGATCACCAGCCGAGTTTTAACACCCCGCCCACAGGTGGCATTGCACTGAAACATCCCCACAAACACCATTAAACGTGGCACCTCTGTTAAAGTTATAAACACTACCCACTGGAAAACCCCCCAAAAAACTATTTCTTCAAAATTGCAATTCTTGATATCCTTTTCCATAACATTACATACGAAAGTCAGCAAACTGGAAGCCACTAGACTGATCCAGCTCATTTGGTTGCTAGTGAATAATTAATCAGAGGTTCTCATCAGACCATTTTGTGAAAGAAGTTTATGAAGTAGTTGACTTCTATTACTTGCAACCCTATAGAAACAAGCAGTGATCTTCTATATAAGAAAACAACTGAAAACTGTCTGATGTACAATAAATATGTAAAACAAAACCACATGATGTGTAAAGGTTCATCTATTATTCAGTACCTTCTCCCATTCCTGCTCCACCCAATGGGCTGGGCAGTTCCTGTCTCCACAGGGATACACCGCCAGGGGCTTGAGGGACAGGTCACACTGTATGTCGGAGATAACGTTGCCATCGCTGTTCTTGCACACCACATAGCGCGTCATCCGTCCCTCGCCACAGGGCCCTGAGCACTTCGAGGAACAGTCCGGGAGAGAGGGAAAGAGCACCGTTTCACTCCGACACGGATACGACAGACTCCGCTTATTCAAGGGAGACCGTGGAATAAAAAGGTGTTTTTCCTTTGGCGAGAGTAGCTACGAATTTACACTCTGAAACCTCTGTTTTTGAGGAAAAAAAATAGTATTACTCATTTAAAAACATTTGTTTTGAAATAACTGTATTAGAATAAATGCCTGTAGTTTTCCTGTTTATTTTGTAATAAAATACAGCTCTGTTTATTTTATACAGCTTTTTTTGTTCATCTTTATCATGGGTGCCAATAACTTTTTGAGCCCACTGTATATGCTAGGATACCTTAAATAAATCTGCAACTCATGACGGCGTGTCCCAATACACATTTTCAAGTTCCCAAAAGCTTCCGGTGAGCCTAAAAGCTTCTTTTATGGTACAGAAATCATTCAATGCACTGCTTCAAAACAGCATGACTCACGGGACCCCAGTCGGACACTGTCCACCTCCTGTCACAGGGGGAGCCCTCACACTCCTTCTCACTCGCGGGCTTGGACGCCTCATCGCACAGCCACGTCTCCATGGAACAGCGAACCTCCCGCCTCATGAGGCCCCTCCCTCCGCACCTCGCTGAGCACTGCAGCCCACAGGCACACGACAGTCACACAAGTCACTCAAGCACGTGACCACAAAAACCAAGTTTTACTTTGCTGTCCTAAAACCTTTTGGAGGACACTGTGTGTTGTGTAAATGGGGTACCTAGTATGTCATAAGGTTACATAATTAACGGTTTTTATTGCCTGTGGAGAACTTTAATATTCATGTATATTTAAAGGAATTTTTTAATGTCATGAGCCTTCTTGAAAGTCGTAACATTTGATTAAGAGACATCTTAAATGAAGCAAAAAAACACTCAACATTATTTCTATTGAGGCCTCACCTAAGGTAATATTTTTGAAGTCTTTCATGATACAGCATAATATAATTTAGCGTTAACATTGTATCCAATACAATGTAAAGAAATGACCACAGGAAGCCTCAGAAGTGCAACTGTACCTCTGACCATTCGGAGATCTCCCACTGAGGCCCACAGCTCTTGTTCTTACACGGTTTGCGTGCCATAGGCCTCTGGAGGTTTGCGGCCTCGCACAGATCGTCGTAGACAGAGCTGTCAAACCCCGGTGCCATCATCTTCCAGCAACGCACTCCCCGGAACTGGTAGCCTTCCCCACAGGTTCGCGAGCACTCACTCCACCTGCTGGTCTCCCACCTGTTACAGAGGCTTATGGATTGAAAGGGAAACAGCACCCGACAGCCAAGAAGCCTCATCAGCCACTACAGTGTCACTGTAAAGTCACCCAAGTTCCAAAACGTACAAAGCTTTGGTCTAACAGTTTGTGCTTGAAAACCGTTGCTAATGATAGTCAATATACAGTATATGATGAAATAACAGGCCAATAAAATTAGACGAGTACAACCAATTTGATTATTCTAATAAACTGACTGTTGCTTTGGAAAAGAATGAGCTTGAAAAGGATGTTTGAAATGCTACCAATAGCCTTAAATATAATACTGCTGTTTTTCCATTTTATCGTGCCTAGTTTATTATGCTGTACTGTATTGCTTACTGCACCATAAGAACTTGTCTTTCATTTAGAAAATTTGTAAACTTTGTAATAATGGTGCTATTTTAAGATGTATTCATAATAGTTTGTAATACTTTTTAATAATTTGTAATACTTTGTACTATTCTTATTGGAACACTCGTAAATCTTCTTGGATGAAAGCATCAGCCAAATTAAGAACCAAGAAACATATCTGTCTCAGTTCTCATTGTACCTTGTTCGCCCCCTCTGTGGACAATAAGGAAACAAGAACCTTACTGAAGATACAAAGAAAAATACTGTTACAGATCAAAATTAGAACCATTCCTTAGTGCAGACATGGACTTCTACGTATATTTTCTTCAGAAGGAGGCACTACACTGCATAATTGTTAACAATGAATCTCCCTATACTGCTTCTGCTGTGAAGACTCTAGTTTTCAGTGGTTCTAGTCCAGCAAGTTTCAGCAGTTCTAACAGATATCTAATGACACCCTTTTCATTTTAGGCTGACCTCGGAGGGCACTCTTTCCCTGTGCAGAATTCGTGAGTGGGCTCTGGCCTTGCCAAGGCATCACAGTAGTTTTCGTCAACCTCCACTCCATCATAGCGAACACACATAGCGTAAGAGGTGCTTATTCCTGCGGGAAATTAAGATTTTTTTTTTAGCATGATAAATTTTCACTTTTGTTTAAAATCAGGATATTGATTCTGTGGAACAATCCTTGTAGGAAGAAAGTCTGCAGGTCTGACAACATAAACCCTACAATTTAGTTCTGGATCAATGAATCCCATCAATTATTAAACACTCTGTTATATACATATTGCTAGCAATCAACACAAGGTATTAGAGAAGTTTGCCTTCTGCGTCTGCTTTTGTCATTTATGCATAACCAAACTTTTTATCCAAAAAGGACAATCATTTTTTATCTCAATGGCATCCGGAAGGACAAAGGAATGGTGAGGGGCTCGCCTCAATGATATTGAGAAAAAGAACGGACAAAATCTGCTGCTCCAGTAAAGCTTTTCTGACACAACCCTGGAGGACATTTCCCTAATTCAATACACTCTTTGGCCAGAAAGGTTTTCAGCACTTGCACGAACACAGTTACTGATCTGCCAACTGGAGAAGGCTTTACTTATGAAAGATACACATGTTCACAAAGGCTCTTTCTGTAGACAGCAGTAAGAAAATAAGTGTGGAGTACTGTATATGCCAGGATGTATGGTGTGGTAAATAGATGCACCTGTAGTACATGTTGAACTGCAGGGTGCATGCACGGATACCTTCCATCTGTACATGTCTGCCAGGCTGATGTCATGATCTACTGATTCCACCTCAAATTCGTTGCTAGGGAGACAGGAGAGAGAAGATGGACATATGAACAGAATGAGAATCTTCTTCATTTTTCACTTCAGACAATTTAGCACATCTGCAATACTGTAAGCAAAGTAAGACCTACTGCTACGTCAGTGCCAAAGGATAACAAATCACATATTTGGCTTCCTTAAAGAAAAGCATGCACTAAATACGAATGAAAATTGCAAAGGATTTTGCCAAAGGAATATTTAGAGTACCATAAGCAAGAGAGAAAATGTTGACATAATACCTATATCCAGCTATCATACAAGGTGTTGCCCTCAACTAGCTTACCTCTCCGTTTTGGGTGCCTGTACGGGTTCCACTTGATGAAGATTAAGTAAACTGAGCCTCTGTGAGGAGGTGGAGTTCAGCAGAGAGAGCTTCAGTTCTGGAGTATGTTTGTAAGAGACGCCTCCATCAGGACCCATCTCGAGCTCAGGGGTCAGAATCCCCGTATAGCCTTCCAGGGACAGGTTGTTGTCTAGTGAGGCACTGGAGTTTTGAAGGCCAAGCTGTGCCTCAGGGCTCCCTGCATTGGGATAGACAGAGTTGCGTCCTGAGCTATGGTCCCCTCAAACTCTCAGATGTGGAAACGGTGCCTAAGGATGGACTCTTTAAAGGGGGCTTAGGAGCATGAGGTGTTTTGTTTTGATCCCACAGATCAAATTAGAGTCACAAGGAAAATGATGATAATTTTGTACTTCAGTGGATAAAGACAAATTAGTTAAACTTTAACTTTCCCTTTTATACAGCCATGAGGCTCAAATCTAAGCCCTTAAAAGATTAAAAATCTTCTTGAAATAGGCAGGGGGTATCCTCCACACATCTGACGGGGCACTAACCCTAGCCAAAATCAAACCTTGGAATCATGTTCCATGAGAAAATACCATACATGCATCTAGATTCTACACGTCCTCCCCTTGTACCAAAATACCTTTTCTATTTGCAAAGTTATCATACAAAACACAATTGACCCTTCAGCTGGAACCTTTAATCCAGACCCACCCACCAATAAACTAACCACCTAATCTAAGATGCAGATAAATATCCAATGGAACAAGTAATAGGTTCATGTCATGCTGAAAAGAGAAGAAAGGAAACAACGTTTCGGCTGTGGAGCCTTCTTCAGGTGTGCACTAAGCAGTAGGTCTTACTTTGCTCACACCCGAAGAAGACTCCACAGCCGAAACGTTGTGTTTCCTTTCTTCTCTTTTCAGCATGGAATGAACCTATTACTTGTTCCTTTGCAGCCTACGCATGCAGACACAGCTACCCAACCTGATAAATATCCAATTGCACACACAGTCTATACAGTATATGACCCCAGTGACCATTTCAAGATCACCCAAAGACCGTCGTGCTTGTCTGGCAACATCTTTTAGAAGACCGGCCTCTGAACAGACAGTTCAGAACGGTGAAGATCAAGGACTTCACCAAGCCAACAGCCTCTCATTTTTACATCTCTAATACATGACCACACTGAACTTTACGTCTTTGGCACTGCATTCCTTCACAGGGATTCAAGAACTCCCATAGCATTGAAAGCCAAACCTATCCTTAAACTTGGCTCACATACTCAGTGATTGATTCTCTTTCTAATCTCTCATTTCATGTATAAATATATATCTTCCACAATTCCCCTGGAACACTTTTCCAGTGATACTTCAATTCCCCCAACTCATCTTCCCAACCCCAACCTACTTCCTCACATTCCTGATCTCTCTCTCATTACCACACACAAATTAAGATGTTTGTTTTCTTTTCTCTATTTATTTTCAGTGTGGAATTTACTAATTTCCTTTGAAGCTCTCATGCTGACTCACGCTGACACATCTCTCCACTCCTACCTCTTCGCAGTACTTTAAAATGTCAAAATTATAATTACAAGCACAGAAAAACATCATTTTGTTATAACAAGTAACCATTATAATAATTTGTAGTCTTCAACAGAAGCAAGTCCCTGCAGAAAATGCCTTTTCATCAATGTCAATAATGTCAACATGACCTGGTAAGAATCATAGTAAGCCCATAGTATCCAATAATCAAATAGGGTAAAAAATGGTACTACATCCATGAATGGACACCAGTCCTGTACACAAGGATAATTTAGTAGTGCCAATCAACCTAGCCTGCATATCTTTGAAGGTTATGAGGATAGTGGAGCTTCTCAGTGAAAGCCCATACTTGAACCAGGAACCCAAGAAATCAAAGTAGGCAGCGCTAACCACCACCCCATCTCTTTTTACCAAGAGCACATGATCGTTTCAAAAGAAAAAGCTAAATCCTAGTGCAGTCGCATATTTGACGAACCAGGGAAGAGATAATCGGGTAAATGCTCAGCAAAACTTGTTTCTTCTTCATGTCCCTGGAACCCAGGTAAAGCCAATAAGGTTTCCACTTACCATAGCTGGTAGGTCCTCCATGGTCCTCCATCTTGTTTTCTACTTTGTTTTCAAAGAACTTGTTAACAGACTTGAAGAAGACGAAGCCAGGAATACTGGAGAGATTGAGAGGGGCCTGCAGCTCCCAAACCAACCCTTCCTGGTCTAGATGGGCTCCTGGGGCGTTGTCAGAGGCCAGCGGAGGAGTGCGATTTCTATATCTGTACTCCTCTCCATCGCTGATCTCATTGTTGTCATACGAGAGCTCCACTGATATGTTGTTGAAGTTCCCAGTGGGGCCAGCCTTGTCCTGCTCTGGCTGCAGGCCCACACTATTCCCAGTATTTGCCACAGCATCTGAAAGGCCTGTCTCTGTCCTTGGAGGCACTGTCCTGAGCTCCGGGGAGGTGGGCACTGTGTACTCATATGTGATATGAGGCATCTTTCCATTTAAGTTATAATACTTGAAACAGAAAAACAGATCTGTCAGTGCAAAATGACCTGTGCCAAGATCAATCTAAATGTCTATAAATCCCAGATGTTCAGGGAAAATACATTTTGTGTAAAAAGCCCTGCCACTTTTAGCATATGGGTTACCTACCATCACATTGAGACCTTGATTGGTGGGTCCCTGTGCAATGATGTACTCAAATCCATCGGATCTGAGGCTGGAGGGCCTCCTGTACTTGAAAATGGTGCCTGCCACGTGGAAGTTCCTGGGATTGTCAATTACCGTGTTCCCATTAAAGAAGAACTGTCCCGCTTCATCTGAGAGAGCTAGGAGAGGTGAGAAAATGCTAAACATTGTTTAAAGGTAAACATTTGGTATGACAGCCAACAAACAGAGCAATATAAATGTCTATGTACCACAGGGACAGACCAGATACTGTTTGCATTTCTGGGCATGTTCTTGCTGATGATGTGGAATCATGATATTACGATTTACCTGGACACCTGTTATCAATCATGTTGTTCTTTCTGCTTATCTGTACAAATGGGAAACATCAACCCCAAAGCTGAAGACTACAAAAATAAAAGAACTTTGTTTTAAAGCCTTGCTGCGTTTACATCTTTTTCCTGTCCTTAATCATTAATATAATTTTGAAAGTAGAGTGTAGATTGGGCTCTGTGATCTAGATGTTGCAAGTCCCTGGACCAGAAGATTCCCCAAGAAGTAGCATCATTTCTGCACTGTCAAAAAAAAGCTAGGATTAACTACCCAGGGTTTTCTTGGCAAACCAGCAACTTTGCAGGCACCTGTAAGCTTGCCATGACATCACTGAGGGACAGGCCTCCACCTGGTGCTGAATCTCCCGTACATCACTACAGAGCTTGCTCAATGACTCAATGGGAGGATAAGCTTGAGGAGCCAATCTGAACTTCCTCAGGGATTGTCACTGTGAACTGAGACATGTCTGGCGATTCACAATCAGTTGGATATAGCTTTAAAACAATTGGGAATTCTATTGGTGAGAAACCCAAAAGGAAATGTATATATATATATTTTACTGTGTGTGTTTCTAAGCTTTTCTTTGCACTTTCAGAGTTTCATACAACTACCTGATCTTCAATATGCATACATTGCTTGACTTAAGATTAAAACTCATCTTCTCAGTTTTCTTGATGTACTGTATGATTTATAGAATTTAGTTAGATAAGATTCCCATTTAAAAGATAAAACACCTCCTGCAATTCTGAATCTGCAGAATCTGTGACATTATGGAGTAGCTGGATGTGGACTTTTCATTCTGTGTTAAGGTCTAAATATATTTATGTCCTCTTCACAACATGATATTTATGGTATAGAAACAAAGGAGCTTGTTCGAGCTACCGTACAGTATGTCTCTAGAGTACATAATGTGCCTATGAATGCCTGAGCTTTAGTGCTTTAGAGCTGTAGAATGAGAATGATGGTGTTTCACTGTTCAGCTCTTCAAAGAGCCTTTTGTGATAAACTTATTTAAAAACTACTGAACTGTGCTGTCTTGCATCCCTACATTATCTACAGCCTGAAGTGCAGGCGCCCCCTAGTGCTGTACAGAAGGAATGATAACTATGATCCTAGCAGGACAGAACTGGCTTCATTACATTAAAGTGCCTTGGAAGTGATTAGATTCTCCTTTGTACAGGCTTACATAAAATAATTAGGCAGTTACCTAAGATGTTTTCTGTCTTTCTTCGTTCAATGATCTGGATGTCTGTTGCTCCTGCTGGGATGTTGGTTATAAAGTGGTAACCTAAGTAAAGAAAAAAGTCATTATGGACAGTAATACTAATTTCAATACTTGAATTGAAACAACTATAATGGCTCTCTCTTTAATATGTCTAGTTTAAAATACAAAATGTTAAAACCTCCTGAAGCATCATACATTTCCAATTAAGAAATTCATAATACTATTTATTTTAGAAAAAAACTTGCTTCATTACCACTGTACAGATCTCTTAGGTTCTTGATACATTTAGTTCCCTCTTCTGGGGTAGGCTTACTGATGTTAGAAAGAACTGAGCATGACCTGAAATATGGGTTTACAACAGCAAAACTGACATAGAGACTCCCAAGTGAATCATAAGGTAAAGGTGCTAGCCTGTGCACGAGCTGAACTCTACGATTATGGGTTTGAGTCTGGGCCACGTCACTAGCCGACTGTGACTGGGGTTCCCCAAGCGGTGGCTCACAGTTGGTAGAGTCCTGCCAATAGTACTGTAGGTACTTAGTCCAGCAGGACTCTCTTGGCTCTTAACAAGAGTGACCAGTGCCTCCTGGGCACTTGCAGGCATTTTGTGCTGTCAGTAAGAGAGTAAGGTAAGTGTCTTTCCTCCGATGAGCACAGAAACTCTCTCTTTGGCCCGTGCGATTTGTTAAAAAGACCAAAGGTCAATACCTACACATTCTCATTCATCCCTGTACGCAGTAGCAGATAAAAGATAAATACACAATTCCAGTCTGGGTGGTTACAACAGAAAAAGACAGGTATTCTTAAATTATTTATTGAGTGAAAACAAATTAGCAGTGCATACAAAAAGATTTACCATATACGATCCCTAATTCATTTAAGTACATTTGATCAGATCAGCATAATACACAAAGCCTTACAACCTCTTGTTTCCCCATGTAAGGTATACCTAACTGTGCGATTCCTTTTCGGTACGATCCTGAAATGCGGCAGCACGATCCACCATCTCCTCCACACACTCCACACTTGTCCACAGTTTTCCTGGAATACAGCTTTCCGTCACAGCCCACCATCTACAAGAGCACGCAGAAAAGGGTGAAGTCTTCTTGACGGGTCTCTTCGCCCCTGGAGCCTCCCGATTTACGAAGCGCCCGGGAAGCCCAAATCTCCTGTCTAAATACACGCACCCAAGGCAGCCCGGCCTTACCTCACACTTCCCCTCGATGCAGACTCCTTGATGGATGCCATCCCTACAGTTCGTGCCGTCATGGGCGGGGACCAGCAGCTGTCTCTCCCCGCTGGTGGTAGTGCACTGAAGGTCACAGGGCTTGTTCGAGATGTTGATGTAGTCGTCTGAGCAGTGGGGTTCAGAGCACAAGCACCTAAATCAGAGATCTCCAGCCCTAGTGGCGGAACACCCCTGCGCACTGTTTTTCCTTCCAGCTGAGCTCCCAACTCATTTAATTGAGACCTTAATTTCCTTAACAGGTTTCTTGATCAGCTATTGTCAGCTGAAAACAATTTAAAAGGCCTAGTTAAACACATTATTACTTCAATAGCTTCAGTTGGGTATCTGAAAGCCCCGCTGGAACAAAAACCCAAGGAAACAGAAATTCTCAGTGCAGAAATTCTCAAGTCTATATCATTGTTGAGACCCTTAAAGACCTCCTTTAAAATGTACTCCTTTTTTATCAACTCTTGAAGAATACTGAGATTTCTTATTCTTTATTGAAAATGTAAGGTAACTTTGCTTTATCCGTGAAGCTTAAATGCCACCTTGTATTTCAAAGTGCTTAACCATTTGTCTGCTCAACAGGATTAGAAAAGTAGAAACAGGTTTATTTTCGATGATTATTAAACCAATTAAGGGGTCATCATTTAGAATTACAGACCACGACAATTATACTTTCACAGCATTTTTTCAGTGACAAGGTGAAGTTATTCAACTTATACAACTTACAACCTAGGAGTTTTAAGATGTGCAGTTTTAGTAATGCATTAATTGCAGAAGGATATACAGACCCACGTGTGCTGGATTTTTAACAAACAATCCTGTCATGATGAAATAGTTTACCTGGATAGAGAGGGACCCAGGTATAATGTTTTCTGCCAAAAGATTTAGCATTGAAAGACGAGCACTGCTGCTGTTTAAAACTGATCCCATTGTTAGGGCATAGCTGAAAACACAAAGAGATACATAAAAGGACAGAAATGAAGTGTGTTCTACACATATTTGGAGACTCTTTCATCCCTAATCTGTTAAATACATAGAGGTTTGTCGAGCTGGGGAGGGAGGAAAAAGAAAAGCCTTTACGGTTTTTATAATGTTTGGTTGGGATTGTAATTAAAACCTACTGTAGACCATAATCAAACAAACAACATAAAACATACAAAGGCTGATTAGCTTCAGGAAGCGGTTTTGGTTTTGCATTGCATTCTGAACTCTTCATGGATACAAGCTCCATCCTTTACCTCTGGGACCATATCAGTCTCTTAAATTTGACCTAGCCTTGATATGCTTTTGTTACACCAAACCAAATGCTATGACAAAATACATTTGTTTTCAGATTATACAACTGTATAGAGTTTAGCACTAAAACATGCTGACAAAAATGCCCGTTCATTCACAATATAGTAGTGAAGATAAAATGATTCAGGCATCACAGATTAAATATGAAGGCAAGGTAGAACCTGTACTCTCATATCTGCAGACACTCTGAAATTGCCACTACTGCTCTGTTCAGTATCACACTTACTGTACATGTTTCTTAAACCACTACCTGATTTTGGCAGAGCTGATACTGCTTGGAAGATCCAACACAGATGGTGCTGTTGACATTTTGCATTGCAATGAGCCTGGAAAAAAAAGAAGAATTTATTGCAAAAACTGTGTTTTGCTTCTGGTTTAAAAAAAAAGAAACCCCTTTCCTCCCCTTTAGCATAAAGTGGAACTACCACAGAATTGAGCAATTTTTGCTAACCATTGTGAACTGGCAGGATTCCAATGAAGTACAAGTGAATAAAAAGGCAATAATTGCTTTCTTTTCACAAAACATGTTTGTCTGCAGCATCATTTCTGCATTTGGCATCTCAAGCATTGGACCAATGCGGAAAAGTGTTAAATGTTTCATGCCTGTAACCCCCATCCAGACAGCAGATGTTGTACTTTCCCAGGCTTTCTCAGCACTATAATGAAACACTCCCAAGCATCGCCCAGATGATGGTTGCTTCCTTTTTTTTTTTACTGCTCAAGGGAGTGCTAATGGAAGCCAGCTGTGACCTAAGTCCTGGAGTTATCAAACAAGGAATATCCCACATCAAGCCAGACTTCATATGTTTTCATATGAAGTTATTTACAAAATACATTACCATTGGTGATCTAAAGGGCTGACTCCTGTCATCTGCATTGTGTCTGCATTCTGCATTATTTTATTTGTACTGATTAGAGCATGAAAAGCAGGTTCCCCTCCTCTCAAAAAATCTTATCTCCACTTCCCTCATATTTTGTCTAAAAGTCTGCTTTTCGTAGAACAAACGCTATGCTTGAACAAACACAGCAGTCTAAGTATGAGTGCTATACAGAACATTATAAAAAGGGAAATGCAAATGATAAAACTCCTCCCAAAGAGGTCATATACATAACATTAATATTTACAGTTATGATCCTCTGGATAATATTGCACATTTTGTTTTTGTTCTTCTAATTATTTCAAACATTTTCAGAACCCAAGAAAAGCACAAAATCATTGTGCAAAATCAACTTATGTGTGGCTGTCATTGTTGTTGTAATCCAATGGTCTCGCCATGAGCAAGAGCATGTGAAATGGCCCTTCCTGCTCACTAGTCAATGACGATTGTAATGCGATGTATGAGCAAATAAGTACAGAGGAGAAGACACTTCACCGCAGAAATGTTCCAACATGATCTCCATGTAGAGTTAACAAGTAAGTAGTATTTGTCGGCAAAACCATCTTGAAGCCGAGAGCAACATTTCTATTGGATTAAAAGAGATGTATTCACAAGCCTGCTTGTTTACAATGCAATAGGGCTGCTTTGCATCACCGGAACCTTTGTTACGTCGTTCTGAATCGCAGAATATAGCGCCGTGCATACCTGGAAATATTGTCTATTTCGTGATGTAAACGAAATGTTTTACATGTTACTGTGTACATTTTGCTTTCATTTTTGTTTGAAATGCACTCATCAATGCCGATTCTTTCTAACACCGAAATATACAGTAAAAACAGTGCTGCAGTTCACCTTTAAGCTAGGGGCTCTGGGGAGACTTTACCTCTGCTTCAAGCAGTGCCTTTCCTGGGAACGAACCCCTCCTCCACAGGAACGTGAGCAGGTGGACCATGAGCTCCATTCTCCCCACCACTTGGCAACCTCTTCAGCCTGGCTCTGGACATCCTCTCTCCCCTCACTACTGTCCTGGCAGAGACAAAGACACGGCTCGTCACACCCATCCACAATGCACTCAGGAGGGGGATCTCTCTTTTTCAGGAAATCACAAACCTCTACTCTCACCCCCTTAACCCATCACATTCCACTAGAAAATAGTTTTAGTCACATTTCAAGAAAATCAATGTTTATTTTATCAGGGGTCAAAAGTCAATCACAGACAAGGGGCGAATGGTCAAAATGTGGAGATTCAATTACTGGAGTACCACAGGGATCTGTATAAGGACCCCTACTCTTTATATATTTATAGATTAGATTTACAATGATTTATATAGCAATATATATAGCTATCCAACTAAAAATACAAAATGTTAAACACTAAAATAGAAGAGGCTACTCAGGAGAAAAAACGTAGATGTTTATGATAACACATCTTTTACCTACATCGTATAGACAATGTGGGGAAGCGATAAAAAGAATATCAAAATGTTACAATATATAGCTAGACATAACAATAGAACTGATGAGAATAAAGTAAACAGGAGTCAAAATATGACATGTATGACACTGAAAAGAGATCTATGTTCGTGAGCAAATTGTTTTTTACCAATGAAAGTATGCAGAACTTACTTCTCTTGGAATGAGCTTATAACGTCTGAGACAACATAGAGCAAGAACCTTTCTTTTGTTTTCCTTTTGTGATTTAGGTAATGATGACAACTATTAATCAGAGCTATAAGATATATTTTTTAGAATATTCTGTGTGGTTGGGGTAGCTTTAATATATAGCATGGCTCCCTCATTACTCTCATGAAGCAAGACATTTTGCATCCTTGTGGGAGAAGTTTCTGGGAGACCCAGGGCTTCAAAAGAAGCATTTCGTCTGTTGTGTGAATAATGCTCTGGGTTTCTTCGGCACTCACAGACCACAACACAACAGGTTGATCCTTTACAGTGGATCCTTGGATCCTTCGACCTCTTCCAGCGTTTTCAGCAATTTTCCAAGGCAAACACTAGTTTCCAGAACACTAGGCAAAACAGCTCCTCACTCGGGTGCCCTACTGTAACTGCCTTCTGTGTACAACTTTGGTGATCTACTGCACTTCTACAGTTCATTCACAAATTTTACATTATTGAGTGTAATAGAAGTAGCTATGAGAACGAAGAACCAGTCTTAGTAGTAGTCCCTTGAAATTCCAAAGCAAGTTTTTCACCATTTCCAGTCTCCTTTTTGTTTTTGATAAAATATCTCATCTATGTTGGTGTCATTTCATTGCAGAAGTAGACATGAGAGAAAACCTCCTCTCTCAGGTTACTAATGGAGAGGTTCAGAAAATACTGGCAAACCTGGATTAAATTTCTGATGTCACTGACACTCTGGGAAAGATGATGAAGCAATTTTCTGTGTGGATTATTAGCTGTTTCTTGTGTTTTTACTAATTTCCGTATGTACCTGAAAAAGGGAAGATGATAGTAGAAATTCCTTTATTTTGTATAAGTTCTACCTGTAACTCATTTAATTGTTAAAGAAAACATTTTTAAAAAGAAATAGACAAGAGGCCAACAGTGTTTCCACTGCAACCATTTGAAATATTGCAGTTGCCAATACTTTACAGAGTAGCTTGAAAATTATTCTGAATATACCATTTATATTATAACTCATTGAGCAATTACTTTCACCACTGTTGTCATAAACAAATCTCACTCATACTAAACCCAGTTCACTCCCAGACAATATCTAATCAAGACACTTTATTTCAACAAGGCCTCCTATTCTCACCAGAAGTGGGAGAGTACTTTTGTGTGTGTTAAATCTGTGGTATGAGGGAAAAGAAGCACTGCAGAGAGACACTTCAATACAGTTCATAAGAACTTCAGGTGTGATTTTCCCACTGGAAGCTGTCTGTAGTCTGGAATGGTAAACAAGCTCTGCATTGCAAAGGCAGCATACTCTGTTCACCAAACCAATTTAAAAAAGCCATGGGGCAAATGAAATATCTGTCTCATTACTTGACAAAGAGCAGGCAAATTTGTGCCAAACAAACAGGGTTTGATCCCGACATGCCGCCTGCAAATGCTAATTCAATTCATGCACAGGTGCTTCAAGTTATTTCTTGAAGAACGTTAATCCGCTGCAGACGTTTGGAGTCTGGATGTAAAGAAGCACAGCGGCATACACACCCCAGCCCGCGGAAATAGCTTCTTTCTCTGGCTCAATATACCTTATCGTGACATCAAGTCGAATTTTTGAATGCACCTGACTAATGAGCAACTGGATGACTCCATTCACGTCAACCTCACAACTTATAATCTGTATTACAAAGTGCAAGGTACAAAGCATGCAGTGTCAAGCCCTTCATATAAATTAGGATATGTCTACAGTTTTTAAAAAATAATATATAATACTGCAATTGCAATAGATATCTGACCTATTGTAACTAATGCTTTACGACATGGGTGGATTTTAGTTTTCATAACTAATTAGCCTCCATTTGAAATGAATTCTGGAGATCTGTGTGTCTTTTTGGGGGATTTTCCAAAGCAGTCTTTTTCAGTACTAGAAAATAAAACCTTAGGATACAGCGATGTGACCACACTGCCTAAACAAAAGTATCTGATCATGTCATGTAACTAAACAAAAGATTAATTTGATATCCGTTCCCTTTGATGGCATAGATACATCAGTCCTTTAAAAATATTTAACATGGATTCGACAACAAACCATTAACAAATGGTTAATAATATATACTGGCTAAAATATCATTTTTTATCTTAAAAGAAAATATAAACCTCAGACTCTTATCAATGACCCTAAAATCTGTGCCTTATGTATCTCCCTACATGTATTTGCACAACACTGATATTTCATTAAGCAAAGATAAGTATTATTTCTCTCACAAGCTTAAGTAAGTATATCTCACATGTTTCAGTCCTTAAATCCATATTGAAGGAATTATATGACCCACAGAAAATCCAACAATCAGGTTTTAAAATATAATATGCCAGTCCTGCAGGATTCCATATTATGCGATATTGGGGAAGTGGTCATTCCTCACAGTTTAAGCTATACGAAACAAGGAAAAGGTGCTTCATGTTAATGTGTTTTCTTAGAGTCCCAAGAGAAAACACAAATCTACCCCAACCTAATGTTTTATTTAGTCATGGTGTAAAAGTAGAGACATTATGGCTTAGATCTGAAACAGAGCATACGTCTGGCCGTGAATCTCCTCTCTTTTCGAACAAAGACAAGCCAAGATAAAAAGCTTTGACATGACTCTGGTGAGTTAGAGAGTGAATCCGTCAGTTGGAGAGGGGGAGGCAGGGGAAGACAGAGGTGGAGGTGGAACACAGACACTTAAATGAGAGCCAGATGAAAGGGCGAGCGCTTGTGCTTAAATTAACCTGACTCTTCTTGTCTAGACATCACGTTAATCTCTCCCTCCAACCCTGGTATCAGGGAACATTAACGGCACTTAGAAGCTCGAGTCTGGCAGCCACTCAAGCAAGTTTTTGGCTGTTTCTGACCTGGCCTATCCATTTCTCAGATATTATCTTGATAGCGAAAGAAACACATCCACAGATCACTCCTATGCAAAAACAACAAGCAGAAAAAAGCAAACCCAAAAAACTGATATTTTAACCAATAGTCAATTCATATTTGAGGTTTTTAACCTTTGCACATGCTTGGTGTCAGATGATATGACACATGCTCTTAACCTTTTGCAGATGTTTTGCAGCTTTTACTTTAATGTAATGGTAGTAATGGGAGAAACAGAGTAATGGTAGAAGGCAGAAGTTCCAGTGAGTTGGTGTGTCACTGGAAAGGGACAACTAAAGGTGAATTCCATGTGGAAAAGCAGAATAAACATTTTTGCTATTACATTGTTTTTCCTTTCTTCGTTTCAACCTTGAAATAACCTTTACTCATTTCTTTACTTAATGTATGTACTGTATTTGATTTTCTAGGAGATCAATGAAAGTATACAAAGATACAAAAACAAGTAAAGAAAATGTTTTGCCAAAGATCACTTTTGAGAGTTCTGTTGCACTACTCAGGCACCTTACTGTTGTGAAAGACAGACTACAATTTGAATTAAATTTTTGGTCGCTTTTTGATTCCTCCTGTGTGATCATTTTACAATCCTCATTCAAAGATCAATTTCAGGAAACAAGGAGAACACACACACTTACTTTGACATTTCTGTATTTGAAGAGCAGTATAATTAATTCACTAGCATTACCTTGTTCTCTAAGAATAACAACGCCCCAAAATTAGGTGAAAGGTTTAGGAGTGTTTTCACAATAAAATTTGGCTTAACCCGTTTATCTGAGGGCGAACCTCAGGAGACGAGAAGGCTGGGACCCCCATGCAGAGTGAGGAGTGGAGGTGGGATACAGAAAGACGCATGTGAGGAAGAAAAGGGGATCACGTATAGTATTTATAGTGTTTTCGGACAGGAAATGACATCAAGAATGATTAAGACACCTGAGGCTGATAGAACTTCATTGTTGTCATCCCACTCGGACTTTCGTTATAATCTCCATAAAAAAACGTATTCCCAGAATCCATTTCTTAACATCTTATAACATTCACTCCATTCTTTTCCCCCTCATAAACTCTGCCAACAATTCCTAGCACTTTTATAGGTCTCCTTTAAGACTTGCACGAAAAAAAAAATTACAACCACTTTTATCAAATCTGGAACCAAATTTATTCTGGCAGAGTCAGTCCACAAATCTTTTAGTACATGGTTTCAAGAGACTCAATAAATACCATTTACAGTATATCTAAACAGAGATAAGAAAATGTCCCTATAAGGCACAGTACTCTATAAGTAACAGTTCTAGCGTAACTTCTAGTTTAAGGAGTCCATCTTTTATAAGAATAGCAACACCTACTCTAGCTACGAATAGACTTTACACTTTGAGGTTGCACAAATAAAAATAATGAAGAAACCTCTTGATGTCATTACTTACAAAGCTAAGAAACATCCTTCAGCCAATCTCTTCACATCTACAGAGGACATCGAGTCTATCCAAACAAGACTCAGCATGCCTGTGTTTTGTGTCTGGGTATGAGGAAAACGTAACCTCATAGCTACTGGGGAACACAGACATGTTGTGTTTTTTTTATCATGATTGGGCATTAAGATCTCAATGTTTACCACCTAGTGAGTTAGACCTCCATATACAAAAGACAAAGTAGATAAAACTGTGACTGCTAGTTTTAAGACTACCACATCAAGACACGCCCAGTATAAACTGAAGTCATGTGAAATAAAACCATGCTCAGTTACAGAGTCAGTCGGAACTAAACAACAGCCAATGCCCCATTTCTTAAAATCTAAGTATTTTAGCAATTCAGAACTGATTTTTTTCCTTTACCTACATAGATAAAGACAGTAATTTAACCATCAATCAATTTGTAAATGTGAATATATTAAGTATTCTCTAAGCATTAAGTATATGGGCGTAAAAAAACACATAATTCATAGGAAAGGTTTAGCCACTTATCATCTTGTTTGACAACAAATGTCTTCATTTATAACATTAAATGCTAATATCTGAACACACATAATCTTTTATATACGTTATGTACTGCTGTCTTTACAAAGATTGCTAACAAACTGATCACTCTAATACTATTTTTGTAAAACAGCTTAAAAGAAATGGTGCAGAAATGGTTAGAAACTGCACATTAGCGCCATTTGTTACGTCTGAAGCTAATAAAATCTCCTTAATTGCATGACTTGTTGCGCCCAGGTATCATCTTTCAGGCCAAATGAACGTCCTCCTCACTCTTCCTAGGTCTCACGCCTGAGCAGTATTTGCACAGGCGGTCTATGGCTAATTGCTCGTTCTTGTAAATTCAAATTCCAAGTCAACAAAACTAATCAATGCACAAAGCAAAACTTCCGAAAGTATATTTGTTGCTGTTGTCAGACTTGCAAGTAAAATGTAATATGAAAAATCTCAAGGCAGATTAAAGCAAACACGTTTAACACGTATTATTGCCCACACAGGGCAATAATAAACTCAAAATGTGCGACAATAACGAAAATATTTTAATTTCGTATAAAAATCTGCAATTCATGTTTCCGTCCTGTTGTCATCCAATTCATTTCATCCAGAACATGCAAAGTGTGCAATACCATATTCTCAGAAAAGCGAGCTCCGTACATGCAAACCCGTACATTCCCATACGTTGTCACCATTTAAAAAGCTGATATGCAAATAAAAAGACAATACATTTTACATCGCCAATATCAAAATTTGCAGATGTTGATACTTTGTGTAATATTTAAAATGCTTATGCAGCAACGGCTACAATAAATATTAGTTATTTTTATACCGGAATCTACAAGAAAAATAATTTCTCCACACATGAACAGTATGCTAATTTGACTGAATTAGGTATTTATTTTCATTAAACGCACGTCCACTTTGTGTAAATCCCTGCCTGTCGCTCCAGTCTCATTAACCAAAGCCTACTGGACCACGAAGCCCCCTTCTAATAACGTTCAGCCACTTCAACAACTTTGAAAATTCCAGGGAGACATTAAGACTCCAGCTGGGCTTTGATCTCTAAGCTTAAAGACCACAAAAAAGAAAAAAAGGTAATGCATAAAAAAGTTTTAAAAAAACCTGTGAGCGCTTAACAACGGATATAACCAAAAAGAACTACCTGGTGCCGTGGACCAAATCGCATTTAAAGTCTTTTAAAAATTCTAATACCTGAACTGCATTCTGTTAAATACGTTTAACATTCAGTTTCACATCCTCTGGATACTGTTAAAATGTCACATTCTTTTTTATTAAATAGTTAAATGAACATAGACCTTTACTGATCATATGTGCCAGGAAAGAAACTCACCAGACTACATACAAAAGCTTATATTGCAATGGAACGAAATCAAGAGTGGGATTTACCTTAAAACTGGTGTTAGATGTTTTCCCAAAAGTTCCGAAAAGTAAGAGTGCAAAACGAATAAGAATAAAGCCAGATCTTGCCTTCCCAAAACAGTGCATGGTTCATTTGAGAGCAAGGATGCCTCTCCCCTTAACCTCAGCCACAACTCAAAAGGAGGCTAGCACAAAAAAAGTTCTAATGAGGAAAAAAACCTAGATACACTAATGGCTTTACAACCTGCTGGCTTGGAGGAAAAGGGGGCTGGTCACACTGACTTTTGATTGACGTGGTAGACTCGAGGAACTTAGCACGTTGCCATCGTTTCTGCGGTATGTGTGTGCGCCGTGAGTCTCGGACTTACAGATCTCCGTCCGAGCTCTAGCATTTGTGAGGCAAGGCGTTAGTAGCTAAGGTTGGTGGGGCGGATGCTCCCCACCTCTACAGCGTAGTTTTTTGGCTTCCGCCGCTAGCAGCTCAACAGGACAAACCTTGATTGCACGGTGGCAGAGTCCAAAATGGCAGGTCAAGCGTTCAGCTCCAAAGGCCCCCGACCTCTTGACATTTTAAAGCCCACTTTGAGGCGTCTGTTCATTTTTTCTCCCCAAATGAATCAAACGTAAAACAACACAATCTAACACTTAATCATTTCAGCCAGAAAAAAAAAAACATAATTAGTGACTAGTGTACATAAATAATTGTAGTCTTGGTATCATTAAAGGCACATGCTGTCGATAAAAAGCATTCTTTTGCGCGGAGGTTTACTATTTTTTTAAGGCCAAACTAAAACAAACGTCAAGGGGTTCTATACTGAACCTGCAACACACAGCATCCCAGTAACAACGTCTTTATTAAATACCATAGACTTCAAAGGAAATCACATCTTGGTTATGCACGTTTTAAAGCCTTTTTGAAGTAAAACATTTTTCTCGCACAGTTGTTGATCCTCACTAGATAAATGTAGCACCAGAGGACCTAAAACAACAGCACATTTCCATCTCTTTATTCACTTGCGTCATTCATAGAGTATCAGAAATGCACACTAAGATTGTTTTTTACTGTGTAGCATGTTTGTAAATGTGAAACGTTTTGGCATATTCATATACTTTCAGAGATGAATTTAAGTATTATGAAAAATGACAGCTGTCTTTGGAAGATAAAATGTTTGTGCAATAAGATAATGGCAGAAGAACAAGCCAATGGCTGTTGCCAATTGACAGTGTCACATCAAACCCTAGAGGTCACATGTTAGCACTGTACTGATGCTCCTAAAACAGACTGAAAAAGGTTAACCCTTTACATACCTCCACCAGGGCAGAGTGGTGGCACTGTGGCTAAGGATCTGTGCCTGTGGCTGGAAAGTTACTGGTTCAAATCCTGTGGCTGGCAGAGGAATCCTACTCTGTTGGGTCCCTGAGCAAGGCCCTTAACCCCAACAGCTCCAGGGGCACTGTACAATAGCTGACCCCGTGCTCTGACCCCAAGCTGCTTTCCCTGTCTGTGTGTCTCATGGAGAGCAACCTGGGGTATGTGGAAAAGATGAATTCATAATGCAAGAAATTGAATATGGCCAATAAAATGATCTTATCTTACCTATGGGCTCTTGCAAAAGTTACCCAACAAGAGATCCTGTAGGCTTTTTGGTTTGTTCTGGACAAGCAACCTGGTTTTACTTCATGTAAAAACCCTAATTATTTCTCATTAAAAAAATAAGTTTTCCACTTATGGCTCAACGGCAAAATTTTATTCTGCCTGGCAGCCCTTTTTAAACTTCTTTAAGAGCTTGCAGCTCGACCCGGACATATGAAAGACCTTGAAGACTGTGGCTTTCCTCTCGTGTCCTTTCCTTTTTCTCTTTTTTTCGTTTTCCTTCGCTTATCTCTTCCACATCTCTGGTGTCCTTTTTTCTACCCCTTTGTTCCTGTTTTTATATTATTGCTGGATTTACTGATTAGGTACCCCATCTGTCATCCCATGATGATTATTCCCAGTTGTTCATTATTGCATATGGCACCATGTAATATTATTTTCTTTCTGAAAAACCAATAAACAAATTGAACATAAAACTCTCATGGCTTCAGAAGGGATTGTAATTCTTAAAAGAGTTATCTCATTAGAGTCTTAACTTGCCAAAATGCTAGGGAAAACCATCTTTCATGCAGCAAGGAGGAAAAAAAAAGTTAAACTATAGTGCTGTATATCAGAGTTTTAAGGAAGACAGCTTTGAGGTGGATCAATGGATCTGGCTATCATACTTGCCATGAGCCAAAAAATGTTTTTGACAATCATTGCTTTGTTGCCACGTAAAAAGTAAACCTTTGCATTATGCAGCATTATTTTGAAGATAGGCTTTCTCATTCCCATTCCAGCTAATCATTTGTGTCTGAGTATGTTGCTATTTGCCCAGCTGCCTTTGAAATAGTTATTTCTTAAGATATTCAGCTTCAAAGCTTCATTGGAAGAGGCAGTCCTGTGTGTCTGGGCATTGACTAGATAACATTCATAGTCACCACCCCTAGTCTTTCCAGATCTCAATAAAGGTGGGGACAAAAACAGAACATCAACACACCTGCCAATCACAAATTCCAAGCAAAGCATTTCCTGTATGACCAAAAATTCTCATTCAGGAATTCCACTCTGGGCTTGATGTCTGGCTTTCTTTAAGTTTTCCTTAAATTCAGTGAAGCAGTTTCTCACATCTGATCTGCTCTATAGTGAGGCTGCCGGGACTTAATGGCTACCAGGTGTCATTCAGGTAGGTGGAGGATGAAGTGGGTCCCCTACTCTATGTGAAACAATTTGAGATTCTTTCAGATGAAAATCATTAAAGGACATCTTCATTTCAGTTTTGATTAAATTCAGACAAAATGTATTGAAGGAAACAAACTGGTACATGCTCCATAAATGGGTCTAGACAGCTGCTCACTACTGTAGCCAAACTTAATATATGATCTTTTCAAATTTGTGAAAATTTTGTATAGACATTTCAGTGATCTTGCATGTTGAAAGAGACTTTAAATATAAAATTAGCTACTGAAGAAAATAACTATTGAGTGAAACGTCCAGTATTGTAGTATGCCTGCTGATTCATTATTTCCGAAGGTAAAAAAGTGAGAAATCAGGTACAAATTAGTGGTTTACATGTGACCCTAAAGAACAGTGATTCTGGTTTCTGAAAAACTTGTTCCCACACTGAAACCTCAGGAAAGTTTATTGTTTTAAGAAGCTATCACATTCAATAATCAGTATATACAGGATAAAAATGACTGAAACAGACTAAAACTAGAATGGAAAGAAATGTGAATTCACAGTAGTTAATGGCTTCCCTTCACTGAAATAAACCACCTCTGAAATAACAACGTTTTCAAAAACCAGTAAACCTCCAGCTATGCAACCCCACAATGATTTTCCTATGAATAAATGGATTGATATTAGTCACTCGTTGATACAATGACATTTTGTGTTCTGCAGTTCAACTTTCAATATTTTAAAGCATAGAAGAGCAAGGTTCTTGAGCTACTGTTCCCAGACACTGTCAATAAAAGAGCCATCAATACAGTATGACCTCTGTGCTGAGTGTAATTCCATACATTTCCTTTCACTACATGAAAAACAGCACAGAAAAATGTACAGCATCCATGTGATGTGGCAAGAGATGCATAAAATATGCTTGGAAACAAACAATATTAGCTATTATTTACAACTGAGTCACCAACAGACCTTTAAATTATACTGGATGCTAGGCAGAAAAAGTAAAAAATTACTCCCCCCAGTGGTGAAAGGAAAGAAGACACCTTTTAATTTGGTGGAGTCTAAGAACCTTCTCTCCCATTATAACATTTCAGTACTATGATACAAATTAACACAAACATGTGGTAACAAAATAGATTTTTATCTTTAATATTTGGTATTAATTACAAAATTCACAATCATATAATGTATGAGCTCTTAGTAAGGCACAATCAAACTGGTTAGGTAAAAAATCCTAAATCCTAAATCATTAGGATCATTAGCACAGAATAAAAGATATAAAAAAAAACATTTTATGCTCATGTCGATACCGACTCAGACAACATCAATTCACACCACCTCTCTCCGAAAAACACACTTTGTTGAGAAGACAATAAGGTTTGAGTTGTCTTCTGTGAGTAAGTAATGCATTCTATATACACCATTTGAAAAACTGAATCAAAGGTGTAAAAACAGTTAAAGAACCTGCACACATTTAATTCATTTTTTTGTTTTCTCTTTACCATTACACTATACATTTATCAGGTATTTATGAATGCACTTGCACCCCTGAGAATTTCCAGCTAAAACTCCATACTGGCTTTTCAGTACTGCAAAAATAGTTTCACAAGTAGAAGCCTTTCAAGTAAAGCAAGAGCGCAAGTGATAAAAAGCAGAGCAGACAGTATCAAATATACAAAACATTCATAAAAATATTCTTCTCCTTTTCTTCCACTATTTACCAAGAGCTGTAAAGCAAGTACTCTCAAGTCAGCTGGTGCAGAAATTCATCTACCCTTAACGATAATTATTTGTCTGAACCTATAAGTTTTGTTTTGAAACGCACAAAAACATATGCTCATTTCTCCAAAAAAAGCAAAACCCCACCCAAACAGTTTGTTTAGTCCTGGTTTTCTTTAACCAAAGAAAAAATGACTGAAACCAATGAGAATGAACCTGAGGACCACACAGAAAGCTGGCAAAAGCAATTTAAAAATGCATCAATTTTAAATCTCTAGAAAAATGCTAAATGATTAGCTGCTCCCCACAGCTTTTCCTTTCATGAAGAATCATACCTGACCATTCGCCTTTTTTGCCAACTTGGTCCCTAAATCTTAAGAACCTTTCAGGACAATGTGAGGATGATTTTATTTTATTATTTATTGGTGTTCTTGTAGCTAAAGTAGAAGGAGAACCAGTGCAATCCCACTTTATTATTGAGACATTGCATCTCCTCTACATCTCTACCTTCCAGTCAAAAAATAGGTTTGAAATGGAAAAAAGTGGGATCATTATCCCTCACTGTAAGTGCTAAAAATTGGTCCCAGGGACAAAGGGAGAATGTTTCGCCATCTCAGCTGGGTTCTTTCTAAGAATCACAGCTTTGCTTTTCAGTACCATCTTCAGCTGTAACGGGTACAACCAAATGCGAAATGCGGCTCCAAAGGCCTCCAAATTTGTCAGTGTCCATCTCGTTGAAAGTGGACGGGTGGTGGGAAGACAGGAATTTGTTCTCGATATAGTCCCGGACCTTCTCCTCCACGCTGCCCAGAGTCTGCTCGGTGCCCAGCTCATCCTCTTCCAGAAGAACGGTGAAGATGAGAAACACAGCCCTGTAGGCCGCGTTCTCATGGTCACAGTACTTGTAGAAGATGAGTGTCGAGTCTGGAGGAAGCTCTTCAAACCGGTGGATGACTGCTGCCCTCTTGTTCCCCTCAAACGCGGCTGTCAGCTCCTCATCTATTTCCAGTTTGACCCGGTCACTGTCCAGCGCGGCCTTGCTCAAACCATCTATGTGGAGGGCACTGGCATTGAGGGCAGAGGAGTAGGCCCTGGCCAGGCCACTGGCCAGACAGTGCAGTGTCCTCTCAGCCTTGCGCCCAGCAGTCAGGATCATGCTGACGGGTTCAGTGGGCTCCTCTGACTGAAGGTGCTTCTCCATGTGAATCCTGCTTCTCCTCCACAGCTCCTTTCTCTGGCTGGGGAAGCTGGACTCCAATTCAAGAATCTGCACATCAAAGTTTATGTCTGTCTGATTTTTACTTCGGCGGACTCTTTCAACGAAAGGAAGCACAGCCACGAGAGCCGCAAGGATCAACAGAGCCAGACACACCAGTAAAAATTTAGACAGCCATCCTGTTTGGGAGAAAAAAACAATTCTGTTATTAAATTCTTCCATGTCTTTGGATAATTTTAATTTTTACATTTCTAAAATAAAAGGAAAGACTTTACAACTGCTGAAAAAACAAATGAACATGGGTAAAACATACTTTAATACAAAATCTTCTCACAAAATGTTAAAAACATCTGCATGACAATGCTAATCTAAAACAGAACTCTTTTATATTTAAATAATTTCCACAAAACAAAGTACTGACCTTTTCTGGGTTGGGGAGAAACAGGACCCTTTTTGACAACAGTTTGTCCTGTGCTGTATTCTAAATAAACATAAAAGAAATATGTATTTCTAGTTAAAACCACTGTACTGTATATGAATATAGCTGAATACATTTCAAGAGAACCTACGTTATATTTCTGTTTTTGTGTGCAAATGTTACTGTATTATAACATCTTTTCATATCCTTTGTGTAAACTGGAATAGGAACTAAATTAAATCTGTATTTGCCAATGTTCAACTGCTCTTTGTGTTCTCAATATGAATTTAAGTCATCAAACCACATAGCACAAGGTCTGCAATATCTCATACGTAATTTTGATTCTTACAGACTCTCAAGGAGAAAGGCTTTACCATCTCAAAAGAACCACTATATGCAATTTAAAACAAATATACCAAATATTTGAGAGTGGCCATTAAAAAAATAACAAAATGTGGATTAAAATTACAGGAAATGGCAAGCAAATCAGGTATTTTACTGTTTAAACTAGTTTTAACAGCATCCTTACCTTTTTTCTTTTCACGTTCTACAATCCGATTCAATCGAGGAACATTCAGCAGGCACTCATACTGTTTAAGCGGGCTGCATGGGGGCCCTTTGGCATAGCCTGCATTTGACATACTGTGATTAGAACCTACATAGTTTTGTTTTGGCAGGCCTAAAAAGAAAAAAAAAAGTCAGTATTAGAATACTGCCATTAGGCTGTAACCCAAATTCTCAGGCCTTAAAGTCACCTTTCATTAAAATACACCAATGTTTTAACTCACACTGATCTTGAAATAACCAACACAACAACAACAGTTTTTCTAAACTGATTACAAGGCTAACATTTTATGTAATGTGCAAAACTATGAGACAAAATAAATGCCATGCTTTGACCCACGCTGAATTAGCGTCTTTGCATTAGTGCATTCCCAATGGTCACAGTACCTGTTTCACTGTCCTCCACAATTCTGTGACTTCTAATGCTCCTCCTTGAAATACGTTCCTCAGACATGTGTGCCGAATACTGACGAAGCCCTGGAATGAAAGGAATAAGAAAGGCATTGCAGTGGGGCAGGTGCTGTTATGCCCCTGATTATAACCAGCTATAAAAAGGTCAGCTTTTAGACAGTTTATTTAGACACTGAGACACCATAGTGGAGTAACACAGAGAAACCTAAGCCATACTATATTCACATTTGACCTTTTCCACACTGTATTATTTATTTTCTATATTGAATACAAATCCTAAAACTGCAACCATGAGTGGTTTTTCTAATTGTCTGATTTGCGTGAGACAATCCATCGGTACTATACCTTCGCTCCTCTCCAGAGGTGGAGGTTTCTGGTTCCTTGATAAGTTTATTGATTCACCTTCAGTGCGGCCAATTGATTTATACATGTATCCGAGCAAATCTAAAATCCAAAGAAAAGGATGGAAAAAGAAGAAAAATTTACCGATGATGACTGCAGTCAAATTACTGGTCTCATAAAAAAAGCTGTAGTATTGGGTTACTTTCATATCTAGTCCTTAGGGGCCAGAGTTGCAACATTAGTGCAATGTTATTCTGTTAAAACTGGACTTCACCCAGTAAACCCAACTTCACCTTTGATCAAGTGTTTTGCAACCCAGTCAGTCACTAAGAGGAAAATGTAATCTGACAAAAGGCTAGTCATCTTTCCTGTTCAGTGGTCTACTCTCTGGTTTGATGAAGCCCTGACAGCTCATTATTTTAAGGGTAGCGTTAGTGGTTCCTAAAGGGTTGGAGAGAAACAGAAACCTTTTTGCCAACAGTTTGGCTTGTGCTGTTTTCCAAATAAACATAAAACAAATATGTATTTTTCATTAAGACTAATGTATATTAATATAGCTCTGACAGCTCATTATTTTAGAGTAGCGTTAGTGGTTCCCAAACCGTCAAAAATACTTGCTTGTACAGAGAGCTTTTAAAAAACCATTCTACTTTGAAATAGAAATCCCAATCTATGCAGACAACACAAGAGTACTTACTCCAAGTCCCCTGTTGTCCAACATTACAGCTTTGCCAAAATTGTTTTATTTACAGACAAAACCAAAAGAACTGAAAGATGACATCTCTCATTTAGTTGAAGTGCACAGCGAAAGAATGTTTTTCCCAGCTCTGCGGTGTGACCCGATAAATCCCCAGTCTCCATTACTACCTTCAGATTCTCTATCTGCCAGAGGAACTGGGTCTTCCTCTTCTTCATTCATCTCGATATCCTCTTCATAATCCTTTGGTGTCCCAGGATGGCTGTGATCTTCGTCGTCAAACTGAACTTTCCTTATTTTATTGGGAGAATCACCGTCTGTGAAAAGGGGAGCAAGAGGAATAACTTGGGATGTTTCTGCACGTAACAATGAGCTTACCCATCATAGTCTGAAACTGGGACGTGATTCATGAAATCTCTTCTGAGATCAGACAAAGCCTAATCCTGTTGGATCCTGTGGTCCTGTTAAACACTTGGGGAAAAAAATACATTGAATTGATCACATAAATCTTAAGGTCTAAGAAGGCCTCCACAGTTAAACTAATCACAGGTGTGCTGTGAACAATTCCTATCTGGTTCTCCAGGTGTTTTGGGTTTTGATCAAACCAGTGCTGCCAGGTTATAAACTAATAACAAGATCAAATGGCTAGTTCTAATGAGTCTTGTCAACTTAAGTGTTAGATGCCTACAAAACCTGCAGCCCCGCAACAGGATCGCCATAGGATAAGATCCTCCTGAAAAAGCATACAACCACCACTATAAAAAAAACAGCATGTGGGAGGGCATGACACCACATGATAGCTTGGTGGGGTTTAGATCAAAACCGTTACTGCTTTGGAAGTGCTGGGAGAATGTGATATTAACTGGAATATCCACATTATTAAAGTCCCACACTCAGGAGATGGTACCCTTTTGTGTCACCTACACCTCTAAGCTAAAATCGAGTGCGTCGCACACGAGAATGAATACAACTGGACATTTTGAGATCTGAATAATGTCTTTCTTGAACACTGGAGAGAATACTGGAAATCATTTCCCGTCACCTGCAGTTACCAGGTATTACAGCTGTAGCTGTTTATGAAAGTAATATGACAGCATATAATGTATTAAGTGGTCCTCCCATAAGAGAAACTCTATAGGTCTAAATCCTTCATTGCTCACCCTCGCCATCTTGCTGCAAGTTTTCTTCTTCGATTTCCATGTTGTCATCGCCTGCTCCAGCCTGGCTCCCATTTTCAGCTGGGGTGTCTTTTTTCTTTCTCTTTCTCCTTGCTCTGCTCTCTTCCGACACTACGACTAAATGCCAATGTCAGAAATTCACAATGTTGCATTTAAGATTCTTATGCCAGTACGCACTCCAAAACTCTATACCAATAAATCCATCTGTAACTAACGTACTTAAAAGTTGCACTATAACATCATGAACACTTGAACATCGTGTACAAGACATCCACTTTATTTTAAAAAAAGCGTAACATCTTTGGAGATTAGCGCAACACAAAGTAAAAACAAGAAACGTTATCTATGATCAATTCATTCTTTTAAAAAAATCAGTGCCTACGGGCATCTTAGTCTTAGGCCACCAGTCTTAGTAAACCTTTAAAAATCGTTTAAAAACGATGTTGTGAAACGATTTTTAAAATTATTTTCAAAGAGATCCGAGACTTTCTATATAACGTATTAATTAATATAAAATTCTAAAGAGTTGTTTTAATTTGCGGTCTTCCGATTTCCGGTTATAGCTTAAATTGTAGCCCGTTATGAAATGTGAGTTAACAACGGACCCAAAAATATGAATAATAAAGTTCAGCGTGACAGCAACTTCACAGCTGTCATTAATAAAATGCAGGTTTCATTTTTTTATATTTTTAAACAATATTTACGGATTTTGTTTTGCATTAAACGGGGTTTTCCGTCGCAAAACGAAAGTGAAACAAAACTAACTGCGCGGGATGGTTAAGACTAAAAGAATAAAATTCAATGGCGAATAATACATTCAAACTTAATGCGTGCATGTGTGTCATCTGCTTCATTTTTTTTTCAACGAATGTGCGCTTCTTATTAAGCAAAACCGTGTCACTGAACTTACAGTTAGCAAGAATGTTGTATTTTAAATTATGAAAATCATTTTTAAGAGTCATTTTTTAAGCCCTGCTATGATATCTAACATTTATGAACAAGGTTCACGGTTTGGGACACTAATGAATGAAGGCAAACTACTGGCTTGCTTCAAAACCTCCATCCATGTTATGTCCTCAACTCAAAACGTACTTAAAACAGCTCATCCGCCGTTTCTACGCCCACTTACCAGTTTTCGCTGCTCTTTGCCTCGTTTCCCGCATGTTTAATTCCAATCTTTTCTTTAAAAAGTCTTGCGAATCCGACTTCCGTGATACTTCATCCCCTGCTTTTACGAGACACTTGGAGGACTTCCCTGCCGCAAGCCGGAAAGAAGAACTGGAGGTTGTTTCCTGGGGACTAGTTTTGGAAGAACACAAGCGTTTTCCGGAAAAAGCGCCTTCGTGTTGAGCAGAGTCTGAATTTGCGCTGCGAGCCGCAGAGCCAGTCGAGTTTCTCTCTTTAATGGGTTGTCGCGCTGTCACGTCAGAAAAGAACACACGTTTTTTCGCTGTTGTTGCCGACATTATCTCGGTAGTTTTAGTACCGCATAATAGTTGAAGTATTCACAGATCAAAAAATAAGGCTTGAGTGTTTCAGGTTGACAGGCCCTTTCGTAGGTTTGATAACAGCACTATCCTGTAGAACGAAAACGCTCGAAACGAGGAATCTTGCAATAGAGACTAATTCCAAACTCAGCTTGGATTCCAGTGTTCCGTCTAATATGGCTGTCCCAGTCGCATTCCTGCAGGGTTGTGTCGTCAGATACAGGATCTTAAAGTGATAGCAGCTCGTCAGTGGAATTTGTCCCTCCTAACATGTTGCTGTACACAACGATTTGTGCACACTAACCGTTATAGCAGTTTTGTGGTCCTTACTCCTGGATTACTTTATAGGCAAGGAGGTCTCAACCTTAGCTGGTCAAGACCTATAAAACTACCTTCTCGTATTGCAACATTAAAGCTTAGATTTCGTATTTAAGTGATAATACCAAAGGAGTGGATTGTCACATTGTACCTAGTGAGAAATAAACTATTTTACTTTTTGAGTTCGGACTGCATTAATAGGTTAGCACAATATTTCAAAGTACATTTTTCCGATATGAGAAAGACGTGCACCTAATGAGTGTTTTACAAAGCATGTGTTGGAAACAGACGTCTGTATGGGTTCAACATCTGCTAACTTCTTAGCACAAGAACCTATCTGAATTATGGGTTCTTCAGATTCCAGATCTAATATGAAAACTGAGTTGAAGCAAAGTACCCTATAGAGAGAAATTGAACTCCCAATCTGTTAAAGTCTGTACAGAATTATGAGAATTTCAAATACTTATATCCTGAGTTTAGATGTGGCTACAGAAGGCTCTACTAGTGTAACTATAGATAATTGTGCACATAATTTATTTTTTGAAATTTCAGTAGTCTCCTATTGACTAAACCAGAAAAGAGTATGTGTACAGCATTAGAAAGTGTCCATGTATCAGAAATGAAAAGGGGTAAATTTAGGTTATAGAAATGAGAATACAACCCATTGACCAGCAGCCATATCACCCTGCAACTCACAACTGGCAACCTACTAAAGCTAAGCAGGTGTGAGCCTCAGCAGTACCTGGATAGGAGACCTCCTGGGAAAAACTGGAAGAGGAGTTAGTGGGGCCAGTAAGGGGTGCTTTCCCTGTGGTCTGTGTGAATCCTAATGCCCCGGTATAGTGACGGGGACAATATACTGCAAAAAGGTGCTATCCCTCGCATGAGATAAAACTGAGGTCCTGACTTTCTGTGGTCATTAGAAATCCCAGGCTGTCTCTTGAAAAGAGTAGGGGTGTAACCCTGGTGTCCTGGCCAAACCTCCATTGGTATTTACTAATCATGGCCTCCTAATCCCCCTCTGTGAATTGGCTTCATCACTCTGTTCTCCTCCCCATTGAGAGCTGGTGTGTGGGGAGAGCTCTGGTGCACTATGGCTGCTGTTGCATCATCCAGGTGGGTCTGCACACTGGTGGTGGAGGGGAGTCCCCATTACCTGTAAAGTGCTTTGAGTGGAGTGTCCAGAAAAGTGCTATATAAGTATAAGCAATTATTACCACACATTGTATAATAAACAATGCATACACCAGTATATCTCTGGATTCTACAAACATTTGTACATCTTTAAGGCACATAAATCTTTATTTACTACACAAAGACATAATTTGCATGACAGACTGAATGAAGTTCAGGATCCAGATGGTGGCCGGCTATCATCTTTAATAAACCAGGTATTATAAACTAACCCTGTAGAAAATGAAGAATTTTGTTAGACTATTCAGATGAGGAACAAGCTCCAGAAGTTTTCATTACTTTCTTATCCATTCCACGCAGATCGAAACCTGTCTATCATTAATTTGGCATGATTTTTTTATTTATTTATTTAAATGGAGAGAGAAAATATTTGATTCATTTTTCCCAATGCAAATTTCAGTAAAACGTTTAAGAGTGGGTAATGCTACTTAATTTAAACAGTTAAAATTCACTATGACAGTTTTTGTTTCAAAACCATCAGCAACCAAAACATGATTTTATAACTAAGGACAGTAACTGATGTTTCGTGGCCTACAAACCGTAATTAAGGAGACACGATAAAAAAGCATTTTCAGAAATGATTACAAAAAGCTGACAATTGTGAAAAGGTTACAGAAAGTGTCATGAAATTGACAAGCAAAATAAATATCTCTTTTCCAACACTTAATAGAAGACATAGAAGGAATCCCTGGCTTATAGTTCAGAAAAACTATATAGTATTTTCAACTTTTGTATATCTAAATATGCATGTTATTTTGGGAAATGTATTAAGTGCTGTTATTTAAACATAATATTCTTATTGCTGAACCCCAGAGATACAAATCTGTTCTTAAACACCCTACACTCCATTTTTGGAGAACTTCAGTTCATGTTGGTTAAACATAACTTTTGTCTTTTTACTATTACTTCACTTTGTTAAAACTGTGTGAATTCTGCTACGTCTGAGCTGTGAAAAAATTTAAAATCTCTAATTCCATATCTCTAGTGCTATTATTAGAAATTTTTCAAGGCAACGTTAAAGTGCATTGACACATGGTAAACAGGTTTATGATTATGTTACTCAGTGTATGTCCAACGAAACTGTCATTGTCAATGTATTCCATTATAGAATGTCTCTTAAAATTTCTGTTTTTGACTGTACACAATATCTAAGATTCATACTGGAAAAGGCGAGTAAATCATAAGGCTGCAGTTTGGTTTAACAAGAGACATAAGGGAACACACTCGTTAAGACAAGTATCCTGCATTCCTGAGCTGCAGTAGCCAATATCAGTAAAGGCCCAGTTGTACATTCCAATCTCCATACGTCTTTTGGTGAGAACTGAAGGTTCTCTTCACAGATCGCAGCCTAACCTTTCACTTCTCTCCTCAGTGCTAACAGGTAAAATCAAGTGTGAGATCCGACTCCAAAGTCCACTGAATTTATCAGTATCCATTTTATCAAACACTGTTGGCTGGACTGAGATAAAGAATTTCTCCTGAATGTGATCCTGCACCATCTCCTCCACGCTGCCCAAATTCAGCTGTGTGCCCAGCTCGTCCTCCTCCAGGAGAACAGTGAAGATGAGAGACACAGCCTTGTAGGCCGCGTTCTCATGGTCACAGTACTTGTAGAAGATGAGTGTCGAGTCTGGAGGAAGCTCTTCAAACCGGTGGATGACTGCTGCCCTCTTGTTCCCCTCAAACGCGGCTGTCAGCTCCTCATCTATTTCCAGTTTGACCCGGTCACTGTCCAGCGCGGCCTTGCTCAAACCATCTATGTGGAGGGCACTGGCATTGAGGGCAGAGGAGTAGGCCCTGGCCAGGCCACTGGCCAGACAGTGCAGTGTCCTCTCAGCCTTGCGCCCAGCAGTCAGGATCATGCTGACGGGTTCAGTGGGCTCCTCTGACTGAAGGTGCTTCTCCATGTGAATCCTGCTTCTCCTCCACAGCTCCTTTCTCTGGCTGGGGAAGCTGGACTCCAGCCGAGTAATCTGCCTGCGAAACACTTCGATACTTCTGTTCTCCCCCTTTTCAGCAGACTGGCTTTGATGCGGCCATTTGAATAGCCACAAGCCAGCACCCACAAGTAACACTAGAAGAACTGCCAGAAATGGACTTAGTTGGGGTAAAGCAGAATTATAAGATTGTTGGTTGTCTCCATGTCCTTGTGGTATCATAGTTTTGTTCTTCTCATCTGCTGGTTCAGACGTAATTTTAGGATGCGTGGGCCTCTTCTTATCTAGTTATGGAGAAAGATTTTACAAAGAATAAATATCTAATAAAAGTCATCGTATTAGAACATTCATTTTTATACTGCATAATACCCACAACCATCCATTTTCTAACTGTTTTTTCCAATACAGGGCTCCAAAGCAGCAAGGCAGTAATACTAACCATTGTACTACCATGCCACCTATACTGCATAATAATAATAAAAGTCTTACTTTTCTCCCACATCTGATTCCTTATAGCTTTTTTAAGATAAAAAGGAACATGGTTTCTTTAAGTAATGCCAAACAGGCAACTGCAAAAGATGGAGAAGTTTCACTATTCTTGTCTTGTTAGGTAGAGTTCTCCTGGTGTTTTTGGCGAGAGAAATCTTTGATACGAAGGACAAAACAACTAAAGATGATTTGTGGAAAGCATGAGAGAAAAAAAAGTCTTTACATTAAGGCTTGCAACACCTGGACTCTTATCACAAATAAGATCTTAAGTAAAGTATTTCAGGTAAAGTGTTTATGGAGAAATTAGTTGACAAATTAAAACAAACGTTTTACCAGTTGTTTCTTTTCGGAAGGAGTCATTCTGGTCTTTTTCAGCAACTTTCTCCTTTCTCCTCCTAACGTCAGATTTATCAACTACAGCCGAGACCTCTGGGAGGAAAGGCTGTGAAGCTGTGTCAACAACTGAATTTCCTGTAGGCCGAAAAAAACCACAAGACTTTGTCTTTTAGTCTCAAAAAATATAATT